TCCTGCCAGGTGCAGCACTGGCTGCAAGGGGCCTCCACCAAAAAGAGACCCCAAGATTGGCATCTTACATTTTCCAAAATACTACTATTGGATATTATATGAGATTATGTGGTCTTATTCGATTTATATATTTGATTATATTTGCAATAATTATTTATAAAAAAACCTCATTGGGCATGTGTGGACAACACCCCACCTCCCAAGATCAGCTGTCCTCTGCAGGTGGTGCTTGAGAAGCACCATTCTCCTTGCTGACGCTTGGTTCCTGCCAGGTGCAGCACTGGCTGCAAGGGGCCTCCACCAAAAAGAGACCAAGATTGGTATCTTACATTTTCCAAAATACTACTATTGGATATTATATGAGATTATGTGGTCTTATTCGATCTATATATGTGCAATGATTATCTATAGAAACCTCATTGGGCATCTGTGGACAACGCCCCACCTCCCGAGATCAGTTGTCCTCTGCAGGTGGTGCTTGAGAAGGACCATTCTCCTTGCTGACGCTTGGTTCCTGCAAGGTGCAGCACTGGCTGCAAGGGGCCTCCACCAAAATGAGACCCCAAGATTGGCATCTTACATTTTCCAAAGTTCTACTATTGGATATTATATGAGATTATGTGGTCTTATTCGATTTATATATTTGCAATGATTATTTATAAAAAAACCTCATTGGGCATGTGTGGACAACACATGACAACACCCCACCTCCCAAGATCAGCTGTCCTCTGCAGGTGGTGCTTGAGAAGCACCATTCTCCTTGCTGACGCTTGGTTCCTGCCAGGTGCAGCACTGGCTGCAAGGGACCTCCACCAAAAAGAAACCCCAAGATTGGTATCTTACATTTTCCAAAATACTACTATTGGATATTATATGAGATTATGTGGTCTTATTCGATTTATATATTTGCAATGATTATTTATAGAAACCTCATTGGGCATGTGTGGACAACACCCCATCTCCCAAGATCAGCTGTCCTCTGCAAGTGGTGCTTGAGAAGCACCATTCTCCTTGCTGACGCTTGGTTCCTGCCAGGCGCAGCACTGGCTGCAAGGGGCCTCCACCAAAAAGAGACCCCAAGGTTGGTATCTTACATTTTCTAAAATGCTGTTACTTGCTATTGTATGCTATGGTTCTGAAATGTTCTGAACCCCTCACATTCTGCGTCCTCGTCATTGCAAGAATCGGCAACATCAGCGGGGACTAGCTCCTGCTCCCCCTGAGCATGGAAACAAGATGAAACAAGGGGATTCATGAAACATGATGGAAGGGGGATTCCAAAAACTCTGATGTCCACTATGCTAGCTTACATTTTTAAAGCTCTCCAAAAACAGCTGTTTCAAAAATGTAAGTTGCTGTTCTGAAGGGGTCACATGATGGTATGCCACCCCATGCCTCTGCTCCTTCGGCATCATCTGGCTTTTTGAAGTCTTCCTGCCATGCGAAGAAAGCGGCACCAGGTTTTACATTTCTCTATCCTTTACATTACTTTACTTCTGCTAGGAAGCATTGGGAAACTACAGGGAGAAAAAAAAAACAGGAGTCCTTCCGCGGTGGGAGGGACAATTTCTGCTCCCACGAGTAGCGACACGCTGAGTCCCACGTCCGGTGTTTCGCAGAACCATCAGGAGGGTACCAATAGTCTCGGCAAGAAACAGAGTGAAAAGCCAAAAGATCGAACACCTTCATTAAACACATCAAGTAAAAAATCATCACTGTATAATTGTTTACAAAACACATCAAAACACCACGTGCAAATACGTCCAAGAAACAGTCTGTTTGGCCCTTGGTTTTCCCCTTTTCCGAATCGTTGTCACCACTTTCCAGTTACTGCCCCCTTCTGCTGGCATGGCTCTGGGAGCAAACCCCAACGTTCCCAAATCGACGAGGTCACCAGACCAAAATGGTCCGAAAAGTTCTGTCTTGAGATGTCTTCAGGTGTCTCTAGAACTGCTAGCTTTCAATTGTATTCAACTGTATCATTAGCTCGTTTTTAATCGTATCGTTTCTATATGTTTCTATCACATTTCCATCGTGTGATTTCTTGTCAAATCATGTCAAATCAATCCTTTGATGAAATGCATAGCATGTCTGGGCTTGAAACTTGCAGGGACATGCCGAGAAGATGCGAGAAGGGGTTGGGAAATGCGCAAATCCAAATGGTGAATATATGTGAAGGGTCTCAAAAAATTTCAAATCAGGATAAATCATGATAAATCAGGTTCTTTTGTTTCCTCATGGTTCATCATGTTTCCACCATGTTTTTGTATGTTTTTGCCATGTTTTGTCTGCATTTGTTTTCTCTCGCAAAAGCTGGTCGACATATGTCAGCAAATCTTCGTGAATGCACGGTATTCCGGTCTATGCTTGTGTCACATCTGGTCACAAGAAATCACGACATATCGCAACCAACTATTGAAGTTGGAGCGCCCCCTCAGCCGCAAGCCGGGCTGTAAGCCACGCTTGGAAAAGAGCCGTGCAAAATCTCTGGGGGTACACTGCGGTTTCTGTCAGTGAAGGTGTCCCTGAAAAAGACCTTTTACCGTTTGGCAAAAGTTCAGTCTTGTAAAACACCTTAGGTGGTTTTCCACTCAAACGCCGCCTTTCGGCACGGCGTGCCTCACGCTCATGAAACCGTTTCTTGGCCTCTTTGGTCGCTCGTCGAGCTAATCGATTCATTGTCCTTGGCATCAAACAAGAACCACTTGCATCAAATTATGCACAAACAAAATCAAACAAAATCAAACGATTCGAGAGGGATCCAGAAGGGTTACAGTATGAATTCAGATAAATTCAGGGCTAGCTTCGGCAAATTTGAAAGTAACTTCGTGGCTTTCAGAATCTCGAGCCCGAATAGTCCCAAATATGTCAGGGTCATCGTCATGCCTGCTGCCTCAATCACATCTGCAAATGCAGGGAGATGCCACATAGTTGTCCCCTTGGGCTGCTCCAGAAAAATGAAGATGTCTGGACGAAACTGCAGGATTAGATTCACGAGGAAAGCTGTGTTTTCAGCTATCAACGTACTCATCCGGACCTTGTAGTTCAAGATGTTTCCAAATGGGAAGAGATCTGATCTTTGGTGTACCGACTGTGAGATTGGGATGAACAAACTGCACGGTGGTGCCAATGCCAGAAGCGAGTATGGAAGCAACCTGAAAAATGATGAAAAATGATGAAAAACGGTTACGCAAATAAAATCAAATAAATGGTCGGCCTGCCCCCCCCCTCCGGGCTCCGCAAACTTTCCAAATCAATAAATATGGCCATATCATGCCATATCATGCCAAATGATGCCAAATTTGGAAAAAAAAACAAAACATAACAAAACCATACAAAACCCGTAGCATTTCCTTTCTGAGTAGCATCAGGGCTAGATCCAAAACCTCATAGAATCCAGTCCTGGAGAGAATGTCATCTCCTGCCCGAGTTGCGAGATCGTATGCATGGGCACGAAACCTCTTCTTCGTGAACGTTTTGGCCGTCTTCCCAGACCGGCTAAACACATCGAGGCATGACAACCTGGGAGCACCGTGCCATGATTGGCAATAGCTCCGCAACTCAACTGCATGATCCATTGCACGGAACCAGTCAGTTTCAGTTGTCACGGTGAACGCATCATCGCTGTTGGCCCCTTGTGTGCCGGTAAGGAGCGCACACAGCGCCAACAAGAGGGCAATCAACGGCATTTTATTGCCTCACTTGAATCTGCCTATTTTTTTTTGAGCCAAGAATACTGGATAATTATATTATATCATATTGTATCGTATTATATCATATTATATCATAGCATATACTGTAGTGGTTCCCCCAAAAGGGGGGGGGGGGAAATGTAAGTTACATTTTCTCCCCCCCCATTTCCATAGATCACTACGTGATACTACGTGTGTGGTGCATTCCTGGGGAATACCTTGAAATTACTTTGACCAGGACCATACCTAGGGGGGTCAGAACTTACATTTTTCACCCTTCCCAAACCTGAATTTCTGGTACCTTAGAGATTTTAAGTTACAATTAACCCCCCCCAAAAAAACAACCCAAAAAATGTAAGTTACATTTTGGGGAGGTCCCCCCCCGAAAACCTAGGTTAAGGGGGTGGGGATTATACCGGTACATCCTGTTAATGTCCATTGATTGTATCATATCCCATATCCCAAGTGTGGTTGGCTCAATCCCTTCATGCCACATCAGCAGTCAACACTTTCCATGCGACCAATTCGTACAGTGAGACGGTGAAACTAAGCCATTCCGGGGCAACCATCAACGACGCCTCGCGGTGCCCCAAACTGGTTGAAATCGGTACCATAGGCACAATTGTTTTTTTTTGGTGGTGGGCTGTATATAATAATATATATATATACATACACACACATATATCTATATACAATTATATGTATATATAAATTTAAGTTCATCACGGATGAAGGTCACTCAAAACCGGATTGGAACCCGGGAAACCTGGAGCCCCTGTTGAATTCCAAAGCTGGGTTAGTCTTCAGATTGCTCTTTGATTCTTGCAAAGACCACGAGATAGGGTTCATTCTGGAAGTTGATTTGGTTTGAGACTTTCCATGTCTTGGACCATCTGAGAAATGGCCAAGTGATGAACGTAGGGTGACTGTCAGTTCTGGCCTTCTTGATTTTGGGGGTCATCTCAGCTCACCATTGTTTTGAAGCGGCTACAATTGGTGGGATGTTCTCAGCGAAGCCGAGGCCCCACCAAACCCTTCATGGACGGAGAGATGTGACTTAACTGGAAACACGTCACAGTTTTAGTATATACAAATACAGACGTGATCCCTTCCCCCAATACAAAAATCCACCAAAAGCCGTGGCTAAGTATTGGAACTATTCATTTTCGCATCCTATCTTATATTAGGGGGATGGGATTTACATATTTAGTCTTTATATTGAACCAGGTACCCCAGGTTCAAATAGTTCCGATCCATACCAATCTGAATGATTTCCTTGTGCACCAAGCAGCAACCCACCTCAGTATCTTAGACTTTGTCGCCAGGGTCAATGTCCTCAAGCGTCATGGACAATCAGCGGATGAAACACAGCGAACACATTTTTAAACACCAAAGAAATGCTGAGGTTCCGGTAGATTATTCCGAGCACGCACGGGGATGTTTATATATATATATATGCATACGGTATATAAATGTACAATACGGTCATTTAATATACGCACATATATTGTATATGTATATATTAAAATATGTAGTTATTTATGTATATTGTATACATGCATACATACAGGTAATTAAATAAATATGTACATGTAAACATGTATGTGTATAGATGTAGGTATGTTCATGCATGTACACCTGTTCGCATTTGCACCTGGGCTCTTGTCTATCTTAGCGTTTTACTAGGTACAGTATCTTTTGGGGTCCCCTTTGGAGATCTTGGCTTCAAAATGTGCACATGTTGTTCTATCAAGGCTTTGGTTGTACAGCTGTTCATCAATACCATTCACAGGGTTGCTCCACCTTTGTGGCAATGATCTAGCTACAATTCAAGGGGAAACAACAAGTTGTATATGGCTATGGGTCAAAAAAAACCTCTAGCCCTGGTGAACTCCAAAGCAGGAGGCAAATCGATGTAGATCTCCATCAAATATGGTGTATATATATATGAATATATATATATGATTATATATGTGTATGTGAATGATCCATTCCCAGCAACCAACCCAGCTGAGCGGCATCCAGGCGTTCAACCAACCTGGATGCATCAGTGGTTTTTTGGGGAACATCTTGAGGAACAGGTGTGGTTTTACCACCCCAAACATAAAGACAATGAAGGGGTAAACCCTGCAGATTTTCCACAGCCTGCTGGGCACTTGAGATGTTTTAGGCGTTCAAAGGCCTAAAGCCGTCTAAATATAGTGTAATATGGGGTTTGATGTTCAAAGGATTTCAAAGACCTATAAACCGACTATGCAAATCCAGGAAAGAAACGACAATCCTTCTTTGACATGTATGAAGCCCTCCAAAAATGTATGAAGCTCTGAGTATTCTTTGCGACATTGGGCCTGCCACACTGTATATCTGAAAGAACCGAATGATGGAGTGGTTCAACAATTGGTAAAGCCCAAAGTCACTGCTTAATTAAAAACATGCATTATTTTGGGGCTAGTTTGGCGGATTTCAGGGGACACAAATATTTGGATACACAATGGTCTTTTTTGGAGTGGCCATTCCTGCCGCATTCATCGGGATCCACCACGCGATCAAAACAATCTCCCCAAAAGGATGGCCAATGGCCCAGCCACTTCCAGAAAGTCATGGGGATATATGGGGATATTGTATGGTGCTTACTTACAGGTGCTTACCACATATCTCTCTCTCCATCGCCATCCCGAAGGTTCAGCTAAGGCTGAGGGCGGGCTGTTGGCCCCAGCAAAAGGAGCCGCCACTAATGACTGGGCTGTACAAACACATGCTAGGCATACAGATACATTGCCAAATTACACGGAACTAAACAATTTGCTCTGCAAAAGGTTTTGTACTTTGCATCATGGGTTAGCTGTAACTGCGCACGGCTATCAATCAATCTAGTGTACAGGCAAGGTGGAGCTTACCACATACAGTATGTACTATCTAGTTGGCCACTAGCCATGGCATACAATCATTAGCATCCCTTGGGATATGGACTAGTCCAATGATGATGCAAGTGGTGTATACCGCCGTGTTGGCTCACTGTGGATCACCAAAATACAACTCTCAGAATTAATGCAAATGAACATCTATTTGGGGCTGAAAAACGCTAGGGTTTCCCATAATAGATTATGATCATCCATGATAATCCATGATAATAGCATGCAGTAATCGCATAGAATCATCAACCAACAGTAACCAACAGCAGTTTTGAACTGAGGAGCTCTTCATAGTCGATCTCAGCCGTGGGGCCCTCTTTGTTCTTGTCTGCAAAGTCAATGAAGCCTGGAATGCGACGGCGCGTCGGCGTCTCAGTAGCAAAGTTACCTTCAAAACTGGGTGACTTCTAAGGTAACTGTAGAAACATATGCCCAGATATGCAATGTTATGACCAATTGCAGCGATACCTTAAGCAAAAACGTGTTTTTTAAAGTTCTTATACGGCTGGGAAGTACGGATATGTTTTTGTTCTGCTCATTTATAGTCGAAGAATTCATATATCCACGCACGTCCCCATAGGGACACCTGTAAAACATCCGTAAAAACCCAGATTGGATGGCTTCAAGACGGTCACCGTTTTAGATCCATTGGACAGTGGTGGTTGTAGGCTGAGATCAACAATCAACAAAACATGAGTCAAGTGCCATTGAACAGTCCAGGATCAGGGCCTCTTTCGAGTTAGTCATAGTTGCTGACCAATGACCACTCCCTTTATGATCATCCACATATTGAGCACCAAGACATTCCACATGGAGCCCCAAAATATGGTAAAAATGCCCAGGTGTGAAAAAGGACTTGCAAAACTTGGATTTGGTTTCCTGGGTCCTGCATTGAAGTTCAGGGGGGCAACCAAACATCTCTGTCTTTAGTGATTACAGGACACCTTAGATATAACTAAATAGCCTTAAATAGATAATTGCTTAGCTTTGAATCACAACTTTTGCCGACAGCTTGCGCAAGCCTGAAACAAATATACCGCTGCGAAGCACGGCTGGAGACAAGATCTGGGTTTCCAGAGTGGTTTCCAAGGCCCAAAGAAACCTCAACTTTGGTCATCATAAGTCATGGGCCTACAACGTATGTATATATATATATACACATATAATTCTATATATATATACACATATAAAGGGTGCCTGCAATTGTACCTCAATTTGTCAACACTTTTCTTGAGACCCGCCGGATGCCCAGTTGCGATCCGCTTCTTCGTCATTCAGTGGATCTCCCATGGTCATCAACACCTGGGATGGGCCATGAAGGGCGAAGCTGCAGCACCCGCGGCTGGGACATCTTGTAACCAGCACCCGTGACCATAGCACTGATAGGTTTACCTTTCTCTCGCTGGGACCAAGGCACTTCAGCCGCCAACTGTAAGGTATGTAAGCCTATACGTCTGTGAATTTTGGGATGGGGAAACTGCCATACGAAGCTCGCAAAATATTGAGAAGCACCTCACCTGCCCAAAAGAACAAAACTTATGAAGGATCATCCGCCCAGTACTGGCAGTGTTCCAGGCGACAGTTATCTTTCACTTGCTTTCCCGAATTCATTAATTTCCATTCTCGTCAGCAAATGATAGATGTATATAGTTGTATGAGAACTATGTACCATTTCGAATCACTATATATAATGAACCAATATTGCCCCATTAGGAACAATAGAGGGGCCGTTCTGGGATATTATGATGTGTTACATTATATCTACTGATTTGCTCTTGAATGCAGGAAAGCCTCTATGATTTTAACCGCGTGAAAATTGGGAAATCCATGGTTTCTCGCGTTGACCAGTGACATAGCGGATCTGGGCGATGGTGAGCGTGCCCTTGCCATCCTTGGATCGTTTCTTCGGCTTGCGATCCACGGGACACTCACAATTTTCAGCCATCCCAGGGAACGTACAAAATGAACGCAACAATTATAATATGCACATGCACATGCAAATACATACATGTATATATACATTTGCATACACATAAATAATAATATATAACATATCATAACTATATGCATAATTATAAATATATGTGCACATGAATGTATATACATATATATATGTAATACTATATTGTATTATATACATGTATATGTGATGGTTTTTGGTGAACATTCATAAAACAATCCAATCTTCATTCAGCTGCAAAATTTAAATGGCTTTCCCGAAGGGGCCATGGTCTCCTCCGTGCTTTGGGTCCCAGTCCCATTGACATCAAACGGATCAGACCCCCGAGACCACCCAGACCAAACCCCTGTCCGCATTCCGAACGCGTGCCTTGTCAAAGGTCTTGAAGGCTTCAATCAGCTGTTCTTTCCTCAGTGCGTCCTGGACGACTCTCCATGGCGGCTCGGGAAAGGAATTACACAGCATATGGAATCATGCGTTTACATTTACCTCAACAAACCACTGTAGTTGACCCGATTTGTCAGGATCAATGATAGATTCAGTCAGTTGGCCAGCAGCGAAACATCCAACTGTAGGTACTGGAGTCATCAAAGGATGGAAGGACTCACATTGATGCAAGGCATTACATTGCGGAAAAACTCATTCAGCTGACAACGGAAAATCCCCCACATCACCCACAACACTATACATTTACAATAATTTACAGGTGCTTTTTTGCCTTTTCCAGTTGAACGGTGATGTTCAAGCAAGCCATAGTTGACATGTCCGCATGGCGCATCACTTTTCTGGGGCTTCCCTTGTCCTCCCGGTTCTCGCAGAGCTTCAGAAAGGTTTCCTCGGCGAAGGATGCCGGAGATCTGTGGTGGAGAGATGGATTGCTTCAGCATCAAACAAGTCCACACATCCTCTGGTTGGAACAATCCTTGCTAAGTAATCCTGGTCAAAGAGATTGTGCTGAGGTTTCAAATGTTTCAGACATTGGCTGGTGAGTTCAACTTGCAGAACAGGGGACAGAAATGAGGATACCGCCAATTTCAAATACAACCAACAAGACCTCACATAATATGAACCAATATGAACCACGATCAGCTGGCGGGAATCATCACACAGAGTGGCTGGACAAAACTGGTATAATGTAGTTGCAAAAAAATGAAGCCACCGACGGGATTTGGGCTGGATTCATGCAGCAACTAAGCTTAGCAAGGGGTTGTGCTCGTGAATGGTGAACGCAGCACAGCCGAACAGCACAAAATCAAAGGACCCTGTGAAATTGAAATGATCATCAAACAGAAATGGCAATGTCAAAATGAAAGCCCCATCTTATAAGTCTTTTAAAGAAAAGGTGGGTGTCCTGCCAGGCGGGTTTTGTTGGCAAATGGATGCCCCAAGAGAACACCCTTGAAATGATGGCCCAGCACTACCACAAAGGCATCAAAAAAAAAGCGTGGCCTCGTGGCATACAACCATGAAATGGAATGGGAATTTCGGAAGGTCGGAATATCCCTGCTTGAGGAATGTGAGCAAACTGACATTTATTCTTTGCTTGAATCGCAAACTTCTTGTATGAGTTGTTGAAACACTGACTCAACGCTGAGCCGTCATATGGGAGCCAAATTCAGCAGTGGTCGGCACGCACATCATAAAACCCACCTAAATACATGAGAGCCTGGTTGGTGTTGTGAACACCCTTAAACATATTCGCCCACGCCAGAGAATCATCTTTTACAGATGTAAAAATAAAAATTGGGCACTTCATTCTTGATGGATGGTTCCTACTAAACGATAGCCAACATCTATGGTTTCCAGGATCTTGAATGGCTTGACAATGGGGAACACTACCGGGCTATCGGTCCGGCCAAGATCGGCAAGCATCCAGTTGAAAGTGCCCCGTCCCCGTGTCATTCTCTTCGATGATCCGTTTCAGATCGGCTTCGGTGGGGTTTTGGCCAATGGCACGCCACAAGTTCGCCTGGAAGAAGCTATAAACCATCCTATAGGAAACGGCCAAAAGAGAGGTAAACGGGGATCAATATAATCCCATTACAGGGAAATACCAATAAAGGATCATAAAGGCTAATTGGGTTGATTTCACTACTAAAGCAAGGTATTCACTGAAAAGACTGAGAATTTCTTTAAATTGTTTTGGAAGGAACACGCGGGAAAGCTTTTCTTGGCGTTGGCCACCAAAAAAGAAACGCCTACACTAAATGTGACCCACAGCTGTCAGACTCGTAATTTGTTGCAGATATGGCTTCACTTGGCTGTGGCGAAGGCGGCCTTTACATTTTTTGATAAGATTTGGGTACTGGTGGTTTCAACCCATTCCCAGAATTTGAGTCAATGTGGATCATCCCAAATAGGGTGGACAATATAAACGTGGTTGAAACATGTTAAAACCACAAAGGAGTAGATGCTACAACTGTGGATATATTAAGCCCAGATTAATGTCAATAAATGATACCAAAATGTGGTATAAGGTGATTAATCGCGTGTATCACTCCTGATTCAAAACAATAATCACACCTTATCATCGATCATCCCTTGATATCTTGAAAAACAATCATGTGCGTCATCATTACCAATATGGTGACATATCAAACGATAGCGGATTATAATCATGTCATATTTCCAAAGGGAACGTAGTAGTTATATGGATTCCTCATTTCCCCTCTCAATACCAATTTCTATGCAAGGCACGCCATGCTCACCTGTGATCCCTCATTTGTTATCCGTACCTATCCTCATCATAAGAATCCACTGACAAACTTAGATATGTACCCTGCAGAATCGCAATTTTTGAGAAGCTTATTATCTTCATCGGCATGGCAAAAGAAAATTGCTATAATATGCCAAAAAGTATAAATATATATATATACATATATATATATATATGTAAATATGTAGCAAATCTATGAATCTATGTACACACACACATATATATATATATGTATATGTATATATATATGTATATATGTGTGCACATACATCTAGCCTACTCAACCTTTCAGCTTACTCACTTCGTCTCATTACAATCATGATCGCCCAGGCGCGAAGTCGGGCTTCCAGGGGATGTAGCCTTGCCTGAAGCGCCAGCAAGCGTTGCCCAGTTGAAGGCCCCCTGGACTGCCATGAACTTCTATGTTCTCCAAGGAAATAGCGGGACAAATGGAGATTTCAACAAACAACAGGAATGGACAGGAAGTATCAAATGATTAAGCAATTAACATGCGGTCACACTCACTGACTTGATATGGGATGAGATTATCCAATCAAAAGCAAAAACGTCGTCCATGCGCACCCCATGTTGGGTCAGTTTTCAGTGGCTCAATGAGCAGGAGACGCCACCGTCACCGTCCAAGGTGCTGATGTTTATCAAAGATGTTGAAGGCTTCAGTGTACTTCAGCCGGTCCGCGGCTGTAAGCCCATCGCCGTCACCTAAATCGCCAGGTGCTATGGTATAATGGTAATCCTATTTGAGACTTGCAACAAAAAACAACAAGTGTTTTTGGCTGCAGCTGGGTGTTATTCATTGGTGAGTTCGAGCCAACACTACTGCCGTGAGTTGGGGATTGGAAGACGACTTTCCTGTCTTGGCATGGGCGATTCTCAAGGTCTATGTTGGTGCACATCCCGGGAGTTTCAAGAAAATCAACAGTGCAAAGAACAGTATTGAGTCCAAAAAACGGAAATGCATGGGAATAAATAGAAGGTAATCATCACGAGTTTTGTCCACTCAAGTTTTCCCTTTTCTTCCTATGTTAAAAAATACCTTTTCTTATGCCAATTCTATTGTATTTTAGTATGTGATTGTTTCCAGAAAGTGCCTGGACACAGCAACCATAAAGATGGTACTGTATGTGGTTGCGACTGGGCACAGCATGTCCCAACAGAGCATCCCAACCCCCTGACACCACTGCAGCTGTGTCACCATCATCCGCCATGGGTCCACTTCACTGCGCGGCTATGCACGCTTGAGCCCAGAAAGCATTAACTCCAAGCGAAACCTTCTGGTATTTCACCTTCGCCTGGGCCTGTGTCAATGGGTTGGTTTCTGGGATTTTTTCAGGATACCCTGGTTTTGAGCCAAGTAAAAGGTTTCCTGCATATTTTCTTTTCAATCAATTCCTGGACAGTAGGCTGGTTAGCTTCCACTGTATCAATTTATTCCTGGTCAACATCAAGATCCTTCTTTTTGCTTGACATTTTGATCAATTGTACTAGTCAAATGTGCTCGCTCCCATACCCCCCAAAAAACAAGGCCACTCATATTCGCATGGAGATGGGGTGATGATTTCAACTCATTCTCGTAGCCAGGCAGAGTTTTGAGAAACGCTCACCCCTTCACCTGTGATTTGTAGGACACACACATATGTATATATATGTATATATATTGGTATACATATGTATTTAAATATAAATTCATAAGCACACGCCAGCCCATACTCAGAGTCGTATACTAATAGAAATGTCCACCCACAAATATACATGCGTACGTTTATACATCAATATATTCAATGTGTACAAATCTGTGTCACACATTTACATACATAAGCATACATATATGCATCATCATATATACATATATGATCATACATACATAAAGATGTATGTGCATGTACAGGGATTGCCTGTATACGTCTACTCAAATATGCACGCATGCATATGTCCTCACAATTTCTCAATCAAATCACCTCCGGGCAAGGTTTGTTCAACAGAAACCTCAGGCTCCACGCTGTTGCACCGCTTGGGCGTTGTTTTGAAGCCACTCTTTCTGACTCTTGGGGGAAACATCCGCAAAATAGAAGTCAAACCCCAATGATTCATCAAACGTCTCTCAATCCCAACAATCCATCCACAATCCATTAAAAAAAATCCTACCAAATTCATCAGAAGTTCAAGCCATCCAAATCCATCAAGCATCAAAAAACATGTTCCTCCACCTGGAGAGCAAATTCTCATCCCCTGCTGTTGCACCCAGGTCCCCAGCACAGCAGCAGCGCGTCAGGCAGCTCGCCCGTCCCTGGAGGCGCCTCGGCGAGAGTTGACTGGTTGGTGGTTTCAGCATTAGATGATAAAAATCATGTGGCCACAACTAACTCATCCATTTTTCTTTGGGATTTTCCATTCTAAACCATCCGTTTTGGGTAACCCCGTGGCTTGGGAAACCCCCATGTACAGTAAACCTTTTAACCCCAATGATAAACCATCTTCAACTCAGCCGGGTTGTTTGGTTGTTAAAGGCCTATACACTGATGGGGGGGCTTCACTAGAGGCTACGCAAGGCATGGATTTGTGCAAAGGTTGGCTTCGCGCGGCTTCGCGGAGCACTTTGGCGTTAATTACCGGGTATAATCCCATTTGAATCATATTATAATAGTGGCCAAACAGTTGGGTACTTGGATGGTGTGTTTTTGGGCTTACCATAATGATTCTCATTCAACTAACTGGAATAAAAAATGGTGGATTTGAGCAATGATGATACACATATGATGAGAATATAATGGGTATATAACAAACAGTTCGGGTAGTTTACTATTGCCTCAAGTCAAGTTTACATAATTTTACTACAAACCACTAATTTGAAACTGTTCCCTTCAAACAATGAAGTAAATATCATAATTGACTGGTGGACCTATCTGGGAATATCATCATACATCTTAAAGGATGGACATGTTGGCCAATTTGGGGACAATCCCCATCGTACTATCTAGAATGACCTCTGAATTTACAAGGATGATTCCAATCCATAGATGTACAGACATATCTATATCTATCTATCTATATAATTATAGTCCATGTGCTCACAACCCTATACAGAAGCATCAATCCAGGTCTAGTGCGCGCTATCATTGGGATGAAGAACAACAACATTTTACAAAGCAAATCGGTGCTTGAACCAAAAATATAGAAAGGATAGTCACCCAAAATCCACTGGTGCTTAGACAACATTTCCGGAACATGAAGAAACACCGCTGGTGGAGGGTTACTGGAATCATCCCCTTAAGTTGGCCACTTTTTGTAGCAACCGCTGGTAGCGCTACCAAGGTGGGATCATTCCAGTGATAAAAAGCTTTCAACTATGTCTTCGTCCAACTCTACCACGTGATCCAAGGATCAGCGTTTCTATTCCATGTTGGAACTCCAAGAAACGTTGCGGAAATCTGCCCTCAAAGCTATGGAAATGCTGACCAACTCACCAATTCTAGCTATTTTCACCCCGGTGCTCCAGTGCGTGTGAATGGGACATCCCCCAAATCCCATGAGATAAAATCATTGTTCAATCTGTTTTTACTATGAAATGAAAATGTTATGCTCGAAACCCTCTGCAAGTCCCTGTTTTCTTTTTCTCGACGTCACGCGGGCATTGCCGGCGCCTGGCACTGGGATGTGGAGAAACATGGCCATGAGAAGGGCATGGAAGCAGCGACTGCTTGAATTTCGAGACACGAGGCTTTCTGATCAACTCAGCTTTTTATATGTATTTATATATATATATACATGTGTGTGTGTTCTATCTAATTAGCTAATGTATTTATTTGTTTATATATATATTTCATGATATTTCAGTGAACTGACATCAGGCCGGGGTTTGGGGGTGGTTTTGGTTCTTTGTTGCCATCTTTCTGCAATTTCCCCAGGTCCTAGACCTTACCAATGCTGTGCGCACCAGTGTGCCCAAAAACCACATTTATCAGTTACACATCGTTTACGCACCTTTGTAATACAATTTAATACCTAGGATGCATCATGATTGATACAGCCCACAAGAAGCGGGGATACATGCTAAAACCCGAAGCGATACGTTTGGTCGCGTTCCAAAGCGAGGACCCGAGGCCGCGTTCGAAACCATTTTTTTAAGGGGAGGGGGGGGGCAAGCGATTATTATTACTTTTTTTTTTTTTTGGGGGGGGGGGGGAGATAACCATTAGTGCTTCCAGAGAAGGGGAAGCGGCGACACCAACGCTGGGAGTGCGAGGGGAAGGGGGGGGGGCAAGCGATTATTTTTACTTTTTTTTTCTTTGGGGGGAGGGGGGCGGGAGATAATCATTACTTCATGGAACAGCTGGAAAGGAGCCACACCAACGCTGGAGGGAGGGAAAGGGGGGGAGGGCAATCGATTATTATTACTTGTTTTTTTCTTTGGGGGGGGGCGGGAGATAATCATTACTTCTTGCAACAGCTGGAAAGACGCCACACCAACGCTGGGAGGGAGGGAAAGGGGGGGAGGGCAATCGATTATTATTACTTTTTTTTTCTCGGGGGGGGGGCAATCGATTATTATTACTTTTTTTTTTGTTTGGGGGGGGGTGCCGGAGATAATCATTACTTCTGCAACAGCTGGAAAGGAGCCGCACCAACGCTGGGAGGCAGGGAAAGGGGGGAGGGCAATCGATTATTATTACTTTTTTTTCTTTGGGGGGGGGGCAATCGATGATTATTACTTTTTTTGGTTTCCTCAGGGTGGGGTGGGCGGGAGATAACCATTACGACTACTACGACTACTACGACTACTACGACTACTACTACTACTGCTACTACTACTACTACTACTACTACTACTACTACTACTACTACTACTACTAGTACTACTACTAGTACTAGTACTAGTACTAGTACTAGTACTACCACTACCACCACTACTACTACGACTAGTACTACTACTACTACTACTACTACTACTACTACTTACCACTACTACTACTACTACTGCTACTACTACGACGACTACTACTACTACTACTACTAGTACTAGTACTAGTACTAGTACTACTACTACTACTACTCGTCCAGAAGCTCGGAGACCGATTCACTGGCAGAAAAGGCGCCCAGAAACACATTTAGTAGCCGCAGAAAACGAATTTCAAGACACAAAAAAAGCTGCCGTAGACGAAATTAGTGGCAGAACAAGGTCCCGGAAACGACTTGAGAGGCAAAAATAGCTCCCGGAACCGGTGAGGGGGGCCGGGGGGTGTTGAATTATTATTACTTTTTTTCTTCGAAGGGGGGGGGCGGCCAATTATTATTACTTGTTTTTTTCGCGGGGGGGGCGGGCAACGATTATGATTTCAAATAATAATAATTGAACACAAACGGCTGTGAAGAAAGACAAAACGGCGTCCAGAAACTCGGAGACCGATTCACTGGCAGAAAAGGCGCCCAGAAACACATTTAGTAGCCGCAGAAAACGAATTTCAATACACAAAAAAATTGCCGTAGACGAAATTAGTGACAGAACAAGCTCCCGGAAACGACTTGAGAGGCAAAAATAGCTCCCGGAACCGGTGAGGGGGGCCGGAGGGTGTTGAATTATTATTACTTTTTTTCTTCGAAGGGGGGGGGGCGGCCAATTATTATTACTTTTTTTTTTCGCGGGGGGGGGGCGGGCAACGATTATGATTTCAAATAATAATAGTTGAACAACCCCCTCCCCCCCACGGAATCACCAACATGCGTTCGGAAGCGGACTTTAGTGGCAGAAAAAGCTCCCGGAGACTACTTTAAAGGCAGAAAAGGCCCTGGATGGCAACAAAAAGCGCCCGGAAATTTGAATTTAGTGGCAGAAAAGGCTCCCGCAACTAATTTAATGGCAGAAACAGCTCCCAGAGACTAAATTCAGAGCAAAAATAATTCCCGGAAAGGACAGGAAAGCCTCAGAAAACGAATTTCAATGCACGAAAAAGCTGCCGTAAGCTAAATTAGTGGCAGAACAAGCTCCCGGAGACGAATTGAAAGGCAGAAATAGCTCCCGGAACGGGTGACGGGGGCCGGGGGGTGTTGAATTATTATTACTTTTTTTCTTCGGAGGGGGGGGGGGCGGCCAATTAGTATTACTTTTTTTAGTCTACGGATTTTTTTGTGAAGATATATTTAGTCTAGCAGATTTTTTCTTGAAGATATATTTAGTCTACGGATTTTGTTTTGAATCTATATTTAGTCTAGGGATTTTTTTTTGAAGATATATTTAGTCTAGGGGATTTTTTTGAAGATATATTTAGTCTAGGGGATTTTTTTTGTATATATATTTAGTCTAGGGATTTTTTTTTGAAGATATATTTAGTTTAGGGGAACTTTTTTTGAAGATATATTTAGTCTAGGTGATTTTTTTTTGGATATATTTTGATTTTGGAGCACCAAAAGGCCCAGGGGTCCAGATTTGGCACCAAATCCTGTAAAACAAGCATTTTTTAAAAGGAAAAAATCGATTTTTGAAGGCCCTCGAAAGTTTGATTTTTTGTATGCATGTTTTTTTTTGCAGATATAATTAGTCTAGGGTTTTTTTTTGAAGATATATTTAGTCTAGGGATTTTTTTTGAAGATATATTTAGTCTAGGGATTTTTTTTTGAAGATATATTTAGTCTAGGTTTTTTTTTGAAGATATATTTAGTCTAGGGAATTGTTTTGAAGATATATTTAGTCTAGGGAAATTTTCTTGAAGATATATTTAGTCTAGGTTTTTTTTGAAGATATATTTAGTCTAGGGAATTTTTTTTGGAGCTATATTTACTCTAGGGGAATTTTTTTGAAGATATATTTAGTCTAGAGAATTGTTTTGAAGATATATTTAATCTAGGGAAATTTTCTTGAAGATATATTTAGTCTAGGGGATTTTTTTTGAAGATATATTTAGTCTAGGGGATTTTTCTTGAAGATATATTTAGTCTAGGGATTTTTTTTTGAAGATATATTTCGTCTAGGGGAATATTTTTGAAGATATATCTAGTCTAGGGTGAGAGGCAGAAACCGGTGAGGGGGGCCGGGGGGTGTTGAATTATTATTATTTTTTTCTTCGGAAGGGGGGCGGCGGCCAATTATTATTACTTTTTTTTCTCGGGGGGGAGGGGGGGGGCAACAAATTATTATTACTTCAAGGAATAATAATCGGGGGAAACCGGGACTTGAGCAATTATTATTACTTGAAGTAATAATAATGGGGGGAGAAGCAACTACGATTACTTGAAATAATAATAATTGGTGGACCCCCCCCCCCGTCCCGTAGACCGGAGGGGGGGGGGCGGCCAATTATTATTACTTTTTTTAGTCTACGGATTTTTTTTTGAAGATATATTTAGTCTACAGATTTTGTTTTGAATATATATTTAGTCTACGGTTTTTTTTTGGAAAATATATTTAGTCTAGGTTTTTTTAAGTATATATTTAATCTACGGATTTTTTTTGTATATATATTTAGTCTACGGATTTTTTTGAAGACATATTTAGTCTGGAGATTTTTTTTTGAAGATATATGTAGTCTAGGGGATTTTTTTTGCAGATATATTGTCTAGGGGAACTTTTTTGAAGATATATTTAGTCTAGTGATTTTTTTTTGAATATAGATTGGTTTTGGAGCTTCAAAAGGCCCAGGGGTCCAGATTTGGCACCAAACCCTGTAAAAGAAGCACTTTTCAAAAGGAAAAAATCGATGTTTGAAGGTCCTTGAAATTTTTACTAGGGATTTTTTTTTGGAATATAGATTTAGTCTCGGATTTTTTTTGGGAAGATATACTTAGTCTAGGGTTTTTTTTTTGAAGATATATCTAGTCTAGGGATTTTTTTGGGAAGATATATTTAGTCTAGGGGATTTTTTGTGAAGATATATTTAGTCTAAGAATTTTTTTAAACAGATATATTTAGTCTAGGGATTTTTTTTGAAGATAGATTTAATCTACGGTTTTTTGTTTAATATATATTTAGTCTACGGATTTTTTTTGAATATATATTTAGTCTACGGTTTTTTTTGAAGATATATTTAGTCTACAGATTTTGTTTTGAATATATATTTAGTCTACGGGCTTTTTTTGGAAAATATATTTAGTCTAGGTTTTTTTAGTATATATTTAATCTACGGATTTTTTTTTGTATATATATTTAGTCTACGGATTCTTTTTTTGAAGATATATTTAGTCTGGAGAATTTTTGTTTGAAGATATATGTAGTCTAGGGGATTTTTTTTTGCAGATATATTTAGTCTAGGGATTTTTTTTGAAGATAGATTTAGTCTACGGTTTTTTTAAATATATATTTAGTCTACGGTTTTTTTTTGAATATATATTTAGTCTACGTTTTTTTTTTTGAAAATATATTTAGTCTAGGGGATTTGTTTTTAGTATATATTTAATCTACGGTTTTTTTTTGGTATATATATTTAGTCTACGAATTGTTTTTTGAAGATATATTTAGTCTAGGGGACTTTTTTTTCCATATATAGTTAGTCTAGGGGAAAAAAAAACGGAAAGGACAGGAAAGCCTCACAAGACTAATTTCAATGCACGAAAAAGCTTCCGTAGACTAAATTAGTGGCGATCCCGGAAAGGACAAGAAAGGAATAAAAAAAATAATAATCATAAGGACCCCCCCCACCCCAGAGGAAAAAAAAAAGTAATAATAGTCTGCCTCCCCCCCCCCAGGAAAAAAAAAGTAATAATAGTCTGCCAAATCCAGGAACCAATTCCCTCGAACGCTTCCTGGAGGACCCAACCAACCTGTGATTCACAGTGATGTAAGTGAACCAACTCTAAGGCCTGAAGTCTGCACCTACTTGGTTGCTCTTCTCATTTTCTGCAACTGGCTGACATAAATCTAACCTGTTTATATCAGATATTTCCGCGCGGGGATCTCAACGGCTCTCACCCACTTTCCCTCGATTCATCCCATTGACCCCATGAAACATCCACCATTTGTAGTTATATAGTTATATTGTTTCTGTCTTTGGAATATGGGAATGTTCCATGCTCGCGTTTTTGGTTGCCAAGAGGCAAACATCATCCACTCTTGCCGGTGAAACTCCATGTTTCCTTGCTTCAACATCTTTACATCCAACTATGTTCGTTGTTTAAACCGCAATTCTTGCAAATGAAATCTCTATCCGTATTGTTCTTTGACTTTTTCTGTGGAAGTCCAACCGAAACAACACAACATGTTTCGATAAACAAAACGAAAAAACACACACACACCCTCATCATCCCACATCATGCTGGTTAAAGCACCGCTTTTTTCCATCTCTTAAAGTAAACAATACATGAATCTTCTAAGGAATAATTGTTAAAACCACCAGATTTTTCCACAGCACCCGGCACCTGCCAGGCGCTCCATGATGTCCATGGCACATGAGCTCAAGCGTGGCAGCAAGGGCGTCAAACCTGGCCAGTGGATGCTGGATTTACCCAATGGCCATATTTTTTAATGGTAGAGTACTGGTTATCGATTGTTAAGTTCAAGGTTACTCAATGGTTTATGGTTCCTAATTGTTAAGTCAAGGTTAACCAATGGTTAACAAATGGTTGATTAATGGTTGAATAATGGAAAATTAATGGCTAATTAATTGCCAGTTAGTTGTTAATTATATAATTGTTAATGAACCTGGAGCTTCAAAAGTAGACTAATTTCTGCTCGAGCAAATTTCTGCTCGAGGAACCCAAATCTGCTCGTTTTACCAATTTCTGCTCGAGGTACAGCTAGATTTGAAAACAACCACTTTTCAAATGTGCGCTCGTTTGCGGGAAATTGCGCTCGATTGCGGGAAATTGCGCTCGTTGTGCGGCCTGTTTTTTTTGAATCAGAGACAGGCAGTGAAAACTCAAGAAGTGCTCGTTTGGCAAATTTCTGCTCGTGATGGAAAAATGCGCTCGATTTGCCCAAAACATATACGAACAAGAAAACAACCAGAAATTAATGCTCGTTTGAAGATCAAGGAACATATAATTGTTAATGAATGGTTTGTTAGTGGTTTCACAAATGGTTGATTAATGGTTGATTAACATGTAATTAATGGTGAATTAACTGTTAATTAATGTTTAAAGCTTACTAATGGTTTTTCACCAACAATAATACTTTGTCTCCACTAAAGCAGTGCTACAGTATACCTTCCCCGCAACATGCCCAGTTTCACCCTGAAAATCGGCTTTTTTTTTTACACCATGAAAGGCGTGTCAGTTGGAGGGATGATAAACTTTCTTTTTCAATGTCTCAATTTGACCAGGTCGCAGCCAGTATCTCATGGGATCATAGTGAAACCACAATGCATAGTGGTCACCATTTGAAAATTTGACCTGTTTGACCAGGTAAGATCAACCATAGTGCAACCACCTTGTTGCGGTGTCAGCGCTGTCGCAGCGGTGGCCAAGGAAATCAAGTTGGAGTCGCCGCCTGGTGGATCGATGGGAAAATCGATAGCGGCGAAAACCGGAAAACCCTCAGGAAAGTTTGGTTTTTGAACCTGAAATTTTTCAGGGCTTGCAGATTTTCCCTCCATTTGAACTTGCAGAGTTTGTTGGAAATCCAACGGACATGGAGGATTTATGTGAATTTTTCATTCAGAATGCTTTTGGGAAAGCTGCACATTGTCTGACCCCGCCCTCCTCACTGACACCTCTGTTCTTTTTTCTTCTGCTACGGCAGCTGTCGCGGTTCTTGACCGACAGGGCTGTTGGACAGCAACCATTGGTGTCTCTATCCAGAATCATTCCAAAGCCTTAAAGAGTGTAGAACAGAACATATATGAGGGGTGCGTACATACTTGGAACATGTCATCTACTCATAGTATCTGGTTGGTGGTTGCAACCCCTCTGAAAAATATGAAAACCAATGGGAAGGATTATCCCATCTATTATGGAAAATAAAAAATTGTTTGAAACCACCAACCAGGTATATATCAGTATACCCTCTGGTAAACTAACATAACTATGGAAAATCACAATTTTCAATGGGTAAATCCACTATAAATGGTCATTTTCAATAGCTATGTTAAATTACAAGAGAGCAAAACAAATTACCTGCTTATTCTGGTGGACAATCTGCTCGCCATGGTAATGGCTTAATCTGGGATCTTCCTGGATCGAGGTCTACCATCTGGAATCTAACCTGGCATTATAGGAACATAAATAGCATAAATCTCAGTGCAAACATATGTTTTTGGTATTTTTGGTCATGTTCTCCTATCTGACATCAGGATTTCCCATTGATAGGTGCCAGGTTATGCCTAGAAGATGTCTAACCATCCCTGACGAACCCTGCCCTGCAAAACCACAAAGGAAGACCAGGCCAGTGACAATATGGAACAAACAAGCAAACATATTCTACCATGGAATCCTATCGTGATGCATCAGCATCACTGCTGCCACCATGATTCAAATGTTTATGTTCCCTCTCTTTTCATATGAATCGTTGCACATGTGATTTTTTTTTGCAATCTGTCAACCCATCTGGTTGCACTGTGCCCTGATGATCGCAATGCGTGAACGTGCCCAGTCCATGGTTCAGGTCTTGAATAAAAAACTGTCCCTTGCACCTGTCCTGCTTGAGTTCAGCAAGCAGCGATGACTGGTTAGCCAGTTCCATGATCAGTTGACAATCCTGGTAAACAAAGGCTGTCTTATCAAGTAGGGTTGGGCAGGGACCCAGGGATTGAGATATATGATGGGCCTTCACATGTTTCGAATTTCCCACCAAACCATGCTTGATTGGTGGCTGATAGCAAACTGAGCGTCCATGGGTTATTAAAGGGTTTGAGTGGGTTCCCCCTACTAAACGGGTATGCAAAAATTATCAGACTGGATCCTTTACCGAGGCCAAATATGGCCATATTCACGTGGACTGTCGCTTCCCAATCAGCTATGATTTTGCGAAGATAACTAACCCAGTAAAATCGGAGCAGTTTTTTGTTATAACATGTCCGAAGGAAGTTTAGAGGTCAAACTTCCGACAATATGGACAGATGAAAAGCAGAGACGGGAAGAGTCAGAGAGAAGAGAGGAGTAGAAGAGAGAAGAGCAGAAGAGAGAAGAGCAGAAGAGAAAGAGTCAGAAGAAAGAAGATGCAGGTGCGCGAAAAGATAGGAAAGTCGCGAAACACTGTGTTTTCCAATGATTTGTGGCTCCGGAGGGTCGAAAAGTAGGCTCGCTAAAGCGGCGGCGGGTGCGGAGCCATCTGGCCAAATGAGAGATGACAAATTGCATGCCGGTGTGGCGCGAAGCACATTTCCAAGTCAAAATGTACAAACACCACATGCTCGGACCACTTTTGGAAATTGAGATGTCGAAAAAGTGCACGCCGTTGTGGCGCAAAGCACATTTGCAAGTGAAAAAGCAAAAATCACCTCACGTTCGGACCACTTTTGGAAGTTGCCATGTCGAAAAAGTGCACGCCGTTGTGGCGCGAAGCACATTTCGAAATCAACATGTACAAAACACACCATTACTCGGACCACTCTTGGAAGTTGAGATGTCGAAAAAGTGCACGCCATTGCTGCGCGAAGCACATTTCGAAGTCAAAATGTTAAAAGCACCAGATGTTCGCGCCACTTTTGGAAGTTAAGATGTCGAAAAAGTGCACGCCGTTCTACCGCGAAACACATGTCGAAGTCAAAATGTTAAAAACATAAAACACCACATGTTCGGACCACTTTTGGAAGTACAGATGTCGTTCCGTGCGGCAGGCGCAAGGGATTGTGCAACTTGTCAAAAGCGAGCAAAAAAGTGAGGGTTTTGTAGCATTTTCAACTACAACCACCACTACACCACACTACACTACACTCCAATACACTACACAACAACTACAACTACACCTTCACAACATTCGACTACACTACACTGCACTACACTCCACTACACAACAACTACAACTACACCTTCACTACATTCCACTACACTACACTGCACTACACTCCACTCAATTACACTCAATTACACTCAATTACATTCAATTACGCTCAATTACGCTCAATTACACTCAATTACACTCAATTACACTCAATTACATTCAATTACACTCAATTACACTCAATTACACTCAATTACACTCAATTACACTACACACGCGCTACACAATACACACTCACTACACACTCACTACACGCTCACTACACACTCACTACGCACTACGCACTACACACTACACACTACACACTCACTACACATTACACACTCACTACACACTAGACACTAGACACTAGACACTACACACTAGACACTACACAACGCTACACCACACTACACCACACTACACACTACACCACACTACACCACACTACACCACACTACACACTACACCACACTACGCACTACACTACACACCACACTACACACTACACTACACACTACACTACACACTACACCACACACCACACTACACACTACACTACACTAGACTAGACTAGACTAGAGCTACAGCTACACCTACAACTACACTACACTAATTGCATTACACTACACTACACTACGCCACACCTCACCACACTACACTCAATTACACTACACTACACTACCCTACCCCACATTGCATTACATTACGTTACGTTACGCTACACCCGTTGCGCCACCACAAATGCAACTGCAACTGCACTATACTAATTACACTACACCATAACTACAACTCCACTACACTACAACTACAACTACAGCTGCACTACACCACACTACATCCAGCAGTTGTGGGTGAGGTGACCGACCAGGTGACCACTGTAACCATTGCAGCCACTCCCAAAACCACAGCTCCAATCACCTTTCGGTCCATCAGTGGATTCGCTCTGCCATCCGTGATTCACAACAACCAATCTCTCCTATAGGTTTCCTATTTTTGAAACTTCCGCCACTGCCTTTTGCGGTACTACTGGCCATAATATATATATAATTATATATATACACACTATATAGTGTTATCTAATGGTTACCCCAGTCATAGAGCTAGTGGCCCAGGACTGGAGGCACTGCGGAAACTGCTTCACTTGTGAAGAAACGCACGCCTTAATGCGTGGTCCTCCGGCTGGGCCATGGCCCGTGCCGTGGGAATCTCACAGCAATGGATAGGCATGGGCCAATGCGCCCAAAATGCGGGTGATTTCCAAATTTTGGGTGATCAATGAATCGAATCATCATAATCATAAATAATCTCAACCATCCATGCATGGATTTGGTCAACTACACTTGGCTGACGCCCGTCCGCTATCGGGTTGACATTTAACCCATGAAGTGATGCTACAAAGTTGGCCCGGTAAATTCAAAGTCTGCTTGCTCTGTTTGGTTGGTTTACACCCATTCAGTCATAGATATATCCAGCCTAAATCCTAGGTGTTGGATTTTTTTAAAACAAAGTTATTGTACCTTTTTGGGGGAGCCCGACATTGTACTACTACTTTTTTTCTTCGAATGTATCTCCCAATGATGTGACCAGCAAGAGTGGAAAGTCAAGGGATAAGGATCGCCAAGAAATGAATACGGTCATAGAAGAATCAATGGTCACCAATAATTCTAATTGAAATAGGCAATCTCATACCCACAGCAACTGCGGAATAATCTCACACTATAGAATCTGATGTTGCCTCGTCTACAATGATATAAATGTGTAAAAAACGTATAATACGTATATTAATAATGTCAAATCAACGGTCTCAGGACATGCTGGTATGGTAGGCAACGGGAATGCATCACAATCATGACGGTTTATTTGGGCAGGGCAAACAATATAACCCCGCAACGTCTCATGAGAGGCAAAAGGACACATGCTCAGTATCTGAATGGGTACAAAATCAAAATGCGGCAAAACCCTTGACCATAATTAAGCCGCCTATGCGGGGGCCCAATCGATCCAATACGCATAATACAACTGGAAGCTGCTGATCTCTTTAGGGAAAGGCCTTCGTCGACCGGCAGCTTGGTTTCCGTTGGAATTTGTTGTGGTTCGCACTGAACTCCGCCACGCAGCTCTGGCAAAAAAAACAGCCTGCTGCGATTATGCAGGATGATCAATAACATTCAGTCATGGTCATAGCACCACTCGTTGCCTTAGCAGATCTTACATAATATCATGCGCTCCTGATTTGGAAGACTCTCAACTAGAGAAACCCTTCGAAAAGTGAAGTGGATTAAAATACTTTGCCCTGATCCCCACTTAATCCCACTTATCTCTAACTTGTCTCCATATCATGCTCTCTACGTGCAACGTATCTGCCACCAAGCTGATGAGATTCGTGGGCGGTCATGAGTTTCAGGCATCAGGAAGTGATCTCAGAACGTTTCTTTAACAAGCACGTCTCGCCCTTTGTGTTATAAGCAAGGATCATCTTGCAAACATGCTGGGTATTGAAAATACATTGCATCTGTCAAATTTATCTGGACGGGACCTCCAAAAACAACAAAGCAGCCTAAAACCAACAAATCCAGCAACCAAACGTTGCTCAACAAAAGTCTGCCAACCAACTCTTCATGACATTTGACAAGGCCTCAAATTGAACTTGGCCATCACCCTTGCCCAGTTTTGCTGCATCTATGCAGGGAAGCCTGAGCGAGCCTGGGTCAAGTTGTAAAATTTGTCCGCATGATGGTGAAGACTTCCGGCATCCCACTTAAGCGCTCCATAAACCTCGCCAGCTGGGTCATGTATACATAGATACATATATATATATAAGATATGTATACATATGGCTAAGCTCATGTAAAAGAATATGTGCATTTTCACCCACCCAGTGGCAAAATACAATACAAACAATGACCCATCCACCTGCCATTCTCCTCTGCACAGTGCATGTGATATAACAATGGGATAAGTTGTCACGGTGTCCTGTTGCTGGGGTTAAGAACCCGCACCCTACTCAATCAACCATGATTCAAAAGCGATAGTTGAATTGAGTATTTACAGGAACCACAAGAATACAGAAGGGGTAGTTGTCTTGTGACATGTTGATGGATAAAAATGACTGGAATACTACCAATTGTGGAATTGAAAACGATTACCAATTTACCAATCTGCCTGGCAAACTGACAAGATTGCACTGCCATGCTCTTAAGCATTCTTAAGCTTTTGGAGCGCCACCCATTCCAAATCTGTTGTATCAACTGGGTAGTTAGTTCCTGATGCCATTTATCCTCCATCAAACGAAACCCTTCCAGGACGAGCAGCAAAAACCCAAAGAAAATGACCTACAAGTGCAGTGGATGTTTCATATCAATGTTGATTTACTATGATTCACCCGTTTCATCGTGTTTCAATCCAACAAAACTTACTTGTGCTTAGTAGGGAATTTTCGGGAATGATCCATAAGTAATAATCATCCCAGCAACCCCCAGCAACCCATCCATTCCCTACGTTTAGCACCAGTAAGAAAAGGGGGGTCACAACCCAGCAGTTTCCAGCATCCAAGGGGCTGATCTCTGGGAAGTAACAACATCACCGTGCGGCGCTGAGGGGTCACGGAGTATTCGTACCTTGGCTGATGTCACCAAACATAGACTTAGACACTCTGCGTGTATATATATATATATATACATATGTACATAGATAGATAGATTAGATAGATTAGATAGATTAAATAGATTAGATAGATTAGACAGATTAGACAGATTAGACAGATTAGACAGATTAGACAGATTAGACAGATTAGACAGATTCGACAGATTAGACAGATTAGACAGATTAGACAGATTAGACAGATAGATAGATAGATTGATAGATAGATAGATAGACAAACAGATAGATAGATAGACAAACAGATAGATAGATAGACAAACAGATAGATAGATAGATAGATTGATAGATAGATAGATAGATTGATAGATAGATAGATAGATTGATAGATAGATTGACTTATAGATTGATAGATAGATAGATTGATAAGATTGATTGATTGATAGATAGAATAGATAGCTAGCTTAGATTAGATTAGATTAGATTAGATTAGAATAGATAGATAGATATATATATAGATTAGATTAGATTAGATTAGATTAGATAGATAGATTTATATATGTATGTATTGCAAACTCAGGTTTAGGCTGTATAGCAACATAAATTACATAATTAGGGTGTACCAGGAATGTTCTAGGAATTGGGGAGTTCACATGCTGGATTGTCACCATATGTCACCGTAAGCATCAGCTCACCTTATTTCCCATCCACTGATCCACCAAGAATTTTCCGCTTGAAACGCCGTTCACCTCTTTTTGGAAACGCATTGGGTCTTGCAGGGATGATCCGCCCCCGACTCATTGCAACATTCATTGGGATATCTTACTTTCGATTGCTCATCCAGGTTTATGGTTTGGGATAACATCCAAGTTGTGTTCGTTCAGAATTGGGGGGGTACCCGCAGTTCATGGCCATCAACAAACAGAATGGCAATGATGAAGTTCCAAGCAGGAGAGTTGGGGTTAGGGGGCGTCCTACTTTCAGATAAACTTATAAACCAATCTAAGTCTGTGACCGATCTAACTCTATGGTGGAGGATGCACACCCCCAATTTGACACAGACCCCAAAAATGGCCACACATCCAATAGGAACATAATCTCGCAAACCCCAGCGATTTAAGGGATTCACGTTGAATCTAGAGAGTCTAAGGTTCCCAAAACAGGAATCCACATGATACTGATATAGAATGAGGCATGCTAGTAGGAATAACAAATAGTGAAACCAATAATGATGGTTGAAATCATCATAATCATTCCAGTTTTTTCCACATCGCCACATCCTAATCATCGCCATGAAATGATATCAATGTTAATGTCTTTAAATAACATCTTGCGTGGAATGGTCCGAATGACGAAAAATGAATGCAACAATAACTAGGAGTGAGAATTACTGTTGCTATGATCATTCATATTTTGGGGTGGATTAATTACCATTCCATTGTATAAAACTCAAAGAATTACAGTAACATTACGCATTACTATTCCATATGTAACCACCACAAATTCCATGTTTGTTCAACCGAACTGGTCCAGGAACGTCAGATGTTGCCAAGAGGCTGCGCGCGGAGACCGAGCAGAACCTCCTCCCCAAAGCCTGAGCGTTTTGAGATGGAAGTAGCGGTGGCTCACCGGGATACCACACACACACACCTATATATCTATATAACACATGCACGAAACAAAAATGCCAAAAAAACACATATTTAATATAAATTATATAACGAATAATTAGTACAATCTAGACTGTGCACACACACACACATATATATATATATAAACATTCGCACTCATCATTTTTTACGTGCGTCCTCTGATATCTCCGTCACTCCGAGGAAAACCCAGACCGCCACACGAGACAACTTAACAAATAATATACGAATGAAAAAAACACAGTTCAGGGCATCCCCCTCCCTTTTGTGATCTTTTCGCTTCCTTGGGAGGGGGTTGTGGGCCTTAAAGCCAGAGCTACCAACGTAAACATGGGAGTCTCATGTTTATTCCCGAAAAACGTAAGAACATGTAATAGATTTATTGTATCAGGTATAGCCATTCATATCTGTATATATATATACGTGTATATCTTGTATGCAACCACTGGTCAAGAACCACATGCACATATTATTTATCGTGAAATAGAATTCTATGTGTATATATATGTATATATATATGTATATATATATGTGTGTGTATGTAAAATAGAGTATAATATTCACATGCAAATGCATTGCAATCAAACAACCCTTCCATTCCAGGTGTAGCCCAAGGCAATTTCCGGCCGTAAAAAAAAGAAACGGGTCCGAATTCCATAATTTCCAATGCACCAATCTGGGAGAATGGAGTGATGTCAATACCACCACCGGGCTCATTGAGCCAAATATAGCTAAATCAATTGGCTACATCATGAGAGTGGGGCCTCCCTGCTGAGAATCCAATTTTTGCTAGTCAATTTTCAGAATCTGGCACTACATCTTCATGATTAACAGGTGAAACCCCATTCTTCTCACTGGGAATCCCCATGTTTGTTGGCTAAGTCCCAGTGTTTGATCATGTTTGCATGTCAAATCAGGTAACTAGACATTTTAGAACAAAAGTATATTGACATCAGGTGTATATATATATATAACTATAGACATTTTAGATCATTTTATGTTGGCCTGAAATCTAAGTCTTTCAGCAGAACAAACCGACCATTTTCGCCATGGCACTGTCACTTCTCCGGAGCAACTCTGTGAGCTTCTTCCCGTCCTCTGCGGATGTCACCTGGAGTGGTGGTTCGATGATTATGGGATTATTATGGGATTATCATGGGATCCTGGGGAAACCAACCACTATCATTCAGGATTGCAGTGATTGTTGAAGGAATCTCTGCAGGAAACCATATGTTTTTTTAATGACTTGCCATTGCCATGGTATATGATGAATCCTATGATTCCTGTGATATAGACTGAAAATTTGATTGTGACATGATATGCATAATATAAATAAATAAATATATATATATATTGATTGTTTGTATACTGGTAGCAAGTGGCTTCTATCTGAGCTAGAACATGGCGGGCGGAAGCTGAGCAAAGTATACACGTGGGCAAATTCACCGACTAAAGATGGTCTTGGGGAACCAATTTGTCCAAACACTTCTGGAGCTTACAAGCACCCCGCGCCCCCACCCCCCCCTCCAAAAAAAGGAAAAGTAACAACCTCCTAAAACTGTGATAAAATTAAAATGACGGCTTTCATGGCTTTTTTAATCTTTTTTATATGTATCTCTTTTTGGGAGTTACCATAAATTCATAAATTGTGTTCAAATCCCAGCCTTGTAACACTGGAAAAAATCATTGAACATCGCAATGTTATAGCCATTTTATAGCACTTTAATATCACCATTCATGAATTACATGACCATTCCATTCATCCAAGCCCCATCTGGCCATCATTGTCCAAGCCACGTGCGCACTCAAAATGTCGCGACTGAAGTCGTTCACCTCAAACGGCTCCATGTCCTTCTCAAGGATTGCCGCACCATCCTCGATCCAAAGGATGGCAAACAAGGCAAGCACTACATAGAAAACAATATGAAACATAAGTAATCAATGATTACTAATCATGAAAGTTTTAAACGTCGAACATATGGGGATAGTTTAAATATATTTATATAAATCTGTTTTAATCTTGGATCTTTCTGGCAATCCCTATAAACAGGGATATCTCATGGCAAAACTATGGCAAAAACGTATGGGAATGGCTCGTGAAATAGAATTGGTATTAGTGGAAAAACCCATTTAGCTAGCGGAACATTGGTGTCAACCAATGGGCATGGGTCAAACATTATAGCTTGTTTTGGTGATATTTTAGTACTCACATGTAATTATCAACACTCCAGTTATGTTGGGGTACCGAGATGTACGAAAATGGGGATATGTAAACATTACATACCATTACGACATATTACAACAATAATACCTGGTTTTTGCGTAATGAGCACAAATTTTCAACGGGGAGATTCTCCTAATTGTTTCGAATGTCAGGATATCAATGCAACTTCACGGAAAAGTTACCCTGATGAATAGTAACGCTGTGGTTTTGAATTAATAAACTCCAATTGTTGTAATGTTCGATTCTCGAAGCAATTGGTGTTCTTCCGCCCATCCGGAGCATTTGCTACCAGGCAGCCAGCAGAATAAACATGCCGAAGGAGAAGCTTCCAAAGGGTACCACTGTTTCACCTGGATATCAAAGCCTTAATTGGAACCCGTTGCATGCCTTCAGTTGACAGTTAACAGTTCAAACATGGGGTGAAAAGGGATGACAGTACAAAACTTATCGAGGTAAATACAGATAAATAAAATGAATGAATTTGTTCGGGTAAAATTCAGGGTCCAGGCCAGGCCTGTTTATGTCATGTTTCTGGTGACTGTGCACATAATCCACACGGGATCGCCGGGATGGTCAATATCTTAGATTAGTGGACTATGTTCATTGTTCACTTTCTTTCTCAGCATTGTTCTGGGGAGTCTGTGAATTCTAGACATGACATCGCAAACAAAATCAAACAAAAGAACCCAATGACTACCAATATGGGTGGCGCTCGATCAATTTCAGTTGAATCATCAACATCCTAGTAACAACACACCAGCCCTATTCACATTTTCTTAAGTGTTGTAGAAGTTTCATGCTTGATGCACTATGGTTTATATGTTTATGAATGTCCTCACTAAATCACTATAGCCTCAAACACGAGCAAAGTGCAAATGTGGCCGACGATCTGCCCGCCTTTCTTCACGTTGATCTGCTGAAGGATGCCCACGATGCGTATCATGACACTTTGGGGCACCTGGGGCCGTTGCGCTGCAAGATTTCTCGGGGAAAACTATCTGGGGCGCACCCCAAAATTCATAAATTACAATGAATGACTACATAATATATATATATATATCATTATATATATATATAATAGGCACCCATGACTTAGGACTTAGGTCACCATAGTGACATAGGAGTTTGTGCACCAAGTCCTAAGTCACTGGTGTTCTTACCAGGTGATTTGTGTGCACCAAGTCCTAAGTCACTGGGGTTATGATTGGACTTAAGCACTTTTTCAGGTTAAAAAAAATAAAAAATCTTCTCTTAATAAGTCATCAGAACCTACATACTTACATTACATTACAGTACAGTAAATTACATCACACTACGGTACATTACATTACATTACCGTAAAGTACAGTACATCACATTACACTACAGTACACTACATTACATTATAGCACATTACAGTACATTACATTACATACATGCACAGGACTTGGTGCACAAAATCGTCTGTCACTAGAGGGGCACAAGTCCTAAGTCATCAGAACCTACATACTTACAGTACGTTGCAGTACAGTACAGTACATTACATTACATTACAATACATAATATGTTAAACAAAAATAAATAAACAAAGAATGCATATATAAAAAAATACAGTATTCGAAAAAATATTTCAAAAATGAAAAAAAACAAAAAACATATATCTATATTTTTGTTTATTTCTGTAATTGTTTTAAAATAATGCCTGTATGTAAATCGAAGGAAAAAAATGAAAATCACAATTTTTTTTTGAATTATTTTTTTGAAGATGGGCACAAGTCCTAAGTCATCAGTTTTCGCAACGGTTGGCTCGAGGACTTCGGCCCAACAACGGGGTAGTGCAACGGGGTAATACAACGGGGACCACAATAGGGAAGCACAACGGGGGAAACAAAACGGGAAACAGTAGAGAAAAGTGGAAAAAATGTATGTAATTTTATGCATTTTCTTATTTATTAAATTGCTTTAAAATAATGTCTGTATGTAAATCGAAGGAAAAAATGAAAATCACATATTTTTTTTGAACTATTTTTTTGAAGATGGGCACAAGTTGTAAGTCATCAGTTTTCGCAACGGTTGGCTCGAGGACTTCGACCCAACAACGGGGTAGTGCAACGGGGCAATACAACGGGGACCACAATAGGGAAGCACAACGGGGGAAACAAAAGGGAAACAGTAGAAAAAGGTTTATTAAATTGCTTTAAAATAATGTCTGTATGTAAATCGAAGGAAAAAATGAAAATCACATTTTTTTTTGAACTATTTTTTTGAAGATGGGCACAAGTCCTAAGTCATCAGTTTTCGCAACGGTTGGCTCGAGGACTTCGACCAACGGGGTAGTGCAACGGGGTAATACAACGGGGACCACAATAGGGAAGCACAACGGGGGAAACAAAACGGGAAACAGCAGAGAAAAGTGAAAAAAAATGTATGTATTTTTATGCATTTTCTTATTTATTAAATTGCTTTAAAATAATGTCTGTATGTAAATCGAAGGAAAAAATGAAAATCACAGATTTTTTTTGAACTATTTTTTTGAAGATGGGCACAAGTCCTAAGTCATCAGTTTTCGCAACGGTTGGCTCGAGGACTTCGACCTAACAACGGGGTAGTGCAACGGGGTAATACAACGGGGACCACAATAGGGAAGCACAACGGGGGAAACAAAACGGGAAACAGCAGAGAAAAGTGAAAAAAATGTATGTTTTTTTCATTTGTTAAATTGCTTTAAAATAATGTCTGTATGTAAATCGAAGGAAAAAAATGAAAATCACATATTTTTTTAAACTATTTTTTTTGAAGATGGGCACAAGTCCTAAGTCATCAGTTTTCGCAACGGTTGGCTCGAGGACTTCGACCCAACAACGGGGTAGTGCAACGGGGTAATACAAGGGGACCACAATAGGGAAGCACAACGGGGGAAACAAAACGGGAAACAACAGAGAAAAATGAAAAGTGAAAAAAAAACACATATTTTTTATTTTATTTAGTTGCTTTAATATAATGTTTGTACATAAGTCGAAGGAGAGAAAACGAAAATCACATATTTTTGAAATATTTTTTTTGAAGATGGGCACAAGTCCTAAGTCATCAATTTATCATTCGATTTATATACATACATTGCTTTCAAGGTATTAAATATATTTAACATTTAAATCATTTATATACATTTGTGGATATGACTATTCTATTTTTTTTCGTTTTCATTTTTCCATTTTGTTTCCCGTTTTGTGTCCCCGTTTTGTTTCCCCGTTGTGTCTCCCCGTTGTGTCTCCCCGTGGTGTCTCCCCCAGGCGGTGATCCCAATGCAACGAGTCGGGGTGAGCGTTTTGCGCCAACGCGCGCGCGCGTTGGTGGAAAATGAAAGCGAGCAGTTCCCGGTCGCCTCTGCAGTCCCTGTGGCGCCGCAGTGGGGTGAACAACGGGGTAAGACAATAGGGAAGCACAACGGGAAAAAAAACAGGAAACAGCAGAGAAAAGTGACAAAAAATATATGTATTTTTATTTATTAAATTGCTTTAAAATAATGTCTGTATGTAAATCGAAGGAAAAAAATGAAAATCACACTATTTTTTTTGAAGATGGGCACAAGTCCTAAGTCATCAGTTTTCGCAACGGTTGGCTCGAGGACTTCGACCAACGGGGTAGTGCAACGGGGTAATACAACGGGGACCACAATAAGGACAACAGGGGAAAAAAAGGGAAACAGCAGAGAAAAGTGAAAAAAAAAGTAGGTATTTTTTCTTTTGTTAAATTGCTTTAAAATAATGCCTGTATGTAAATCGCAGGAAAAAAATAAATCACACATTTTTTTTGAACTATTTTTTTGAAGATGGGCACAAGTCCTAAGTCATCAATTTTTTCAACGGTTGGCTCGACGACTTCAACCCAACAACGGGGTAGCGCAACGGGGTAATACAACGGGGACCACAATAGGGAAGCACAACGGGGGAAACAAAACGGGAAACAGCAGAGAAAAGTGAAAAAAAATGTATGTATTTTTATGCATTTTCTTATTTATTAAATTGCTTTAAAATAATGTCTGTATGTAAATCGAAGGAAAAGATGAAAATCACACATTTTTTTGAACTAATTTTTTTGAAGATGGGCACAAGTCCTAAGTCATCAGTTTTCGCAACGGTTGGCTCGAGGACTTCGACCCAACAACGGGGTAGTGCAACGGGGTAATACAACGGGGACCACAATAGGGAAGCACAACGGGGGAAACAAAACGGGAAACAGCAGAGAAAAGTGAAAAAAAAATTTTTATGTATGTATTTTTATTTATTAAATTGCCTTAAACTAATGTCTGTATGGAAATCGAAGGAAAAAATGATAATCACATATTTTTTTTGAACTATTTTTTTGAAGATGGGCACAAGTCCTAAGTCATCAGTTTTCGCAACGGTTGGCTCGAGGACTTCGACCCAACAACGGGGTAGTGCAACGGGGTAATACAACGGGGACCACAATAGGGAAGCACAACGGGGGAAACAAAACGGGAAACAGCAGAGAAAAGTGAAAAAAAATGTATGTATTTTTTATTTATTAAATTAAATTGCCTTAAAATAATGTCTGTATGGAAATCGAAGGAAAAAAATATAATCACAATTTTTTTTTGAACTATTTTTTTTGAAGATGGGCGCAAGTCCTAAGTCATCAGTTTTCGCAACGGTTGGCTCGAGGACTTCGACCCAACAACGGGGTAGTGCAACGGGGTAATACAACGGGGACCACAATAGGGAAGCACAACGGGGGAAACAAAACGGGAAACAGTAGAAAAAGGTTTATTAAATTGCTTTAAAATAATGTCTGTATGTAAATCGAAGGAAAAAAATAAATCACACATTTTTTTTGAACTATTTTTTTGAAGATGGGCACAAGTCCTAAGTCATCAATTTTTTCAACGGTTGGCTCGAGGACTTCAACCCAACAACGGGGTAGCGCAACGGGGTAATACAACGGGGACCACAATAGGGAAGCACAACGGGGGAAACAAAACGGGAAACAGCAGAGAAAAGTGAAAAAAAATGTATGTATTTTTTATTTATTAAATTAAATTGCCTTAAAATAATGTCTGTATGTAAATCGAAGGAAAAAATGAAAATCACATTTTTTTTTGAACTATTTTTTTGAAGATGGGCACAAGTCCTAAGTCATCAGTTTTCGCAACGGTTGGCTCGAGGACTTCGACCCAACAACGGGGTAGTGCAACGGGGTAATACAACGGGGACCACAATAGGGAAGCAAAACGGGAGAAACAAAACGGGAAACAGCAGAGAAAAGTGAAAAAAAATGTATGTATTTTTATGTATCTTTTATTTATTAAATTGCCTTAAACTAATGTCTGTGTGGAAATCGAAGGAAAAAATGATAATCACATATTTTTTTGAACTAATTTTTTTGAAGATGGGCACAAGTCCTAAGTCATCAGTTTTCGCAACGGTTGGCTCGAGGACTTCGACCCAACAACGGGGTAGTGCAACGGGGTAATACAACGGGGTAATACAACGGGGACCACAATAGGGAAGCACAACGGGGGAAACAAAACGGGAAACAGTAGAAAAAGGTTTATTAAATTGCTTTAAAATAATGTCTGTATGTAAATCGAAGGAAACAATGAAAATCACATTTTTTTTGAACTATTTTTTTGAAGATGGGCACAAGTCCTAAGTCATCAGTTTTCGCAACGGTTGGCTCGAGGACTTCGACCCAACAACGGGGTAGTGCAACGGGGTAATACAACGGGGACCACAATAGGGAAGCACAACGGGGGAAACAAAACGGGAAACAGCAGAGAAAAGTGAAAAAAAATGTATGTATTTTTATGCATTTTCTTATTTTTTAAATTGCTTTAAAATAATGTCTGTATGTAAATCGAAGGAAAAAATGAAAATCACAATTTTTTTTTGAATTATTTTTTTGAAGATGGGCACAAGTCCTAAGTCATCAGTTTTCGCAACGGTTGGCTCGAGGACTTCGACCCAACAACGGGGTAGTGCAACGGGGTAATACAACGGGGTACTACAACGGGGACCACAATAGGGAAGCACAACGGGGGAAACAACACGGGAAACAGCAGAGAAAAGTGAAAAAAAATGTATGTATTTTTATGCATTTTCTTATTTTTTAAATTGCTTTAAAATAATGTCTGTATGTAAATCGAAGGAAAAAATGAAAATCACAATTTTTTTTGAACTCATTTTTTTGAAGATGGGCACAAGTCCTAAGTCATCAGTTTTCGCAACGGTTGGCTCGAGGACTTCGACCCAACAACGGGGTAGTGCAACGGGGTAATACAACGGGGACCACAATAGGGAAGCACAACGGGGGAAACAAAACGGGAAACAGCAGAGAAAAGTGAAAAAACATGTATGTATTTTTATGTACTGTATCTTTTATTTATTAAATTGCCTTAAACTAATGTCTGTATGGAAATCGAAGGAAAAAATGATAATCACACATTTTTTTGAACTATTTTTTTGAAGATGGACAAGTCCTAAGTCATCAATTTTTTCAACGGTTGGCTCGAGGACTTCAACCCAACAACGGGGTAGCAACGGGGTAATACAACGGGGACCACAATAGGGAAGCACAACGGGGGAAACAAAACGGGAAACAGCAGAGAAAAGTGAAAAAAAATGTATGTATTTTTATGTATTTTTTATTTATTAAATTGCCTTAAAATAATGTCTGTATGTAAATCGAAGGAAAAAATGAAAATCACATTTTTTTTTTGAACTATTTTTTTGAAGATGGGCACAAGTCCTAAGTCATCAGTTTTCGCAACGGTTGGCTCGAGGACTTCGACCCAACAACGGGGTAGTGCAACGGGGTAATACAACGGGGACCACAATAGGGAAGCACAACGGGGGAAACAAAACGGGAAACAGTAGAAAAAGGTTTATTAAATTGCTTTAAAATAATGTCTGTATGTAAATCGAAGGAAAAAATGAAAATCACACATTTTTTTTGAACTATTTTTTTGAAGATGGGCACAAGTCCTAAGTCATCAGTTTTCGCAACGGTTGGCTCGAGGACTTCGACCCAACAACGGCGTAGTGCAACGGGGTAATACAACGGGGACCACAATAGGGAAGCACAACGGGGGAAACAAAACGGGAAACAACAGAGAAAAGTTAAAAAAAATGTATGTATTTTTTTTACTTATTAAATTGCTTTAAAATAATGTCTGTATGTAAATCGAAGGAAAAAATGAAAATCACAGATTTTTTGAACTATTTTTTTGAAGATGGGCACAAGTCCTAAGTCATCAGTTTTCGCAACGGTTGGCTCGAGGACTTCGACCCAACAACGGGGTAGTGCAACGGGGTAATACAACGGGGACCACAATAGGGAAGCACAACGGGGGAAACAAAACGGGAAACAACAGAGAAAAATGAAAAGTGAAAAAAACAAAAAAACCTTGCAGATTTTTTATTTCATTTAGTTGCCTTAATTTAATGTCTGTACATAAATCGAAGGAGAAAAAACGAAATCACAGATTTTTGAAATATTTTTCTTGAAGATGGGCACAAGTCCTAAGTCATCAATTTTTCATTCGATTTATATACATACATTGTTTTCAAGGCATTAAATAACATTTATGGATATAACTTTTCTATTTTGTTTCCACGTTTTGTTTTCCCGTTGTGTCTCCCCGTGGTGTCTCCCCCGGGCGGTGATCCCAATGCAACGAGTCGGGGTGAGCGTTTTGCGCCAGCGCGAGCGCGTTGGTGGAAAATGAAAGCGAGCAGTTCCCGGTCGCCTCTGCAGTCCCTGTGGCGCCGCAGTGGGGTGAACAACGGGGTAAGACAACAGGGACCACAATAGGGAAGCACAACGGGAAAAAAAACAGGAAACAACAGAGAAAAATGAAAAGTGAAAAAAAACAAAAAAAAAATCAGATTTTTTATTTTATTTAATTGCTTTAAAATAATGCCTGTACATAAATCGAAGGAAGAAAAAAGAAAATCACAGATTTTTGAAATATTTTTTTGAAGATGGGACAAATAGCCAAATAGCTGCAGCACACGAGCGTGATGACTTAGGATCATCTTAGTATACTTCTGCTAGTTAATTCCTATGTCATCCTGGTTTTACGAGTGGTCCATGCCGCACAAAAAAATCAAGCATAGTTTCTAATCTCATACGGACACCTGATGAGTTGGGACTTGTGCAGGGGGGGTCTGAAGCATGATGAGATAGGACTTGTCCACCCCAGGGTATCTTTCACAAGTCCTAAGTCACTGGTACCTAATATATATATATATGCATGATTATACATGTGCTGTATACAATGTTAATAACCCACATATGTATCATCTCAGGTATCATGTACAATATGACTTTGACTGGGGTCAAAAAATCGGTTGTGATATTACGTTGGTATTTAATTAGCAACACCCACTTATTAACTGGGATACATATCCAAGTATGGGCAATTAGCTCTTCAACTTACTGCTCACAGCTCATCTCGTAGCATAAAGTGATGGTTGCACCAGTGATTCAAGCATATTCAAGCCTATTCAAGCATATTTGTTTCTGTGCTGTGATTGTGGGCTGGATAGACCTGTCTCGGAATCCTTCTGCTCCTCAGGTTGCCTACGGGTTGCCCACTCTCCAAGGCACCCCCCGGAAGACCAGGTTCTTCTGCAGTTCCGGGTGGATTAAATAGCTGGCCTTGGTGAAATCAGCGATGCCATGGTGTCCCCTAATTCCTGGAGGTTTTAATTGGAAAATCGTCAAGAAAATTGGTGATTTTCCATTACCATATCCGATTCCTACCTGAGGGTAAATCTATGCACACACACATGGGGTCTTGGAAAATTCCAGTATCTGCAAGAAAATGTTTGGATTGAATGCTGGACATTTCTTGTGTTTTTCCATTGCCATACGAGTTTACCCAAGGGCGGAACTCTTCAAATAGGAGCTACATGAACTCTGATTATTTTACGATGATCGTCAGCCCCTAAATCATGTAAAGAATGCTGCTGTTTCACTTGTAAATCTGACTTTCCGCAAGAAACATCATTTCACATGTGAAGTAGCCAAACGTTTTCCATGGATCATGTAACATCTTATGATTCATATTAATATATTATGGATATATTGTATCATCTGCTTGATTCGAAATGACCATTTTTGGCATCCGGTGTTCATCATCTTGACCTCCAAGGAGCTACTTCCTCCCGAAGCTCAATGGTCAGCTCAGCGAAGACCACACCGTCATCCCAAACGACCTGTGAGGTGCGGTTCTGTTCCCCTGAGTGGTTGAGCCAGAGCTGGGTGGGGCATACGGGAGCACTTCATGTTGGAAATGTTTTTTTTTTTAATAACATATACATATATATATATTATGCATCATACTCTATATCCTATCCGTTTTGATCATGGTTGGTTTTATCCCTGGTGGTTATCCCTGGTGGTTGAGCCACCCTCAATGCCACGAGACCAGCTTTTCGTCGTGAACTCAGACTTGGCAAACTTCAGATTGCATGCGCGCTGTGCTGCTGGCACATGGAATCACAAGCACCTCCCAGTTCCAACTCAGTCTATAAACCTGTTTATCTGGTAGGTAACCCGAGTTAGGGATGTATCTAGAACCCCCCAGCAATTTTGTTTGACACAGCCAAACCATCCAAACACATAACAAGTACTGCATATATATATATATCTACAGTAGCGAGTTTCTAGCTTCAAGTCGTAACGGCTCACTTCCCATTTGTTGCTCCAATCTTGCGCCCATTGCGCCTGGCCCCTGACAGCCTTCTTGTAAAAGGCCTAGGGTGTCTAAAATGAAGACCTGTCACCAACCGCCAAAGATTTAGCCTCTTTATGCCTCTTTTGCACATACAAACACGGAGAAATTTATAAACACCATGTGCAGTCTTTTTGATGCAAATTTGTTTAATGCAATTCCAAAACGGAATAGCAGTGCAGGAGTATATGTCCAATATTACTGTAACACTGTAAGACTTACTTTTTTTACCTTATAATCCAACACAACTAAGCCACATGCTTTGCTGAGGCCACTGCTGCTGAACAAAACCCCAAAAATCTGTTGCCAAACCCTGAAAACAAAAGAACTAAAACTAAAACGCCAACAGTTGTCACTTACAGTAATTGGTTCTGCGTTCATGCTGCTTGCGGTTGCAACTTTGCATTTTAGATTCATGGATGATTCATGGATCACCCGTACAGTACATCACTTAAAAAAACAAACCATTGTTATGATGACGACATCCGTGCGACAGCCGCCACAGGCACCACCTGCCCTGATCAAGGCGCCCAAATCTTGCGTCGCAACTGCGCGGGAAAGCGATGATGGGAAATCCAGGACTCGATCAAATCCAGTCTCTCCTTGTGGGCGCGCCACTTCACCTGGCAAATCAGCTTGAGATCATCTCTGGTTTCAACCCATACCCACATATACCCAACATATTCAAGAATCTTAGTCATCTTTGGCAAATCTTTGGTCGTCATTTTTTCAGATGCGGTTAAACGTTATAACTACATACATATGCACATGTTATGTACATATGTATATATATATAATACAAAGCAAAAAAAAACAGCAGCCATTACCAGCCAGTCATGTGCACTCCAACCCGCCCTCCATATCCTCCCTCTGTGGATGCCCGAGGGACATCGTTGCTGGCCAAAATCACAGAGATGTTCCCAACGACATAGCCTGTGGCAATCCAACGACCAGCACATCTGAGACGCAACGTGACCGACCTAGATGTGGAACCATGCTGCATCTCGTTGGATCTTGGATTGCATGGTCCATCTGCAAACATGTTCGGGAACGATTCATTTAACAGCATTAACATCCCCAAATTCCTATAGTGATTCCAATGAAGACCAAGCAAATCAAGCAATACCAAGCACAATCTGTTGAAATCTGTTGAACATCTGTTGAACATCTCCAAAATCAAACATCCCAAGTCGCCGTAGAAGGCACCACCGATGATCATGGCGGCCATGGTGAAGATCCTGCCAGGTCATGTTTCTCCTCTGCAGAAGTAATAATAAATAAATATATATAGATATCAATCTCTAGAACATGTGGAATAGGATATATGTATATATATATATATATTTACAATATGGCCAATATTTTCTTTGTGGCCTAAAACATGTAGAGTAGGACACATTTAGATCTGACATCCCATGGCTAGCCCCTCCGTCCTCTCGCCATCAGAGCGGGGGATGATGTCACCATAGCCAACCTGGCATTCAGTTTAAGATCCCAAAGGGATATTTGATCCTACCTTGGATCCAGGAATATAAAACAGTTTGACAATTCCCAAAAACTGAACTTAACATACTTAACCAATTGCCAATTGGCAAATTCGTTCCTTTTGAATTATTTCCATTTATTTCCCTGGTTTACCGTCATCATGAGCAGAAGCACCGACTGAAACCACCAGTCAACCATCAGTTAGCCAAAGAATGTACCCAAAAAAAACAAACTAATCCCATCTTTGCTTTTTTCGACCAATTTGTCCATCCATTCACCAATTCTCGGAACCATCTCAAACAGGACTGACATAGATCAACTCGTTTAAAAAACCGCGTTTCTCCTCATACTTCTCATCAATTCCGGAGATTCTTCGCAAAAAAAACGATCATCCCCAACTCTGACTCTTCGAGAATTTGATCAGAGTCCGAGGTGCAGTGGTCACTGTGGTCATGGCCCAGTAGAGCGAACAAATGTATTGAGATGCTGCGCTGTCGCCCGTCCACTCGTATGTCTCCTTGAGTGGCCGAGCGGCGAGAGGCCGAATGGGGTGTTGAACTCGGATATGTATGTATATGTATGTATGTATGTATGTATACATATATGTGAACACCATATATGTATACATATACGCACACATGTACATAATATATATATATACACATATCAATATCAATATCCAAGCTTTGTGTAGAGTTCATTTAGACGTTGATGTATCTGGATAACTCAAAAGAATGGCAATATGACCAGAAAGAAAAATAACAATTCACCAGCCTGAAAGGATCAGCCGGGGATCGTTACCCCAATCTTAGCCATCCTGTCTATTGATGTTGCGGTGAAGTAGGTATCACATAATATTGCCACGATTTGACAAAAACACGACGGCGACAACTAGCCTGATCAAGCTGCTTGAAACTCCCCGTTTGTTGGTTGTGTTGAAAGAGTATCAAAGAGTACTTTGCTTTCTTGGATCCTCACGGTATTAAAAACATTCTGCCAAAAATGCTGTGACGCGTGTTGTCCTGACTTTTTTCTGACATCAAGGCTGATATATTTGATATCTATATTTTTGACACTTCTGGCATATCTTCTCACATATTCGGAGGTTTGCCCTGGCAAATTTCATCTACGAGTACATACCGCATTCTGACATAATTACATTCTGACTGCAGGGTCACGGTCCAGTGGGGCACGAGGAGCCAAAGAGCTTGCCATAAAAGCAGGCGAGCACAGGAATAGGAGGAAAGGATGAGGAAGAGCTGCCACAAAATCTAGAGACGCTCGCCCGAATTGAGTGCTTGGTTGGTTGAAAACCACCTATATATTTGTCATTGGTTGATAAGACTCAGCACACACAATACCCACCCTTCAAGCCGAACGCTTCCCTCCTATGAGTGACATCCCACCCTGCTTCGCACCAAGGCTCTAAGAAGCCACTCCCAGAGATGTGCATGAAACAGGCCAGCAAGTGACACAACAAACAGCAAGCCACCTCGTGCAAGTCAAGCAGTTAAACACATGAAAAAGGGGTCAGAGTTCAGAAGGGAAAAAGTTGTTTCAACCAAAAGTTGGCTTCAATCAGCAATGCCAGTGGGGATTCTCGTCTTGAAATAAAGGGGGAACATGTTCAAATGTTATGGCATGTTAAGGGTGGACAAGTAGACTAAGTAGAGCAAACAAGGTGATTAAACATGAGATCAAGCATTGAACAGCTCCTGGCAAACGGGTGCCAAAACGATGAAGGCATGTTTTTTTTTCCCCCGGATCAACTTACATGCATGTATTATATATACTGTATGAAGGGCATGGCATGGCATGGCACCTACATTTATGTGATTTTATGTGTATGTGTATTCCCTTTGTACATTTCTGTGTATTAAGTATATGTACTGGTATATGATGCACAACCACAAGACTATTTGCGTTAATTTGGCTGAATGCGAACATGCACTCTTTATGGTGTGGTTGGTTCGCGGAGGTTTCTGCAATGGCTTCTCAGAACTCCAACAATTATTCTGCCATTGACATCAACATTCCATTGGTCCCCATGTTCTGATCTCTTTTGCTGTTTTTTTTGGCTGTTTTGTATAACTCCCCAGGAGCTGAATGACGTTCATGATGTCCATCCAATATTGCTACTTTCTCAGGTGGATGAAGCACGAACATGGTCCCTAAAGACCCTGAAGTGAGGAGTGATGCTTATTTGGCCATTCTAAGATCATGGTGTCCCCCCAGCACTGATGACTTTACCCATACCTACGACATCGAGGAACTAAAATTCTGAAGAGCTCGAAGGCCCGGCGACCGCTGTTGGAATGCCTGGCCCGGCAACGACTGGCCAGTGACCAGTTGTGGTTTTCTTTGTTGAATGCGACCTTTTCCATCATTTTCATTCATTTTCCATATATCTTTCCCAATCAATTTGCCATTTTAATCCATTTTACAGGGTAGAAGGTATCATAGTTGAGAAACACTGGTCTTGAGACTCAAACTGGATTGGTGTAAAGATTAAACATACCCCTCCATTCCGATCGATTACTGTAACATCTCATTTTGCAATATTTCACCCAGTTCATCCCATTTCCATGGCAATAATTTGGGGATACCTGGGGCTTAGCCCTTCACTGGAGTGACCCAGATTGCGCTTTAAATGATTTCATGGGAAGGAACTTGCACTGTTTTCGGGTGCTGAATTGGGCTTCAATTCCTCGAAAAGCCAAGTTTCAATCCAGGCCTATGGAATTCAGAACCCATTTCTTCAGAGATTGGGTTTGCCTATTGAATAGACCAGAAACCAACAAATCCGATTAAACGGTAATTATATGTCATATCACATCAGTTTATTGACCCACCGCAAAGGCCTTCGAAATGTACAGGTTCAATGTTGAACCACGCTTTCAATGTCTCACCTTCCAGGCTTCCAAATGTCCCATGTTCCCAGATTTCAGTGGGGCGAGCCACATGACAAAGTCTTCCAGGATGCTTCCAAGCTCCTCAGTGGCAAAAATGAAACGCTCGTCCCTTCAGTGATGGACCCCTTAATCATAAATTGATATACATGGAATATAATGGAATACTCAATGCCAATGAATAGACTTATTTGTCAATTTATCCACCAGATTATCTACCAGATTATTTACCACATGTTTTAGAGTTGCACGGGAGAATGAACAAAAAATCATTGCCACTCATTCCGCTAACCAGCTGACCAACCCCCCGGCCAGACCTAGGGATGCTTTCCATGCTGCCCGACGTCTTGTCTTGTTGGGTAGCTCCGTTTGAACTTAACATCTGGAAAATCCGTCAGAAAAATAGATCATTGCTGCAATTCTATGTTGGTTTTACGGGAGGGTATGCGAACCACGAAATTTCCACGGAGCACATTCAATGAATCCTTCCCATGATGTTCCATTGATTTCCATCGGAAAACTACCGATGGTCCAGGGGAAAACTGCTTGGGAGAATCTGATCTTCCAAGCATCCGACGCCCTCAGGATTTTCCAAAGTTTGATGGCCCGCACCACTCTCCTCGGCTGGACTCGGCTGGATTCACACAGCCGGCCACTTGTAGATCCTGTTCCTTGAGAAACCATAGGTTGAACGGTTGAACATATATCAATGCTGATTTAATTTATTGGAGTGTTATCAGTGTATCTGTGCCGGTTCATGGACAGAGTTCTCATCTACATGGATTTCCATCGGTGGTCAGTGGCTCACATAGAAAAAGGTGGACAGGTCCCAGATGGCTCTGGCAACTGGCTCTATCTCCAAAATGTCACCCGTGCGCGGGAACAAATCTTTGCCTCAACTTCCGCGTATCAATACAATTTAAATCGAAGACCTTTAGGACATTTTCGGGAAATTTGTCTGAAGGTGGTTAGTGTTGTTATTGCCATATGGTATCCTCTTACATGCTATTTTGTCTATGGTATCCCAGTCATTCCCATTCATTGGTCTGCCAAGGGATTAAAACATGTATATCCCAGTTTAAAAACATGTAACATTCCAGTTTAAAAACGTGTAATATCCCAGTCAGTCATGTTTTTGTTATTACCCTACGGTATCCTCTTACATGTTATTTTGACTATGGTATCCCATATATCCTAGCCATTCCCAGTCAATAGCCTGGCCAAGGGATAAGAACATGTGTATCCCAGTTTTGAAGCATGTAACAATCCAGTTTCTTTTTTTTACGTGCACTATCCCAGTCAGCGATTTGTCTTGTTATTACCCTTTGGTATCCTCTTAGTTACATGTTATTTTGTCCATGGTATCCACGATATCCTAGTCATTCCCAGTCAATAGTATGGCCAAGGGACAAGGGATCAAAAACATGTATATCCAAGTCTTTTTTTAAACATGTAACAATCCAGTGTAAAAACGTACAATATCCCAATCAGCGATTTGTTTTGTGATTACCCTATGGTATGCTCTTACACATTTATTTTGTCTTATCCCAGTCATTTCCAGTCATTAATCACCATTATTCACCATTATATAATCTCAATTAATCACCGATAATTAGTCTGGCCAAGTTTCAAGATCTTAAAGATCTTACTGGTCCGCAGCAGTTTCAAGCCCCCCACCGACTCCGCCGAGACTGCGTCGGTCACCTGTTCGAAGGGAACCTGGCGTCGATGTCCCGGGCTCCCGTGGCTGAAGCCCCGGGGTTCCAAAACGGTGAAGAAACGGCTGTGGAAGAAACGCCTGGAAGACAAATGGAGTGTGGAGGACGAGTAACCCAGACAAACTCTGATAATTGGTGCCTAAACATGCTCAAACAACCCATTCCAGGAATGTTGTACAGTCAATGGGGGTTCAGGATGTTCTAAATATGGCTGATTGAAAACGTGCTAATCAGGACATGAAAACAAAACCATACAAAACCAAGCGGCTATCCATGAAACTTCGCAAGAAACGTCTTTGGAACATGACTTACAGTATATACATGCATACATGCAAACGGTAATCTATGGTTTCCAGCCCTAGCCAGCAATTGAAGTTCAGGGTGATATGGGAGATGCTCCAAAGGTCAACTTGTTTTCCCCATTGCTGACTATGAGCAGCCAGTAGCACCAGAAGAACAATCATGTATATGCCAAACATCATCGAACACGGCTTAGAATGATTGAGATACACATGCACACACACATACAAATAAATAACTATATGTATGTAATGTAATGTAATGTAATACAATGGAATGTCATGTAATGTAATGTATGTATGCATGTATGTATGCATATCATATTACATATAGAATTGTAATATGTTAAACTTATATTATTTATATATACAACTCTTTATTATAAGTATCTATCCTTTCTGCAGCGCTCATCCCAGGTCATCCCTCTAGAACTTTCTCCAAGTCAGAACTGCGATTTCAGCAACTGCCGTGACAAAGTCCAGCAGGAACCAACTCCGCAGGTACTGCTTCCCCACGAGGTACGGCGAACGAACTTCCTCGCCAGCCTGCCGCCATGGAAGTGGCCGGTGCCATGGAAGTCGGTGGAAGCTCTCCAGTAAACATGGCAAAAAGATGGGGAAAACCATGGAAAACCCTGAGTTTCCCCAAGGAAAATGACCTACTAGATATTATATTAATCGATTCTGGATTGTAGATACGTTACTGTATTTGATATACTTATATAATTCATCTGACCTGGAACAGCTATAGTATAGGTAATCCACAAATTGTAATCCACTAGTCACTAGTTGTATCAATCTCATTGATGAGTGTCTATATTTATGGTCCTAATGAAGAGGACGGATTTCCACTGCCCTATTAGATTACCAAGGGTTTACGAAATCGCGCAATCATGGTTCATTAAATACTAGCAAAGGCCAAATTGAAACTCCCATTCACTTCGGCGATTCCTGTGTGCATCATCCAATGTTAACCCTTGTGCATCGCAAACCACCTACGCTTAGGATATCTTACCATTCCTTGGTTCTGGCTGATAAATATCGATTGATGTGTCCAAGGTACACACAATTCATTGATCATTCACAAACTCAATTATCCTCATATCGATCATGTTTTCACATTTCATCAAAACCCAACAATTCCTTCCCAAATTGTTATAATTCACGAACAAAAAAACATACTTGTTTGACTCTCTCATTGATTTTTGATGTTTCACATAGTTATCCGATCAATTAAACCATTCATGGTGAGATCCCGGAAGTCTCAGAAGAATTCCCCGTACCTCGTCCAGAAAGGTCGTGCGAAAGTTCAGTAGGATGTCGAAGCAAAAGCAGGACGTCATAAAAACCTGCAGTGGCATTGTCATGTGGAGATCTCAGCCAAAAAAAATGGTTCTATGAGGAGGAAATCTACAGGAAACTTCAGGAAACCATGGTTTCTAGCATGAACTTGCAAATTTCCTTCCAATTCTGGGATATGTACACAGAAACTATGACAAACATGTCATTAATCTGGATAAACTACGAACAACTATGAATTTAGTACTTTTCTTTTTTCGGGTGGGTGCAGGCAATAAATGGGTATTGGGTCATGGGTTAAAGCATGCCAGCACCGTGGTTTCACATCTTTTTGGCCCGTCCCCAAACATCAAACGTATTCATTCACTTGAAATGTCTCAGTCTATAGATTAAAGTAATAGTATGTAATAGTATCATGTAGCATCGAGGCGATCAATAACGCCCCAAGGTCATGGCCCCCGAAATGGAGAGATTCGATCAGCAAAACCATGGTTTGTGCGGAGGTGCTCATTAAGAGGAAGGACTACCGGTAGGCTGCGCTTTGGCATATTTTGCCGCCCAAAAAATGATCATGCATAAAATCATTAACTTTGGGTATGCCCAGACCAGCCCGCGTTGCTGTTGCGGCCCAAGTGGCATTCATGCCATTCTGAAAGTCGCTTTCTGGCAAATAAGCTAGGGTATAGGGCATCACAACCTGAATAGCAGGCGAACTCTCAGTGTTTCATCTAGCAGAATTGCAGGGGTTTAGTGCAAAACAAAATCTAAACTGATATCAACATGTTATCTTTCCGAAATGCCGTCTAATGCAACAATTTGAGAGCCCTGTTTTGGAGTTTTGGAGGAATATTGTGTATATATATATTTATCTCATACAGTATATCTATATTATGCATGCATGCGCGTATGTGTGGATACAACAATATGTATACAATGTGTAACTATATAATTATATATATATATATCACATGCGTCGCATTTCCCTGGAACTAATCTTGGTTCGATGGAATTGGTCTCTAGGTTTTTGTTTTGTCATGCTGCCGTGCCCAGCGTTGCACAGCACGGCTTCACGGTGTCCGTTTCAAGGCGTTCAATCTGAAAACAATAGCAAAACATCGTGCACTTTGGCAAACTATTGGCGCATTACTAGTTCCCGATAAATAAATATATATATATATATATAACAATGTTGTTGTTGTTATTATTATTGTTGTTGTTACAATAAAAACAGCTCTTATTTGCTATTAATGATAATCATTAAGTATGGTTATTGTTATGTTTTCTAAACTCAATATTATCAATTTATATTGTTATTATACATATATGCATATACAGTAGGAATACATACAGTATAACTTTATAGTATGTACATAGATTATATGTACATCACGGCAGAGATCGACCTGAAGTCAGCACGTGGCTGGGTTCCAGGCCCAGGTGATTCCCCGACGATGGGAAATGGGATATGTATAAATTGTATAATAATAGGTATACCAATTGAATACATATGGGATGTATACCAATTATACATATCTCATCTCTCCCATTATATCCCATTTGGATGAATTATATATACATTTGGATGAATTCATGGATGTCATATCCCATTAATTCATCCATTATAGATATCCCATTCATTCCCAGTATATCCCATTTTAAATCATTCCAAATGTAGCCAGGAAATGGCCAGGAAATGAGCCCGTCCCCCTGGCAAGTTCGCCAAGGTGCTGCGACGTAGACCAGCAAACAGAACAGCAGGATGTCCCAGCAAAGACGGAAGGTTCCTTGACCTTAACATCAGCTTTCAAAGGCGTTCCGGCGTTCCTTCTGCCATGAAAAATGATGGAATACTTTAAGAGAAAATCTAGAGGAAACAATGTTTGACACCAAAAATTCAGGGGATTTCCTGCTGTTTATCCCTTAAACATCCCGCCGGGTGGGAAACTGAACCCACGTTATGTCTGTTCTTGGCGTTCATATGATAGACATTGGATGCCAAACGCATGGTTTTGGCACACATTTCAGTTGATGACATTCGCCGTGCCAGTGTGTTTTGGCTTTTTTCTTGCGTTTTGCAATGTTTTCTGCATTCATGAGCTTGCAAAATCAGCGTATTTTTTTTGTATTTTTCTTCAATTTTTCAGGTTTTAGCACACTTCTGCGCGCCATATTTTCTATCGCCAAGGATGCAGAGCACTTGTCATCCAGACTGGACAGTCTCATTCAAGACTTTGGCAGTCTTTTGAAACAAGCAGGCGCCAGTGTTCTCCCATCTCTATTGCCAACGCAGGAAATCGTGATTGACAACGCAGGCCACAGGACGCTATTACACCTCCCCCCAACCCCCCCAAAACCCCCCCAAAACCCACCCGAAAACACCAAAAAAAAGACAATATACAAAAGTGACAACAGTCTTGCCCCTCGAGGGGCGCCGTCACCAAAAACATGCCATGAGGAGTAAAGAGCAAACAGTGAATGAACCAATATCTTTTAGCTGATGAAGCCTACGGGTGGAAAACCTTTCTTGCAAACCATTACTGTTAACCTAGCCCACCCCACCACCACCACCACCACCACCCCCCTCTTGAAAACATGATAAAATACTGGTTCGGGTTTTCCACCCGTAGGCTTAAACATCCTTAAGATCCTTAAGCCAATTCCAGGAATCAATCGTCATTTTTTTTTTGGGTGGGGGAGCCACTACTTCACCAGCGTAAAGTGATCTTCTTTCATGTCTGCAAAGTGGACATGTTATGAAGCCGGGATTCACCAGCCAGGATGTCGCAAATTGGTTTCAAGGAAAAACATGCAGGACACCTTACATTTGATTATGATATATTATGACAACATATGACAACCATGGTTTCTTATAGAGCCTCCATGATTTTCCCCCCACTGAACCATGGTCAGTGGATATGCTTTTCCAAGGCGCCACTGATCATCCAGCGCCAGGGCTTGTCCTCCTTGGTGGTGACAAAACACGTCCAAATTTGCACAAAAATTGCAAATTCAATGAGAACATGACTTGATTTTTTCAGACATACTGTAGTGTCAACCAAGAAGTGCTTTTGGTGGTTGATTTTTTTTCTAGCTCTATTATTGAAACAATTTCACATGTTGACTGTTGGCTGGGAAATCTTGGGAACGTGCACCATTAAGAATTGGGGATCTCTCTGGGCTCCAGGCTAATCTATGAACATGCTTTGGTGAGTTGGCTTTGTCTGCGCGAGTATCCCTTGGCATCCAATGGTTTTTGATCATATTTAAAAATATTTCTCATGAAAGTTGCCACAATGTGAGAAGTCTAGGCTCCAAGCACTTCCAAGCTGCGAAGGCTTCACCAAAAACGCACATCACGAACATCATTTTACCAATAACATTCACCAGCACGACAGGATCAGCAGGTTTATATCGCCCCCTCACTAGCACTCACGCACAAGAACACACACGTGGAAATAGAAAAGCAAACACATGCATTTCAAGGGCATTCTTGGGCGTTCTTCGCAAATTGCAGTTTTTAGTGTTTACATCCGATCTCAAAACACAACGCCCATGCCAGCGGAAACAAACAAATGAAATCAAACAAACAATGCATTGTGCATATTAAGGCTGTCAATGATTTCAAACATCTCAACTGAACCCGATGTGACCCCGCCAAAAAAGGAACATTTTGAAAGGGGCTATAAGGGGCTTAGTAAATCCCTGCTGGCTTGAGAAATTCCAAGCGTCCCATGTCCACGTGTAGCTGCGAGCATCCCGCATATTTTTGTTGTTGCTGTTCCTCAGCAAATTCGAACCAGTTGCCAGCAACAGTTACTAGTAGCAGAACTCTAAATTATATACCATGTTGGTTGGACTGGCTGCCACCCCGATTCATTGGCTCCAAACAAATAAAAATCAACCGTCTACAAACGCACAACCTGACCTTGATCATGAGGCTGGTCTGATTGGTTGTCTTCGGCCCCCTTGGACTGGGAAAATCCATTCATCCATTTATATATATATATATAAATAGAAATAGTGGTCCTGTTTTTTTTTTCGTGAAGTTTTGTCATGTTTTGTCGCTAAGCAGACTTTAGCAACCCTCTTTCAGTGGTTCATCCATTTCGTAGTGGGTGTAAAACCTAGGTAAATTATGGTAAGTTTATGTAAATTCTGTGTCTTCGTGTTTTGTTGAAACAAGGATTTCCAGCTGGACTTGCCGTTTTGTTTCAGTGCAAGGGATTCGTGGCTCTAGTTGCAGCCAGCTTGCCCATAGTCCGCCTTCACCAGTGCTTTGGCGAAATTTTCCATGACAGCGCCACCCTTGCCAGCAACCAAACCTGCCCAAGAAACCGGCTGAGCCAGACTCATCTGGCAGCGGGCAAGGTTGCTACATCGCACAGAACCACAACATGTTGTTTTTGTTCAGAGGTTTGGTTTTTAAGCTGTTTGTTTCCCTTTTGCAATTACTGCTCCTTGTTTCTCTCTTAGTTTCAATCCTGGGGACGCCGACTTGGCCATGGAATGATGACTAATTACTCCATGGATTTCATTTGGGTGACAAACTAAGGGATTTTGAAAAGGGCCCACGACAAATCCATGGCCCACATGTTTTACATAATTGCAAGCAATGATCAAGGTGAATGTTACGAAAACATATGCCTGGATCATTCATGAATGACATTTGGGCCATGTTTGGGCATTGATTCCTTTTTAACATGTTAACATGACATACACACACACATTATGTCCAATTCTTGGATGCCAGCTTCTGTATTAGTATTGCATTCCCATGCCCCCCATATGCAGAGATCAAAAATCATATGATCCAATGACCCCAGCCGGATTCCGGATTCGCACCCGGTCTGTGAATATCTGTGAATCCGCCAAGGGACGGTCAACGACATGAATCCACTCGTGGATTTCCACTTTACCTAGGACTTGGACTTGGCATTTTTCCGCGCCAACTCACAGTTTGACTGTTAGTCAATCAAGTTCGCTCTGGGAAGGAAAAAAAACAACAAAAATGGCAAGAACTCACGAACAGCGGCCATAAGAACCAGAACTTCAAGAACAAGGACAAGACTTGTATCTGCGGGACTCCGGGACACTGGAATGGCACGGGATTCACAACCATTGCGTCTCTGCCACGTGAAGATGCCTACAGAAACGATCATACATGTACATCTAGGATACAATAAATATCGGTATAAACTATTATAATTCAATCATGATATCTTACGTGGTTGGTTTCAAATAACTAAACAATCAGAAAATCACTGGGACGCAGGGTTTCAAACCAGTGGCCGTTGCAATTCTCGTCCGCTGCAGCAATGAGTTTCTCAGCACGCCTGGTGCGAATTTAAGGGGCCCCAAGGATGACGGGTGTTAACTCCCCAACAAAAAATATACATGTTATATATGCATATGTATTTTGAAACCTGTTCAAACAAAAACTCGGCGGACAAACCTTCGGACTTTCAAACAGCTTATTTAATACACATATGCTCACATTTCACACGTATTCCATATTCATTTTTGGCTTGATACCCCCATGTTTTGTTGGTTGGCAAAGGTGTATCATTTTTTTGCTGCTGAAATCCGACCTATGTGCTGATTAAATCCCAGTGTTTGGTGATTCAATCACCATTTGATGGTGAATCATCCTTTTTCATGGTTAAATCATGTTAAATCACCCTTTTCCGTATGTTTTTTTTTCTGGTGGTGAAATCATGATTTTGATAGTTAAAACACCATGTTTCAAGGTTGAATCAGGATCACCATCTTTGATGGTTTTTATCACCATTCTTCTCCATTTTTCATGGCTAAGCAATCAGCGGCAACCATCGGCAAACATCGCTAAGCGACTGGGGATGCTGCCCCACGGCTCCCAAGGCGTTTTTCAATTCATCCGCTTCCAGGACTCCGCTTTTGTCCGTGTCCAACCTGCGACTGATGGCGAAACATATTTATACAGTAAATGCCTGGGCTTTGCCCCGAGCGGCAGGACGACTGGTTTAACGGGAGTGGGAATTTAGATGTTTCTTCCTCTTCCCAACTGAATGTTCTTCATCTTCCCCATTGAATGTAAGCTTGATAACAAGTTGAATGGGGATGAGAACCAGCCACATAGCAACCCCTGGGCAAAACCCAGGTTGCGCGTATATTAAATACAATCTTCTTATATAATATAGTATCTAATATATATATATATATTATGTGTGTGTGGTTCCTGCAGCTGTTATGTAAATATCTAAAAAATACATATACATATATAAATAAATATTTACACAGAACAAAGAACATATTACTTATTACTGTCTATAATATTGCCATCATGATACTAATGGATATGAAGGGTGGATAACAACATGACATGACGAATTTCGGACTGAACAAAATACTTTACTTCGAGTCATCCCCACCGTGACATTAGTTTGTCATAGTTTCTGACATCACTTGGAAGTATATATGGTATATATATATGGTATATATATATATATGGTAAACATATATATATATACATATGGTATATAAATATATAAATGGTATATATATATGGTATATATATATATGGTATATATATGGTATATATATATATATATGGTATATATATATATGGTATATATATATATGGTATATATATATATGGTATATATATACATATGGTATATATTTCTGACATTCTATTCTGGCATTCTATCTGACATCTATTCTGACATCCTATTTGGCATTCTTTCTGGCATCTATTCTGACATTTTCTCTGGCATTCTACCTGGCATTCTATCTGACATTCTATTCTATCTATCTAGCATTCTATCTGACATTCTCGTCTGTCATTCTATCTGGCATCTGCATATTCTGACATTCCATTCTTCCATTCTATCTGGCATTCATTCTGGCATCTAGTCTGGCGTTCATTCTGGCATTCTTTCTGACATTCCATCTGACGTTCTATTCTTGCATATTTCTTGCATTCCATGTCCGGCAGTGCCACATCTGGAGCTCGTAGTTAAAGCCCGGCACTGCCCACTGAGGTCCGGCACTGGCCACTAAGATCTGGAGCTTGCAGTTGAGGTCCGGCAGTGCCCATTGAAATCTGAAGCTCGCGGTTGAGGTCCGGCAGTGCCCACTGAGATCTGGTGCTCGGTTGAAGTCCAGCAGTGCCCACTGAGATCTGGTGCTCGCAGTTGAGGTCCGGCAGTGGCCACTGAGATCTGGAGCTTGCAGTTGAGGAAGAAAGGAGGAGGGAGGAAGAAGGAAGGAGGAAGGAAGGAGAAAGAAGGAGGAAGGAAGGGAGGAAGGCAGGAGGAAGGAGGGAAGAAGGAGCAAAGTAACTCTGATACTGTAAAATCTAAAGGCCCTCACCCGGCAGGTGGGGAAAAACATGAATACACTTGAAAGTTGCCGCACATCAGATTTGCAAGGCATGGAGATCCATCATCGAATGGGGTTTACCTCGGCACATACGTTGCCAACCATGTTTCATTAGGCGCATTATCATCAAAAAAATATCCTTCGGTAGTCAAACTTTCTAGCTGCGGAATCCGAACTAAATCATTAAAGGTTTGAATTGGGGCATCATCCATAATGGAGATTTTTTTCATAAATTCCAGCACGCCATGTTTGATTGCTGAAGGGGTATCGTTACCGTTGCTTTCCCTGTTGTGCCGGGCCGCTTGTTGAAGAGATTCAGCAACACATTTCGTTGCGCATTCAAAGCCCTCCGCACTCTTGTTGGAACCTCAGTACGATGTTAGAAGATCACTGGACCCATGCGACCCCAATTCTAAGTGGATTACCCCTCCAGTAAACTAACATAGCTATGGAAAATGGCCTATTTATAAAGATTGTATCAAAATTTGTCATGTCACCACGGGTAAACATGGACGAAGCCCGCTTTCGATTTGTGTGATGAGCCACCAAAAGAACGATGATGGGACCCACAGCTCAACTCGAGGGCAATCCGTCATACATACTTTTGCTTGGGAGTCCAAACTATCTGGTAGGATGTAGCTAACTCTTGGAGCGAAGGATCCAAGCCTGCCCTTCTGACCAAACATCTGGAATGGTACCTCTGCTTTGACTTTGGCATGTGCACATGGACAAGATCGCCAACTCCTCATGTGATCCCTACTCCTTGCGGGTCAACAGCACCTTCAACTCTTGCTCTGCTTCGGGACCTTCCAGGTCCTTGGGAGGTTTGCTGAGAGAGAACCCCGTGGTGGATGCAACTTGTACTGGGTTTATTTTTGAGGTCGGTTTCTGGATGTTAGCTAAACCAATTCTTACCAGTAGTGCCGCACAAGGCGGTGGCGGAAGTTCCAAGGATAGGAGACCTATCAATCATGCATGCATGGAGAGCGAATTCACTGATGGACCGAAAGGTGGTTGAGGCTCAGAGTCTCGTTCTCCTTCCCTCTCTCTCTCTCTCTGTCTTTATCTATCTGTCTGCCCCTCCATCTGTTTATCTATCTCTCTGACTATCTATCTCTCTGACTATCTATTTCGATCTCTTTCTATCTACGATCTCTTTCTACCCCTCTCTATCTCTCTCTCTCTCTCACTCTCTCCCTCTCTCTCCCCCTCCCTCTCCACCCTCTCCCCATGCATAGATACATACATATACATACATACATACATACATACATACATACATACATACATACATACATACATACATACAACATACCATACATACCATACATACCATACATACCATACATACCATACATACCATACATACCATACATACCATACATACCATACATACCATACATTACATACATTACATACATTACATACATTACATACATTACATACATTACATACATTACATACATAACATACATACATACCATACCATACCATACCATACCATAACATAACATAACATTACATTACATACATACATACATAGATAGATAGATATATATATATCATATATCCCTCTGTCTATCTCTCACTATCGCTATCTATCGCTCTCTTTCTCTATTTTTCTGTCTCTCTGTCAATCTCTCCCCATCTCTTTATTTTTTTTTCTTTGTCTCCCCATCTCTATCTCTCTATCTCTCTATCTCTCTATCTCTCTATCTCTCTATCTCTCTATCTCTCTATCTCTGCCTGTCTGCCTGTCTGTCTGTCTATCTACCTATCTATCTATCCATCTATCCATCCATCTATCCATCTATCCATCTATCCATCTATCCATCTAGCGATCTAGCGATCTATCTATCTATCTAATCTAACCTGATCTAATCTAATCTATCTTATCTATCTTATCTATCTTACCTACCTAACCTATCTAATCTATCTAATCTATCTAATCCATCTAATCCATCTAATCCATCTAATCCATCTAATCCATCTAATCCATCTAATCCATCTAATCCATCTAATCTAATCTAATCTAATCTAATCTAATCTATCGATCTATCTATCTGAAAGGAAGCAATTATGCGAGATTTCCTCAAAAAATGGCACTTGAACCGGAGCAATTCTGCGAGGCTTCCTCAAAAAATGGAAGTGGACAGCTCCAAACCGAAGAAATTCCTGACATCCAACCATATCTGATGGAGATGTCTCTTGCACGGCGCCAGCCACGCAAAATTCATCTTTGCAGATCCTCTTCAAACGTCCCATGCCTGCCATCGTTTTTGAAATTGCTGCAAAATCCACACGTTTGGATCACTTTTTGCAAGGTGCGGAATCCATTACGCCTGCCACATAAAACAACGCTTGAACGTCCAAAAGTGGTCCAAAATGTCCGAACAAGTGGTGTTTATACCATTTTGACTTCGAGTGGTCGTTCTCGCCACAGCAGAGTGCACTTTTTCCACAGCTCCACTGCCAAATGTGCTCGGAGGCGCTTTTAGCATTTTGACTTCAAACTGTGCTTCGCTGCCACAGCCGCGTGCAATTTTTGATGTCTTATCCCGCCAGATGGCTCCAACCCGCCGCTTTAGCAAGCCTAATTTTCAACCCTTTAAAGCCACAGAACATTGGAAAAACACAGTGTTTCGACTTTTCTACCTTCTCGCGCGCTTTGATCTTCTTTCTACTGACTCTCTCTGCTCTGACTCTCTCTTCTCTGACTCTCTCTGCTCTGACTCTCTCTTCTCTGACTCTTTCTCTTCTGACTCTTTCTCTTCTCTGACTCTTCTCACCACTGCTGCTGCATCTGTCCATACGGTTAATATTAATCTTAAATGTAACTTTTGATATGTGCATTCAAATAAAACATGTGGAGCGATGTGGAGCGCGCATGTTCCCAATGCATGCTTGAAATCCGCAAATAATTGCAGGGGATCTGCAAATTGGGTTTACTCAAACGATCCCCTGGGGAGGAATTCATCCTGGGTAGACCCCGTGACCCGGCCCTTGGCTAAAACTGGGTCAATTGGTCAACATGCGGTACCAATGGGCCCACAAATAGGTGATAATAGGATATAATAGGTCATGTTGTCTAAATTTAGGGCAAATGTCATGAGGAAAATTATGAATTACGAGTACTTAATAGCAATTATGATCATTCATTGAAATTTCGGGGCACGCCATGGCACACCTATTGCAAACAACACTTTTCTTTGGATCTAGAATCTAGAACCATCCTTAGGGAGGTTCTAGAAAACCCCCAAGATGTCCTGGCCCTTCCAACCCCAGGTCCTGCCCGGCAAATTCAGAATTTGCAAGTGATTCAACCATGGATGATCTGTCCTGGAGAGTTCAGGTGAACTGAATCCAGCCCCGTTCTGAAGATGCCAGGAAAGCGGAAATATCTAATTCAAATTGCCCATCCAATCCTGGCCATGACTAGGCCACTTCCACTCACTAACAGGGATTTTCGGCAGCAAAGGTGGCCGAGAGCCCCTACTTCCAAATCAGGCCCCATGATCCGTATCAACTCCAGTTGGCCCTGAGTGGTGGTGCAACCTCCATTTTTCATAGGTAAAATTGTCCAAGCTGTGGGCAGTTGTATATTAAGCACTTGTTAGACATTGTTAGAATTTGTTAGTAGTCACAACTCATCATGGCTAACCTGGCCCCTGAGATACTGCCACAGAAACTTGTTTAAGTCATTGCCCGTAACGCTCCATGATTGGAATAGATGTGTCAAGTAATCCCTCGATTTCTGTGCTCTCTCCCTACCCCTGTTGACCACGATCAATGGTGACATCGGCCAGCAAAATCGCCTCCATCGTGGTAATTTATTTGAGCAAAACCAGCCGATAAACCGTACATGTATTAAAGATGACTCCATGATGTGCATTGTTTTCTGCCACTGACAAAAACACCCATACAATCCCATATATCCATAGTCATACATCTTCATGTTTTTCTGTTCAAAGAATCTTTTTCATTCTCAGCCCTAGTTTGCCAGGAATTTTAGAGGCTTACCTCATCTTACCCTAATCCTTAACGTCCTTAACCAATCTTAGATTTTCAATCGATTTCCCAGTCCTCCGACACTTCGCTGACCTCGCTGGCCTCGCTGTTCGTCCTCCGCCGCCCGCCTGGGGCCTCGGAGGCCTCCGAGGCGGCGTCCGAGAGGCGCCGCAGGTCCAGGGCCTGCGGCGCGGTGATGCGACGCGGTAGGTGAACTACCAATTTTTTCATGGGAAAAATGGGGGAAATGATGAGAAAATAACAGAACATCAAGCAAATTCGTAGAAATTTGACGAAACATCTTCAGGATTATAGATCGAAAATTAGAGGAGAATCATGGAAAATCCATGAAATGTGAAGAAAGCTAAGGGAATTACAGGAACCATTGGAAAATCACGGTTTTTGTTTTTGAGAATTCAATCCATTCCCCCGTTTGTATTAAACATCGCTGAGCAATCATGGACGTAAGGGATTTACACATATTGGAACTCATGGCATGGGTTTGTTTGATATAAAATTAGGATACATTCATCACGGGGACGGGGATGGGATTGCAAGGGGGGTTCACCCAGTAACAGTGGGGATATCAAATGATTACAACTCATGGGGATGGTAACTATCAGCTTTACTGGGTGGATTAGTGAAAAAACTGGGCGTTCCCCCCACCTTACCTTGGATTAACTGGGCTGAACCAAGCCGCAGCCAAACAATTCCTGGCGAAGAGATGCTAAGAGGACAATTGCCATGGAAAACATAATGAAACATATTTACAAATGGGTCCTGTTCCCATGGCTATGTTGAATTACCAAAGGGTATCACAAACCCATTCAAACATTGGGATTTGACCATCATCGGGATTGTGTGTTGCTTCACGGATTCGCGATTGACCATGCGGATTTATCATGATCAACCCAACGAGGAAACCACTCAAATGCCACGTCAAATCAAGAAAATAATTCCCCTGCTAGTGTGGTTTCACCCTGAGAATTATGTAATTATCACATATGAAAGTCAATAATTCAGCATCATCACCCCTGAAAAGAATAATTGGTTGAAACAAAAACACGAGAAAACACATGAAACCACTGACCAAACATCCTCCAGACCTAGATCCAAATTTTGTTTTTTTTGGCGCCTCAGCTGCTTGAGGATTTTGCATGAAATTCGTGGATCCCAAAGCATCGTCTAGATCCACGACCTGCGCGTCAGTGGAACTTCCAGATTTGGGGTTTTGTTGGCCCCATGGCCACCCCAAAAAGAGAATGTAGCAAAACCATGCAAAACCTGCAAGGTCGGTAGTCGGTACAGTATAGCTTGTGTTCATTGTTTTCTGACATGTCTGGACCCACATCAGTAGTTTGTGGTCTGAGTTGTTTGAATTTCAAGACCCCAATCACACACTTTGGTATTTTATCACAGCAGTCGCTGGACTCAGAGTATTCATGAGTTTTCTAGATACTTGCGACCTAATTTGGTGAAGCCAAAACAAGTTAGAAGCACGTGGCTCTGGTGGTTTGAGATCGACACGGAACGTGCTCACCACATTTCTGAGTCTAAATGCTATCAGAAATTTCTAGGACCTTAGGACCCAGGACCCCACGTTTCTTTTTTTAAGGTAAGATGTGCATCCACTTAGTAGGTGGCTAATATCAGCTGCAACTATCCAGCCACAAATCGGATACGTCACATGAAGATAATTTCACCACAGTTGCACATGAATTTATGATGGGTTTATGTGGATCAACCAGTTACCAACTGGCACACCGATCCAAGTCATTGGAAGGCACATGTTTGAACCAAAAGCACATTGATCATCACGTGGCCTGCCGCCGCTCTTGCAAACTCAGAGATGACCTTGTCACCAGGCAACCATTTTTCTTCAGGAAAAAACTGCAGGAGACCATGGATCTTGCGACATCCACACAGAATCCACGGTTTCCTCCATTTCTTTTTCAAAAACACATTTGGGAGAGAAACCACAGTCCCTCTCCTCAAAGAAGATGGGCTAAGAATCGCAAATCCGTTCCCATTGATGGTGCTTGCACTCTTCATGTCATGCCCTCAGCGGTTCAATGCCTGGATGGCTACTTGGTACATAAGTCGATGGTAATCATGATGGCAAAGACCAAACATTCTGCGAAAAAAAAACATGCGTGTTTCTCCTGCCGCACTGGACAGTCCGAAGATATGGCCCAGGCGGTCCTATATGTACGTATGTGACGTGTGTAAAAACTATATATATATATATAAATACACAAAATATGCATACTTACCTTTCCATCCCACAAACTACCTACCGATGGTTCATTCCCATCTATCTTTATCTGCCTATATCTCTACACATCGGTCGATATCTACGTATAGTTCAATCCAATTATATCATACTATATCTCTGTCTGGATAATCACTCTCCATCCATCCATACATCTATCCATGCATGCATGCATGCATGCATCCATCTGTCTCTCTATCTCTCTATCTCTCTATCTCTCTAACTTTTCTATCTCCTTCTATCTCTATCTCTCTCTATATATCTCTATCTTCTATCTCCGGATCTCTCTATTTCTATATCTTATCTTATCCTATCCTATCCCTATCTATCTATCTATCTATCTTTCTATTTTTCTGTCTATATATTTTTCTAACTTTCGATCTTTATATATTTCTATCGTTCTATCTTTCTATATTCCTATCTTTCTATCTTTCTATATTTCTAAATGAATATAATATATATATATATCTCTCTCTCTCTCTCTCTCCCCCTCTATCTTTTTGTCTTTCTGTCTATCTATCTATCTATCTATCTCTATCTTATCTATCTTGATTTATCAATCCAATCTATTCTATCTGATCTCTCTGGTCTTCCTGATCTGTCGTATCTATCTGGTCGACCTCATCGATCTGATCTGTCTGCTCTACTTTATCTATTGTATCTATCTTATATGGAGTTTCGCGCGAGCTGGTTTTCAGAAAATTCTGATCGTGGCATTGCTATAAGCGTTTCTATACTATCAAGTGGTTTGTCTGATGCATTGTTCGTTTGTTTTTGGTGACTTGTGACTTTGGAACGCTTATTGGCCATTTGTATCCGAACATTTCTGATTCTACAGGTTTTGAACCTTAAGCCTCCAACTTGAACATCAAGAATCAGAATTTTCTGATTGTGATCAGAATTTTCTGATTGTTATCCAAAAAAAATGCAAATCAGAATTTTCTGATTGTGATCAGGATTTTCTGATTGTGATCAGAATTTTCTGATTGTGATCAGAATTTTCTGATTGTGATCAGAATTTTCTGATTGTGATCAGAATTTTCTGATTGTGATCAGAATTTTCTGATTGTGATCAGAATTTTCTGATTGTGATCAGAATTTTCTGATTGTGATCAGAATTTTCTGATTGTGATCAGAATTTTCTGATTGTGATCAGATTTTTCTGGTTGCGATCAGAATTTTTTGATTGTGATCAGAATTTTCTGATTGTGATCAGAATTTTCTGATTGTGATCAGAATTTTCTGATTGTGATCAAAATTTTCTGATTGTGATCAGGATTTTCTGATTGTGATCAGAATTTTCTGATTGTGATCAGAATTTTCTGATTGTGATCAGGATTTTCTGATTGTGATCAGGATTTTCTGATTGTGATCAGAATTTTCTGATTGTGATCAGAAGTTTCTGATTGTGATCAGAAGTTTCTGATTGCGATCAGACTTTTCTGATTGCGATCAGAGTTTTCTGATTGTGATCAGATTTTTCTGATTGTGATCAGAATTTTCTGATTGTGATCAGAATTTTCTGATTGTGATCAGAATTTTCTGATTGTGATCAGAAGTTTCTGATTGCGATCAGAATTTTCTGCTTGCGATCAGAATTTTCTGATTGCGATCAGAATTTTCTGATTGTGATCAGAATTTTCTGCTTGTGATCAGAATTTTCTGCTTGCGATCAGAATTTTCTGCTTGCGATCAGAATTTTCTGATTGTGATCAGAATTTTCTGATTGTGATCAGAATTTTCTGCTTGTGATCAGAATTTTCTGATTGTGATCAGAATTTTCTGATTGTGATCAGAATTTTCTGATTGCGATCAGAATTTTCTGATTGTGATCAGATCAGAATTTTCTGATTGTGATCAGAATTTTCTGATTGTGATCAGAATTTTCTGATTGCGATCAGAATTTTCTGATTGCGATCAGAATTTTCTGATTGCGATCAGAATTTTCTGATTGTGATCAGAATTTTCTGATTGCGATCAGAACTTTCTGCTTGCGATCAGAATTTTCTGCTTGCGATCAGAATTTTCTGATTGCGATCAGAATTTTCTGATTGCGATCAGAATTTCTTGATTGTGATCAGAATTTTCTGATTGTGATCAGAATTTTCTGATTGTGATCAGATTTTTCTGGTTGCGATCAGAATTTTCTGATTGTGATCAGGATTTTCTGATTGTGATCAGAATTTTCTGATTGTGATCAGAATTTTCTGATTGTTATCCAAAAAAAATGCAAATCAGAATTTTCTGATTGTGATCAGAATTTTCTGATTGTGATCAGAATTTTCTGATTGTGATCAGAATTTTCTGCTTGTGATCAGAATTTTCTCATTGCGATCAGAATTTTCTGATTGTGATCAGAATTTTCTGATTGTGATCAGAATTTTCTGATTGTGATCAGAATTTTCTGATTGCGATCAGAATTTTCTGATTGCGATCAGAATTTCTTGATTGTGATCAGAATTTTCTGATTGTGATCAGAATTTTCTGATTGTGATCAGATTTTTCTGGTTGCGATCAGAATTTTCTGATTGCGATCAGAATTTTCTGATTGTGATCAGGATTTTCTGATTGTGATCAGAATTTTCTGATTGTGAGCAGAATTTTCTGATTGTTATCCCAAAAAAATGCAAATCAGAATTTTCTGATCACAATCAGAAAATTCTGATTGTGATCAGAATTTTCTGATTGTGATCAAATTGAGAAAAAAAAACGCTTATTGAGTGAATTTTCTGATCACAATCAGAATTTTCTGATTGTGATCAAATTGAAAAAAAACACACGCTTATTGAGAAATAAACAAAACCGAAAGACCGAAAACAACAAACAAAGACTCAAAACAATTCTTTGCTTCGACCGAACCCCCCGTCACAGAAACCCTGGCATACATTCTGGCATTCTATCATCTGTAATTTCTTCTGGTGTCGCTTCGGGCGTTCTATCTGGCATCAAATATGGCGTTCTATCTGGCAAATCTTTTGCAAATTTTACCTGGCAAAAGTTTTGGCGTTCTGTCTGGCATACATTCTGATCCGACTGGTGAAAAGTTAGATTGCTGAAGATTTGCCGGGTTTGGGTCTCATGTCGCGACCACCGTTTTTTTTTGCCTGTTTGCTGGTTTTCACCCATCGAATGGAAGAGCAATATGACATATAGCATACATATTTATGTTTGGTACAGGGCTTGAGCCAGGACAAGTAGCTGGAACGCTTGATATGCGTTCTTGTGCACCTTCCATTTCAACATGACACTTTGGTACGCTTCTGAGGCCTCCCGGTAACCTAAAGTGAGGTCCGAACGCATATCCCACAAAAAAACCTTCTCCCACGAAACTTCATACTATCTTATGTATCTTATCTATCTTGTCTATACTATCTATCTGATCTATCTTTTCCATCTCAACGATCTAATTGATCTAATCTATCTTATCGATCTAGTCTGCATATAAGTAATAATCTAGCTATATCTATGTATCTAGCTATCTACCTATACCCCATAGCCAAATTTAGTTCATACCACCGTGGCACTCTGCAGGCTTCAAGGAGGGCTGCAGCTGCGCGAAACGGCCCCGTGGCGTCAGGGTGCCCTGCCTGCGCGGAGACCAGGTAGGACCAAACCGAAGTTGGGATTCCACCAAAATTGGGAAAATCTTGGGTTTAACCAACCCCATTGGGGCATGGTTTTAAGTTTTTTTTTTCCGCCACAGCTTTTTAGCCCAACCCGGTGTCCAATTCTGTGGCTCTACTTACCCATGTAACACGATGTAACCGGCAACGTCGTGTATTGGGATCATCCCATCGGAACATCTTTGCCAATTTTTTCATGTTCTTGATTCTTTGGCATCTACATTTGCAAAAATATTTTTTCAAAGTATATGTTATATATATATAGAGGCTATAGACGAACTGATTGAAACACACATCAATAGATAGATTTACATATTGATATAGATTATATATTATATATATGCACTTGTATCAATTATCACATCCGAAGATAAATGATCAAATGTTGCAACATGAATTCTCCTGCCAACTTTTGCGGAGCTTGGTCAAGGATGTGGATGTTCTGACAAGAGGTGAAGTGGAATTCCGAGGGTCTTATATAATCACACTATGTTCTAACATCAAACAGCTGCGATAAGGTCTCATTTACCAGTCTTTTTCATTTTTGGATGTTACTTTTTCTGCCATTCTTTTGATGTTGCTAGATATGAAACAAAAATGCGATGCCATTTTGGGGTCATTCCACTCGGTCTCGGAGACCTGTCAACCCAGTGACCCAGTCATGTGGCAGCATTCAATGAGCGCACGTGGGCAGGGGCAAAGTCGAACACCAATTCTTTTGGATTGGTTTCACTTCTAATTATGGGGTTATTGAAAGGGATTGATGACTTGGACCACGCAAGTTTGCATTAAATAATGTTCGCGCTTGTGCATTTATGAATATCAATATGATTGTTTATTTGCTTATATTTGTTAATCATTGTATCCCTAAATCTACATGTTTGAATCCCTGTTGAAAATGCTTCACCACTGCCGCTGATGAACTTTGAAGATTAATTGTAAAACATATTGGAACATATTGGAACATATTTTGAAAATAATTATGTAAATCGAAAAGAAAGCATGACAGACCCATGCTGCCAATATTGGATCCAACCATAGATCAGTGGGAGATTGTCGGCCCATTGGTCCTATATTGCAATAGCAATCCGTACCATGGACTTCCCAATTGCTTCACTCCTCTGAGGCCACCTTCGCATATGATGGTGATGGACATGGCGGTCGCAGAGTTTTACCACACTCTCAGTCAGCTCTTGCAAATGTCCTGGATGCTTCAAGTTGTTCCATTGATGTTCGGAAAACCCTTCCGAAAAAACGTGGGCCCTACATGGGCCCTACTGGACGCTCCATGCGTATCAATCATATATCTGTTTGTTGCTGGCTAACAATGGGGGATATGGGTATGGGTCAATATTCGGGTTCTCCAAACATGGGACATGGGTGGTTCCTAAATATTCGAAAGGACTAACATCCATTATAATATGGATCCCTGGGCCTTGCGGACATGTTTTTATCGTTTAATATCCCCTTGGCTTTCAATATTGTGGTCAAGTATCCCAATGTTTGGTCGGCTCATAGCCCTGTGGTTGTTGAGTTTCCACTGAGTTGGTCGTTGGTATCTGAGCATGTTGTTACGGAACTAACATGTGAAACACCTACAAAGGCGGATCTAAGAAAAGAATCAAACATCTGGGAAAAAAGGGTAGTTGATGGTTACCCCTATCCCACTCATCATTGATGGGGCTTGGCTGGCCAGCTTTGTTCCCAGAAAGGGTAAAGCGACATGCTTGTCTGAGAATCAGCATGTTCGTTGGCAGCTGTGAATGAACATCCTATTGCCATAAACTGAGGTATGCAGAATTACGGAACAAATATATACACCTAAATTTGAGTAGTTACGTATCTTTATTGATTGTATATCCCATGATATCCACCATACCCCCACTATTTCCTCCTCCCGCCAAAATGATTGGTTCTTCCAAATCAAATCCACGTTTGGGTTTGTCTGAAATTTAATTAATCTGCGGTTTATAATAATGTTCCACATTAAAATTGCAATAAATTGGCAAGGTATAACTCATATTCTGGCAGACCCGAGTCACTTAAGTTACAGTTGTTTTTCTGGTCAAACAACAATTTCATAGTCTAATTCTTGGTTAATTACTGAATAATATATATATATATATTATATATATACAGTCATGTCTTTTATATCATTATCATCCCTATTTATCAATGATTTCGGACTGTCAACGGGGCTTCGCTATGCTTCGTTCCAAGCTTCTTTGGTCGTCCTCGCCGGGCGGATGACTTTGCCTCGCGTGGGGTCGGTTGAGACAAAATGAATCATTTTTTTTGTGAAAATAAAGGTGCAATTGAAACATATTCAAGGAGTTTCCCTTAAATCAGGTGTCTGGTATTGTAAGCTAGGAGTCTTTGAGGGCCAACATGCCGAGTTTTTGGAGACGTTGTTTCTTGTACCCCCATTTGTGGTCGTGAATGAACTGATGATGGTTTAGTCTAAGATATTGTTACTAAGATATTGTTACTTCATTTGCACATGGGTTCATGATTTATCAGGTTTATCAGGTTTACATTGGCCCAAATTTACCGCAATGTACAGCAATCAACTCCTGGTTCTCCCCAGGTTTTGAAGCTACAAATCCATTGATGCCTCCAGGGGTTGGTTGTCCCCAACTCAAGCACAATGCATATTTCTCTGTGATAAACTGATAAACTGGACTGGTTAAACATTGGTAGCCTCCCAGGATTGCATTGACCCATACCAGCTGCTTTGGCGACCTGCCAGATTTGCTTTTGGGAACAGTTGCTGCCACCTGCAATTTTTTAAGCCGCACCCCCCATGGGAAGTGAATAGATTATGATAACCGATACAAAAACACCTACACACACACACGCATATATAAATAATTTTAAATGATACATAATCGTATGTAGATATTTTCATGATATTTCAATACCATGGAAAAATATCAATTGCTTTAGGCCCCAGGAAGCATTTTCCATCCATTTCTGACCGCCAAGAGGCAAGACCGCTTTGAGGTGTCCCAGTGCAAGCTGCATGTGCGAGATGGCTGTGGCCAGCGCCATCTCAAGTTCAACGGGTTCAACGGAGGTTGCAATGGATGTTGCTGGATGTCGATCTATGAAATTGATCTATGGACATATGGCTTTGCCCAAGAGTGTGCACCAAGAATCCAGCGGTTTATCATCATGTTCTATTCAACCCCCAAAAATGGTTTTGGTGGTATCCCACATTTTGACACAAACAGACACACCTATAGGTTGAATTATTTTGATGTCTTTAGCGTCTGAAACTATGATAATCATGGAGTTTACCATGCAATTAGATTCTTGCACCTGTCTTTTGAAACAAGCGTTCAAATCTCAAATGTTCTGCCCTTAAGATCCATGAAGTGCGCGCCCGGAATCCCATGAAAAGGGTCAACACCGCTGGATGATGTGCTGTGAAGCCACTAACATCAAGGCTGATTTGCGTGACTCCTCGTGTGCTTCCGTCCCCAGGTGGTCCTAAATTGTCGGGCAAATGGTTCTTCTGCAACTTCATTGCTGGTCATCCTAGTAGATATCTCGCTTCTATTCGCTTCTTCAATGGGGACAAATGCTGGCAAAAGTCATCCAATTAGATCCTCTTCGTTTGTTGCATAGAACCCACATTGTCCTTGCTTATTTTCAGGCCTTATGACTGATATTATCTGCTGATTTCTTGGCATTCGTTTCCTCATCCGGGCCGCTCACCGTAACACACCTTTCTGGTGTTGAGCCGTTCGACTCTGGGGCATGGAAGCGGAAGGTCAAGGTAGACACCAGATTCAGATCATGATGTAGATGTGCAGCAGGCACTTTCGCAGAACATGTACCATACGTAAATATAAATATGCGTGTGCGCGTGAACATATACACAATCATATGTCTATGAATATGTACATACATGCAAGTGAATCAAACGTATACTTATTTACACATTGCCTGGAGTAGATGTAAATAACATCACATCAATGCCAATGAAATGAAGGGCTAGAAAATCGAAGAATGCAACATCCACCCTTGAATAGATCAAACACATACTGTCACATACTGGCTCTTTGTCTTAAACCTATGACCTCTTCAATTCATGAGCGCCTTTCCACGTACGAAAAACAACCACAAGCCACCTATATTATCCAACCACAAGCCACCGATATCTCTGGCCGAATGGAATAATGATGCACTGGTCTGAAATGTTTAATGCTTTTGAGCGCTAGTTCCCTTGAACTACTCTGTCTCGTGTATGCATTCAGATTGGTAGATTGGGCCCAAGAAAATCATATAGTTCTTGGGGCTCATTGGCTCTATCTCTCCGTTGCACAAAAGTTGCACAGGAGTCATCATCAGCACCCCCATACCCCCTATCGTTTGTATTACAAAAATGCACCACAGACGTTCTCCTTCTGAAAGCGACCTTAATGAACCGCTGCCCACGCCCCAATCCCAATGCCTAACGCCAAAGATTCCAGCGCTAGCCTGCTGGGTATGTCTGGTGGCTTGAAGCTGTTGAAGCTGCTTTATGTGTGAGAAATCCATGGAGAAATCCATGGATCTTCCGATCTTCCTCTGTAAAACGCGAAAGGTCGTTCTCTGGATTGATAGTTCTGGTCATTGATACAGGCCCATCATGTTTGCTCCTCTTGGATAGAGATATTGTTATATTTCCCCAGGGCTACTCGCTCTTGAGCCTGAATCAATACTTGCTTTTGCTTCAGAAAGAAACACCACCCAGAAACCATGGCTTAGTTCTGGATCTGTTCATTGATGGCTCCCATCATTATAAATGATCGATACAAGCGAAAAAAACATCATTTTTTGTGGCTCAAACTACATTTTCCTGAGTTTAATAATTGGTTTTTCATGCAGCCCTGATCCAAATACATTCCCTTCAGAAGGTACCCGACCCTGGACCCTCATACCCCACACATTTCATGAACCCTCAAAAGTGGATCACCTCAGATCCATAGATGATTTGGGGTACTCCTATGACTTAGGACACCTCCATATGTTTCTTCGTTTTGTTGATTAAGCATGATTAAACTCCACTAAGCTACAACTAATATATATATATATATATACGTACTGTATATGTAGCTATCATGAAAATCTCTTGACTGAATCGTCATTGAATATGGTCGGATAAATTTTGTTGTCTTTCTTGACTCCTTAAAAAATAGTTGATCATGTTATGCAAAGTCAATCAGTGGGTGCAATTCCAATGATCGCAATGGGAATCAAACCAATTCAACATCTTGTTCGGCATCTATATAGAGGGATTACAATGACCCTGCCAAAATATACAACAGTTTATTGTGAATCCCGGTCATTTAACACAGCCTTGGAAAAACAGTTTTAGTAGGTAAATCTTAAATCACACTTTTTTTTTTGGGCCATCTTCCATATCTATGTTAAATTACCACTGGGTAAATCCTATAAATCTCAATATGATATACTTGGTGGCTCATTCCCGGAATCGTAAATGGCTTAGCTCAGCCTAGTGTTGGGATGAACCCACTTGCCAGTCCGAGGGCCATCAAAACCAAATAGTGTAATGGGTAAATCATGATTTTCATAGGCCATGTTCATACATTTTCCATAGCAAACTGCTAAATTGTCAACGGGTAAATCCTAGAAATACGAAAATTATGGGGATTACCCTCCCGTAATCAAACATGGCTTGCTGGAAAACCCTCGATTTAGTTCCATGGATTCCCGGCTAGAAACCCTATCAAAACTGAGATTTTCCAGCTTGCCACGTTTGATTACTAGAGGGTAAAGTAACTCTAATTGTTGTGTATACATAGTATACATCCAATGATTTCCCTGTTGATCCCTATGAATCCACATGAAAACCAATCGCGTGGCCGCAGCCTCCACTGCTTAGCCCGGCTGGCGCTGCTCGTGAGCCTTGGTTAACTGTACATGCTGTGCTGTGAACGACTGTGATGACATCGAAAGATCGAAACGTGCTCGGTATTCAGGGAGTTTACCATGAAAACTAGGGATTCAACGAGGAAGAAAAAGGAATTTGGCAACCAGTAAGGCTTTTTTGATGCATGTGGCAGACTTTCCGGTATCGTCATCGTTGTATATGTACATATATATATATAATTAGTTTGTTTGGATTTGATGGATATAACCATGGGGTTATAATCCCCATAATTTGGGATTTAAGCCCCTATGATGGAATACATCCGCTTCTATACAACTGGAACTGCACCCGCGCGTAGGGCTTTGGTGGTAAATTTGGTAACTTACTGAAGTGCTCACTAAACTCAATTGTTCCTGACACTTCTGCAGATCATAGGATGTGTCAATCTATCTCAAGCCGCATGAAACTGTCATCAAAAACCACAGCCCAGTTAGCTTCAGTTCTTTCAAACTACACACCCCTTTCCTTTCAGCAATTGTACACACACATGTATATACATATATGTATAGTTAATATAGGTATATAAAATGTATTAACAAACTAACTATATACGTATAAACATTCATAAATATGTATGACATGTATGCATGCATGTACATCTCTCCCTCTAAATAAATAATCAAATAAATAAATAAATAATATATGTATATATATATACAATCATATGTATATAACAGGAGTGCGTGTTCAAAATCCCAAGTTGGGGATCATATCCCCAAACTCTTCGCTCGCAGGACTCAAACGTGGCCATGGGAAATCACAATGTTCAACAGGAATATCATCCTTACATGGGTATCTGCACATAAACAAGTAATATATACTTATATAATCTTATATACACACATAAACTGGGAACTCCATACCTTGCCAGCTCACGTTGCTAAAGGATATCCACCATTCGCAGATCCCTATCCATACCTATCCCAGCACGCAGTTGTGCCCAGTCGTATACCTAGGACCTCTGCGGCGCCCTGCGAAGTACATGCCGGAGACAGGGCCACAAGATCTTCCTGAGAGAACCAAGCCCAAACAAAAAGAAGGGGTCGAACGACTCGCATGTCAAATATGATAGCAGCATGGGTAGATCCAACATTCAATGTTGTGGCCTGAACTTGTGCTTTGAACTAGTGGTTTGCGGTGGTTGTGGTTCCGGATGTGTATAGATTTTAGATATTTTAGAAGGCCCTACGTGTCCTCAGCAATCCAACCCACCGGCGCAGAATCAAAACAAGATGACCACATAACAACTAACAAAACACAAAAGACATTATTTAAAACAACTGTGTATATATATATATTTATCCTATTATCTATTTATACATACATACTGTGCGACCGCATCACACACAATGCAATTTTTGTAAACCATTAGCAGGGTTATGATTATCTAATTTAAGTACAGTCACATACTATAAATAATAGTTGAAACTTATAACTAATACGTTGGTGGTCTCAACCTGAACAAAATAACATTGATTTTCGCTTCATCCCAAGTAAAAAGCATGTCTGAAACCACCAGCCAGAACTGTATGCAGTTTTTGTTGAACCAATCATACGAGAAATGGGTGGTGCAAACCATCTCAATCTGGAGGTAATCTGCTGTTAGATGTGCCACGTCAATCCTCAAATTCATGGTAGCTCGCTTTTTTATGATACCCAACTATCCATCATCGACTATATCTTCATGATATCGGTACATATTGGTGCTCATCACTTATCCTCCGATACTCCCTATACATCCCGTTTTTTTGTTGGTTCTCCCCATTCTCCCCATTCTATCTATTCTATCCCTTCATCATGCGCCATCAATTTCCATCCTTTTCCTCCCTTTTTCTATTTGTTTATCATAGCCAACTGGCTCCCGCACATCCATCACTGGCTCTTTCCCTGTTGTATCTACCAGATTACATTATACAATAATTACATCATGTTCCATCGCATTTCCACAGTTTCCCTCCCATCATTAGTTAAATATCCATTTCTATCCCCATTCTATCCATCATTTTTGTTGGCTATCCGGTTCTCCCCAACTGTCTCCCGCACGTCTTGTTCCCCTCTCCAAGCGTCTCGCTGCCTCTGCGCCAGCTCAAGCAAGTGCCACGCGCAGCACCAGGCTCCGTTGGCGGCGTGGTTGGCTCCGTGGGGCTGGCTACCCTGGGCCTACGCAAGCACCGGGGCCGGGGAAAACCTATTTTTTGAAAGGGGGACCATAGGAAATTCCAAAAACATCATCATTTTACCGAATAAAAACACATTTCGCTGCAAAAAAACTTGGAGAACTTTGGGGAAGCCTTATTTTTACGACAAGAAAGATTCAACAATAGGAAAATCACTCATACAGAAGATAGCGAAGGATGAGATGATTTGACTATGACTATGCAAAAAAGGATAGCTATAGGGAGCCTGCAGTAGCCATGAACATGGATAAACATCTAGTATAAAATGCCCCAAGTCTGAGGCATGAAAATCTATTTGAATCTGTTTGATTGGTACTTACCTGTCGGTGGTTTCTGTCGCATTTCCCAGCGCCCCCTTGTATATTCCAAGTATTTTATTCAAGCAGCTTCAAGTACTTTGTGGCCATGTTGGAAATGCCCATCCAAACCCATCAGAGTCCCATCCACAAACAGAACATCATAAAACAGGTCCTCAACTCCTCACTATTCTCCAGTAACGCTACCAAACCCACTGGAACTCCACAGTCCCAGCGGCGCAAATGCCCAGGGTGGCCGCCAATGTCACAACATCCGCCTGTTTTTTCCGAGGCTCAGAAAACTGTGAGCGACGAGTCGCCAAAATCATGGCAACTTGAGCATCTGTCAACATGTCACTGCGAATTGAGCATACCCTCCGGCTCAAGAAATATGATGAAATATGGCAATTGAACATCCACCAATTAGTTGATGATGTTGATTTTCCCAGCTATAAACCTCCCTTGACTCCGGGGGGAAAAAAATGCCCTGCCTCCTCCGTCTGCTCATAAACACGCAAGGCCTGAGGCCAAACACCTGGCAGTTCAGCAACGGCCTAGGAAAATGATCTACAAATGGTGGGTTTTCAGAAGGGTTTTCCACATCTTTGTTGGTTTTCACGAGGGTTTCCATCATCAATACTGAGTGGGACTGAGTGGGATTGAAGAAACCTTCATTATGAAAGGTTCAGGAGACATAGAGTTTCACCAGTATGCCCATTTGAGCAGCTAACGCTGGCAGTAGCGGAAGTTTATCCTCCTGGTTATGGTGCTATTGTGGGTAAGTTTCTAGGTTTGAAATTATAAACAATGGAACATGATTACTAACTCTATATAACTGGTTTCAAACCCAACTGCTTAATCCATTTAAATACATTCAAAATATTTCAAAATAATTCAAAATCATTTAAATACATTCAAATACATTTAAGTTACCCAAGCAAAGTTTTTTCTTTATCACTGTCACTTTCCCCATTTATGGTATGGTTCCTCGTTGGGCATACCGCATTTCTGTTGCTTCCGAGACTTCAGCTGACTTAGCTGCACCTGACGCACCATCCATGGAGCACAAGGTGCTGGTGGCGGAAATCGCATTGAGCTTCTGCAACTTCCGTGCCTTGCTGTCGCTGCGGTCGCTGCAGAATTTCGGACTTCCCATCATGCAGGATCCACGCGCTATATAAAGCTGTTGAGGATATCAATGAAATATCAATGGATCTCAGTCATATGATATCAACTTATATCATGAGTAACAAATAGTAACAACCACCCCTCAAATGTGACCCTGCCAAGAATGAGGGATTCTTCAAGGCTTAAACTTTTTAACCACCAACAACCGCTATATCGCAGCCCGTTCCACGCCACAAGATCTCCTACATCGATTTTAGCTTTTTGGCTTGCTGCCAAGCCAGCCCGTCTTAGGTCCTTTTGAAAAGACACTCAACTGGCAGTCGGTCATGTTGGAGCAAGTCCTCTTCAGAACGCTTTCCATAATCACGCTCGGGGTGCTCGAGGTGCATTTCATATGCTTCGGAAACAGCCAATGGCTGTGAACAATGTACCAACTGACCAATGAGATCTGGCATCCCAGCGACAGGAACCGACATCCAGTAACAATCAGTTGGTCCTTCAATCGCTGATTGTCTTGAATCTAAATCTCTTCGGACATCTTCAGACCTATTTGAGCCAGGAACCTCACTCGTGCCACATATCTGGCTGAGCAAATTCCACAGCTAATTTATTTCTCCATCACCAACTGCATAATTATCTTCAGCGAACATCAGCGGACAGCTTTGATAGGGTCGAAGTCGTCGGCGTCAAAGTTCACCTTGCTGGTTGAGCCAGTCAGCTAGGTTCATCTTCTCGAAAGGGGGTTGGAAAGCAGTAGTTGCGAATGTATACAGGGGAAAATGGGGATATAGTGGGATATAGCCCAAATTAACCAAATATATTTAATTACACAGATTTGTTGGAAAGGTTGCAACCGTTGAAACCACCAGCCAGTACTAAACCTGTTGGATCCTTCCATACCACTTTGGCGTGCAAAACTGATCTGGTGAACTGGGTGGGCCAGCTCATTTCAGCAGGATATGATTCATAATATCCGTGGATGGCCGCTCCATGTAGAGGCTAGCGGGAGGCAAACAAATGACTATAACAGGGCAGGCAAATTGATGGCATTAATCAACAAGCATTATCTACGGTCAGGTTCCAATAAGATACTAAAGTCGATATGAGCATCCCAAGCAGCAAACAAAGCAAGTCTCCGCAACTTTTCCAAGTTAGACTGAAAAACATATTGATACTGTTATGATCTGTTATGTCAAGTTCAGTAAAAACCCTTGAACTTTTACTGCCGATATAGAACTTGATATAATCAACGATCACTGGGTGGCAGCTGTTTATGCGTCGCCTTGTCATGGCTGTGATGATTAGCTGATCCAATGGGACGAAGCACATGAAATGTTTCTGGATTTTCACTATAGCAATTCACTGAATTAAGGAGTCAAGGAATGTCAAGGATAATGAAGGAAATTGTTAGGTCATTTTGGTATCATTCCCCTTGTTAATCCACATTCTATAACCATCATCTTGGATTTGCTTAAGGGGTCACCCAAAATGTTTCACAATATTCACTATAGATTCCCCAAATGATGGATTTTCCATCGGGAAAACAAAAAACACCTTAAACAAACCCAGGTCATTGCAGTGACGTCGCAGTGAGGTCGTTGTACTTCATCCAGCTGTATGGAGAAGGAAACTGCACGCTAGGGAGTTTAAACATCTTCCAAAAGGTGAATGGAAAGTACCAAAGTTTCGCGAACAGCAACATTTTTTGTTTGGCAGCAAAAGAAAAACAACAACTAATACTGTATATGGTTTAGTAAATTATCATAAATTATCACTATTTTTGTAGACATGGATTTTACCAATTTCTATTATCTTCACTTGGGGATTGGTTGCAACCTGCTGTAACAGTGTTAAACTCGGTGCCAAGCTGCTCAGTTCATCTGCTCCTGGATGGCCACCGTGTAACCTGGGACCCAGCTGGGGAGGTCAACAATTCATATATTCTAAACTGGGGAGAGCAGCCTCGATCTTTGGATGGATAACGATGGATAAACCATCTATAAACCCGTCACCTCCTCTTTGGCCTTCAAATCCTTCAAAGCTTTTTGGAGACAAGGGGCAACGTCTGTTTTCCTCTATTAACTTCGAGTCCATTCATAGAATTCTCCCATCTCCAAGTTTCTCCCAGTTCTATTGGTTATATCTATATATATCCACATTGTATGGTGGTCAACCATGCAACCCTACACAATGTTTGTTGGATCTTGTTGGCGAATTGTCCAAGCCTCGCAACTGGAACTGTCCGGGGTGAGCCTTATGCTGAACATCTTCGAAAAGAGCTGCATCATCAAGATACTCTCAGAAGATCTGTGGCCTGGAATCCCCCAAAGTTCGACTCAGAACACCCCGTGTGGTTCGAAACCAAAAAACATATCCAGCCATTAAAGATGTGTCCAAACGCCAAAATATGCATGCAAAAAGAACTCGCGTTTTTTCACCCCAATAATCTGTGCATCATCGCGTCGTGATTATATTTGGAAATGCCAATTGGCTTGTGCCGGTCTTGATCATGCATCATGAGGAATATACATATATATATATATATATTATATAGGACCCAAATATTAGTTTAAGAAAAACTCCCTATTCATCTTTATATATATATAATTATGTATCATAATATCTCATAGCAAATCATAATGCATTATATATATATATATATATCAGAGCATGAAGTCCCTAGCTAATATAATTCGTTAAGCCTCGCAAAATGGAGAACATATTATGACCATCATCCTTGGCCCCTTGGGGGGTTGTTTCACCACTGTTTTTCGCCACTGCTTCTCGAGTCTTCCCGGCTTCCCAAGGCACAAGAGGACAGCAACGCATTGAAACATGGCAAATCTGGTGACAACTTCCTCAGCGCCCGGCTGTTTCTTGGATTGGCTTGGGAGCCAAAAACAAAAACCTCTTGAAATAGACAATATCATTTTCAGCAAATCCATGTGTTTTTATGTTTCAAACAATTAAGGTCCAATTTTTTGAGTGTTTTGCCATCTAGATGGTGAATAGAAGTGAGGATTTAATAAGCAAACTATGGGATTTAAGCAACACGAAATGTTGTCAAATACAACATGTTTTATTTTCCTTGCATGTCCTTATCAAATTACAATGGCCGCTGTAGATCCGACACATTCCACAAGGGCTTCTGGCGGGTTCATAAATGCATGGAATGACAAGATCATGTCTTCGAAACAATGCGCATCACATTGGAAAAAATGTCGTAATCTTTGGTAAATCCAAAGCCATATTTGCTCAGCCATTTGGGGAATAACTTCCCATATAAACCATCACTTACAGTGAAGTCGGCCAGGGTTCGGCCGCTATGAATTATGCAAATGCCATGTTCTGTTCAGGCGTGGGATACTGACCATGTCATGTCTCTGAACTTTCCAACAATCCAATGGCACATGTTCCATGGGGTAATATGCGAGAGTGTAACGCCACCAGGCCCCCCAAAATACGTGTTTTTTTTTTAATACGTGTTATTATGTATATTTTTCTTCAATGAAGTGTGCAATTGATTCTGAACTTCATATGTTGCTAGATATAACTGGTGTTAACAACACCATGATCCCTAGAGATTCCCGGAGATGAGATCCCCAAACATCCCAGATTATATAGACACACACACATACATATAATTACACATATACATATATTTGATACAAATATAGCAACCCTCAAAAAATAGCAATACGTCACCCCGGTTTGATGCTGCAGGGCGTCTCGGACTGCATCTGCTGCAGAAAGGCTAAAGCCAGGCGCCATTCGCAGCAGGTCATGATGGAACTGTAGCTGAACCTCGGTGATATGGGATTCAACCAACAGGATTTCCCACTAAAAAATCGCTATAATGGGTTTATAATGGGAATGGAGCATCATCCAGAATATTCAAGAATATTTTGGGTGTGTCTAGAAATTGGGATTTAACATGATTTAAACACCGGACATTTTCGGATATTATGAGAACATGTGGAACTGGGGATACAATGGGGGTAGGAAACTGATGATTGACCGGTGGAATCCTTGGTCGATGAGTTGCTTCGTTGTGGCTTTAACGGTTGAAACCAGGAATTTTCCCAAAGTTTGCTGGGGTTTCCGTAAACCTCCGACTATCAAGCTGTTGGCAAATGACCATCTTGGGATACATTCATAAGTCCATGAAGGTTTGTTATATATATATATATCTTGCTATTTTCCAAAAATAGAGGCCACGGGTAGACACTGGGAAAAAACAATTAAGGTTCAACTCTGCACTGAAAAAACTTAAGACATTTGAACAAAACTTAAGAATCTGCACTTTGAGCATTTGTGGGCAGCTGAAACCTCTTATTTGGACAATGTTTGCAAGGTTTTGAAACTTAAGCATGCAATTTGCATGGTATTTATATAAAGCGTTTTGGCCTGAATCCCTTGTTGGCACCGTGCTCGTAGCATCTTGGAGCCAGCATCTGTACTATGCAGGGGATTATCTGCAGTATTTTGTGGTATTTGCAATTGTCTAGAGTTGGTTTTAAGATCTATTTCAGGTTGGTTTAGGTATATTTGGGGATTATTTCTGGTTGATTTAGGTTTCTGTATCGTTAGTTTGGGCACGTACCTTATCATATACAGTAATTGTTTTACGGTTTAAATTTGGTTGCTTTAGGTTTTCTTTAGGATTTCTCTTAATGTCTACTTCGGCTTGTGTTCTACTATATTAAATAGTGTTGACTTGGGGTTGTCTTGGTGTTTGTTTGGTGGAACTTTCAAATTTGCTGTAGCGTGAATTTAGTTTTGGATTGGTGTTTCTTTCGCTTTGTTTTAGGGTCTATTGAACGTTGGTTTTGACTTTGTTTAGGGGTCTCTTTAAAGTCTATTCGGGTTTTTGTTATATAGCGCATGGATGTGCATGGGTTTATTTAGTGTCGCTTAGGGATTATTTGGATTGCATTATTTAAGCTTTAATTTGGGCTTGTTTATGGTTGCTTTGGTGTTTCTTTAGGTTTACGTTTGTGCTACATAGTGCCGATTTATGGCATGGTTGTTTTGGGTCTTGTTTGATTTTGCTTAAGGTTTATTTTGTTTTGGATTAGGTTTTTAGGTGTCATTTTAGGGCTTAGTTGGAGTTGTTTGGACGTTTTTTTGCTGCTTCTTTCAGTTCGTTTTAGGGATGTTTATGTACGACGGTTGGTTTAGTTTTTTTTTCAGGTTGGTTTGTGGCCTATTCAAGGTTGCTTTCGGGCTTATAGAGGATGGGGAGGGTAAATGACCAGGGGATCAAGAGGACCCAGGGACCCAGGGACCAAGAGGACCAAGGGACGAAAGGACCAGGGAGCCGAAGGACCAGGGGAACCTTAAATTTTCTTTTTGTCATAATTCGTTTTCCATGATACTAGATTTTTTTTCTAGTATCATCCCGCCAATAATGGGATGCCAGTTGGTATAGCTTTGCAGCCAGTTGACTGACGATGCTGAGCGTGAATTGATACATGACCGACTTCTACCACCCATTCAATGAGAAGGACCACGACCACCTGAGACCAGAAGGCGGCAACGGCCAGACATTGATGGGGAGCTCATGGAGCTCTATGACAAATTGATTGACATGATAGCAGATGCACATGCAATCCATGACCTCTATGTCTCCATGGCGGACATCACGTCAGATCGGGCTATCTCATGGACACGTTTGCGAAGCACATTGATCTTCCTCGAGGACACGCTGACCCCGGAGGACAACGCGATCCTGCACATTGACGTGGAGACGATCAAACAGCTTCTGCGCAGACTGGCCGATCCTGAGCAATGGCCCTTTCTGCAACAAGATTTTGTGGACCACAGTAGAGACGCAGATTTGGCAACACTGGAGGATCATTGCGATCAAGTGAGGCGACATCTTGCGCAAGGAGCTCTCACTGTTGTTCCAAGGCCATTGGGAAGACACAGAGTGATTTTGCATTTGTATTCTGGCAGACGCAGAAGAGGGGACGTGCAGCATTATCTGGACCAGCTCTCTAGCAACCAGACCCAATTTCATTTGCACATTGTCTCCCTTGACATCGTGATTGACAAGATCTACGGTGACGCCATGCGATCAGACACTTGCGATTTTTGGTTAAAAACTCCATCAGGAGTGGCTACATCATTGCAATGCTTGCCGGGCCTCCGTGCGAATCCGGTCGAGAACCAGGGGAGTCCCATTGCATGGCATGTCAGGGTTCACTGGTTTGGTGCAGCGATGCGGACCGCGCATCATACGAGATATTCAGCACTTATGGGGGCTGGATTGCGTCACCATCCGTGAGCTTGAGCAACTTCAAGTTGGAAATGCACTGCTTGGATTTACGCTTTTGGCGCTCCTGGAAATGGCGCTTGCTGACGGACAAGGCATGGTAGAACACCCAGCCGAGCCAGAAGATCTTCCCCACGCGGCTTCGATCTGGAGGCTCCCGCTCATCAAGGTCATCATGCAACTTCCGACCATTGAATTGCTTCGATTTTCCAGGGACTGATGGGCGCGAAATCGCACAAGCCCACCCATCTTCTCCTTTTGAGCCTTCCACAGCTTTTGTCGTGTCTCCACGCCAATCGGGTAAGATGTGATATCCCCACTCCTGCTACGATTGGCAAGGACCAATCTGGCAACTGGAACACGGCTGTGTTGAAGGAGTATCCGCCAGCGATGTGCAAAGCAGTAGCTCATGCTCTTTTTCAGGCCATTTGTGACCGACCGGTCATTGATGGAGCACCTGAACCACCAGCAGATTTCTTAGACACATGCAAACGCATGCACGTCACTGCATATGGTGAGAGCATTGGAGCAGACTATGTACAAAGATAGCTGGTCGGAATTTGTTTTTCGAATTCAACGAACCTGAGACAGGCCGCAGCGCGAAGCTTCATTGTGCCTCTTGGAAAAATATACATATCACGTGATAAACAGCCGGCTTTAGTATATCTGGTGTATGAATTTGGTCTGGATCCAAGACGAAGCTAGAATCAACCAGCAATTTTGTTGGGACAATCCCTCTTGCCTATATATATACACCATCATTTGCGGTGAGCTGGCCATAATTTGCCTGGAAACATAGCAACATGGCAAGTTAAGCTCTTGGTTCCTGTCACATGGATGTACATCCGATGCATGATACATTCCATACAAACCACTCAAATCACTCATGGAGCGTGTGGGTTAGATGAAATGCCCAGCCACACGTCTGGGACAATAGATCTGCTCTTCATCCTCAGGTGTTTTTTTTGCGAGAAATTCACTGGGTCGCCTCATTGCGTTTCTTTTCTGCACAGGAGAAAACAGGTGAAATCAAAATCGATAAGGATATGCCAGCAACTGCGCTTGTGTCACAAACTTGATCATGCTAAGCGTATGCTGCACTTCCTCCTGCAGTTTAAATTGAACACACATCTCGGCAAATGATAAGCCCCCAACACCTCGATTAAACCCATGTTAACTTCCATGTATAGACCATACTTATATAATTTCTTGGCTTTGGTTGGCCAGTACTTTCACTACAGCAGTTGCCATGGCAGAACCAGATTGAAGTTCGCCCCAGTCCACTGTTGATAGGAATGATTCGGAATGATTGATAAATGATCTGAAGAAGTGGTTCCATCCTTACCCACACCCGGCCAAGAATCTGCTCAAAGAGATGTAGTGCAACTTGCCACTCTCCAGCTTTAGCACACGCGTTCCTCAAACTCTGTCCGGGTGACACAAATGACCGTCAGACTAGGATTTATCCATCCTATCCTATCTTTGGGAAATTTGATTAACACCGTGACGTAGGCGTGTTGCAATGTTGGGCATACCAAACTCCAAATTTGGATGGGGTAGAATCTGCTCGGGCAAAAGCTCAATTAGCTAAAAACTATAGCATCAAAGATCAAGCTCATCGAAATACTTTTCATCCCCAACCTCCACATACCTCCACGCGATCCAAATCCGTACCGCGTTTCATTGATGCGTTGAAGCTCACCGTGTCCGGCGACATCCGCAGGATCCGCGGATCAGGCGGATCCTGCAGAAGGTGCAACGCCAGGGGCCAAGAGGTCGAGGTCAAAATGGTGTTGTAAAACACCTGGCTGTGGCTCAAGACACGAGATGTTCATGGGGTTGAACGGCTAATAGTGGCTAATAATGATATATGATTCATGTGTGTTTACTATTTATGGTTCTTCATGGTTGTGAATGGAATTTGACCTGCAATACTGAGAATTTGCCGAAAATCCCAAAATTGGATTTACCCTCCCAAAATCCCAATTTGACCCTAAGAATAACCCATTGTTAGAAGAAAGTAGACCCCCTATTCGGCGGGATCTATGTGTTGGTTGGGGGACTTTATGCATAGTTGCACTGGGACATCGACTGCTGCGCATTCCATCCCATGTCAAACGGAGCCAGTGCTTAGTTTAAGTGGAATACATGCATATGCATGCATGCATACATACATACATATATATATATATTATCTACATATGTATGTATATATATATATAAATAATTATATATATATATTATATATATATGTTTGTGTGTGTGTCTGCGTATCATCTTAATTATACCTGATGTGTTGGTAAATCCTTGAAGTTGTAATATCAAATAAAGCCCATTGTGATTTAAATATATTTAATATTTAATAAACCGAATCACGGAACATCATCAACCCACCCCATCTTTGCTCATCTCCAATTTCAGCTTGGGAATTTCAAGTTGCCACTGAATTTCGGTAGCAGTTCTCAAAAATGTTCTGAAACAATATGCTCATATCACATATACTTTTAGATACTCTTGTTATAATTTTCCAGACTAGAGTGACTAAAGTTTCAAGACCTAATGGGTTTCGGAGGTGTCCCCTAAGGTTTCAGACCCCCAAACGGTGATGCATCCAGAACATCAGAATAGATAGGATTTATCTGGCTGACTAATAAATGATTTACTAACTTAAAATAGCTGCTATAATACGGCCATTTGGGGATGATTCCCCTGTACATTCACCATCATTCCAATGAGAGTGAGGTCATCCAAATGTATACAAATTATGCGTCATTATATCCCAATAATTCCAAAACATATTTCATTGAAACCAATGATGTTCCACAATGATCTACACGTAGTCCCATGCCGGGCAACACCCAGGCACCAAATCTGGCAGCAGCTCGTGACGCAGGAGCGTCTCAGTCAAGGCCGAGCTCATCCACCACTGAGATCCGCAGCCGTGGACCTTGAGGCGGACATCCCATCCCAGCCCTCCGCACAGGGATGGAACATCAACGAAGGCATTGCTTGGAACTTGGAACACCTTGGAACACGTTGGAACGCCTTGGAAGCCTTGGAACCTCAAAATCTTCAAACAGCTGAACTTTGCCGGGGCGATAGGACGCCTCAACAACGGAGGTACCAGGGATTACCAGGGGCTCCACTTACCGAATCATCGCCGGGTCACGCTGATGGTGGAACTCACAGTCACCGTGTCCTGAAAGATCGAAGCGTTGTGCCGAGATGGATCCAACGGAGCTGAGCTAGACCATCAGGCAGCCCAGGCAGCCCCAATCCAAAAGGATATCTTTGAACGCAACCAGAGCTTAGATGGGCCCCAGATCTAAGAACTAATATGAACTAAGAATTAACTAAAACTAGATGCATTATATCACCCTCCCCAGGGGTTTTGTACACCACCCCCCCCTTCATACATTTTTTGCAATGTATGAACATAGGGGGGGACACCGTCGATTTTTTAACATCAATTCACATATTGCATGTGAAAAGTATGAAGCCCATGGGGGAACCCTGTTCCCCCATGGGCTTCATACATTAACTCAATAATGTATGAAACCTAGGGGGGAGATGCCCCAGCCATCTGCTATTCATTTTTCTATAATGTATGAAAGTAGGGGGGGAGGGTGTTGTTTTGGTGGCATGGACTGATACCTTAAAATGTATGAAACCTAGGGGGGACACCGTTGATTTTCTTCAAGCAGAAATCATGGGAACGACTTTTCAAATAACATGCAACGTCATACAACTTCCATCAACTTCCACCAGAGTACATTGGATGTATGAATGATTGGTTTGACAGGCTCACCCATCATTGGAATACATTCTATACGTGTTTGGCTGAGGTACGCGCAAAACCCAATATGCTCTATTTATGTCCTGGCATACCCGAAATGCCACTTATCTGTAATCAGAAAAAGGGTCAAAACTGTATGAATAAGGAGGGTGACAGGCTCACCCCTCCTTAGAATACATTTCTGGGCTCGATATGGTTAGACTTTAGGCATGGTTGGATATGGTTGGATATGGTTTGATATGGTTGGACACACACAAAATCGAATCAAAGCCTTTTGTATGTCCTTGTATACAAACAAATACTACCTTACATATTTTTTTGGATCAAAGGAAAAAGAAAGTTCGAAAATGTATGAATGGGGGGGGGGACAGGCTCACCCCTCCTTGGAATAAATTTCTGGGTTAATTATGATTGGATGTGGTAGTGGTTAGATTTGGTTGGGTACACACAAAATTCTGTTCATTTGCCCTTGCATTGTTACACCAGCTTCAACAGAGAAAGTTGATTCTAGCAAAAAATGAAACACATAAAAAACAAAAACACAATCAAAACACAGAATCGCCAAAAACAACCCGACAAGATTCACCAGAAAAAAACACAACAAAATCAAAAAAACAAAAGCCACAAAAACAATCTTGACAAGTTTTGATTATTTTGTGTTTTCCTAGTTTGTTTTTTTCTGTGTGCTCTGGTTGTGTATTGTTTAAACCGCTATATTCTTTATGCTGTTCGGCTCAAAAGCCTGGTATACAAAAAGGATCAAAACAAACTTCCTTACAGTAATTTTTGGCTCGAGAGAAAAAGAAGAGTCAAAAATGTATGAAAGGAAGGGGGGACAGGCCCACCCCTCCTTAGAATACATTTTCTGAATTTCTGGGTTCGATATGATTAGACTTTAGACATGGTTGGACCTATGGTTGGATATGGTTGGATACACACACCATCATACACCATCCAATCAAATCCTTTTGTATGTCCTTGTATACAAACAAATACTATCTTACATATTTTTTGGATCAAAGGAAAAAGATCGAAAATGTATGAATGGGGGGGGGGACAGGCTCACCCCTCCTTGGAATACATTTCTGGGTTAATTATGATTGGATGTGGTCCTGCTTAGATTTGGTTGGATACACACAAAATTCTGTTCATTTGCCCTTGTAGTCTGACACCGGCTTCAACAGAGAAAGTTGATTCTAGCAAAAAATGAAACACATAAAAAACAAAAACACAATCAAAACACAGAATCGCCAAAAACAACCCGACAAGATTCACCAGAAAAAAACACAACAAAATCAAAAAACAAAAGCCACAAAAACAATCTTGACAAGTTTTGATTATTTTGTGTTTTCCTAGTTTGTTTTTTTCTGTGTGCTCTGGTTGTGTATTGTTTAAACCGCTATATTCTTTATGCTGTTCGGCTCAAAAGCCTGGTATACAAAAAGGATCAAAACAAACTCCTTACAGTAATTTTTGGCTCGAGAGAAAAAGAAGAGTCAAAAATGTATGAAAGGAAGGGGGGACAGGCCTACCCCTCCTTAGAATACATTTTCTGAATTTCTGGGTTCGATATGATTAGACTTTAGACATGGTTGGACCTATGGTTGGATATGGTTGGATACACACACAACATCCAATCAAATCCTTTTGTATGTCCTTGTATACAAACAAATACTATCTTACATATTTTTTGGATCAAAGGAAAAAGATCGAAAATGTATGAATGGGGGGGGGGACAGGCTCACCCCTCCTTGGAATACATTTCTGGGTTAATCATGATTGGATGTGGTCCTGGTTAGATTTGGTTGGATACACACAAAATTCTGTTCATTTGCCCTTGTAGTCTGACACCGGCTTCAACAGAGAAAGTTGATTCTAGCAAAAAATGAAACACATAAAAAACAAAAACACAATCAAAACACAGAATCGCCAAAAACAACCCGACAAGATTCACCAGAAAAAACACAACAAAAACAAAAAACAAAAGCCACAAAAACAATCTTGACTAGTTTTGATTATTTAGTGTTTTCCTAGTTTGTTTTTTTTCTGTGTGCTCTGGTTGTGTATTTTTTAAACCGCTATATTCTTTATGCTGTTCGGCTCAAAAGCCTGGTATACAAAAAGGATCAAAACAAACTCCTTACAGTAATTTTTGGCTCGAGAGAAAAAGAAGAGTCAAAAATGTATGAAAGGAAGGGGGGACAGGCCCACCCCTCTTTGGAATACATTTTCTGAATTTCTGGGTTCGATATGATTAGACTTTAGACATGGTTGGACCTATGGTTGGATATGGTTGGATACACACACCATCCAATCAAATCCTTTTGTATGTCCTTGTATACAAACAAATACTACCTTACATATTTTTTTGGATCAAAGGAAAAAGAAAGTTCGAACATGTATGAATGGGGGGGGGGACAGGCTCACCCCTCCTTGGAATACATTTCTGGGTTAATCATGATTGGATGTGGTTCTGGTTGGATTTGGTTGGATACACACACAATTTTGTTCATTTGCCCTTGTAGTCTGACACCGGCTTCAACAGAGAAAGTTGATTCTAGCAAAACATGAAAAACATTTAAAAAACGCAATCAAAACACAGAATCGCCAAAAACAACCCGACAAGATTCACCAGAAAAACAACAAAACAAAAAAAAACACAAAAACGGCAAAAAAATCAATCAAAACCTGGAGTTTGACAAGTGTTGATTATTTTGTGTTTTCCTAGTTTGTTTTTTCTGTGTGCTCTGGTTTTGTATGTCTTAAACCCTGTATTCTTTATGCTGTTCGGCTCTTTCGGCTCAACAAGCGAGGGGTGTGGCCAAAAAAGGCTTTCGGAAGAACGGCGACCGGCAAATTAAACATGTTCTTTTTTTCAGTTCAGCAACTTGGGTGTCTAGAAAACATGAAGAGTATAAAACTAAGGGGGCAGTGAATTCCAGCTGACCTATGAATATCCAAAATAGACACACGCACGTAAAATGTATAAACCGGGGGGCTCATGGAACACTGAGGAATCCTGGGGTTGCCCACGGAATGGTTGGCCAACACGTACGTAAAAAGTATAAAGGCTCAGGGGTTTAAAACCCCTAGGAACCCCAGGAATTCCAAAACCTCTGCAAAATGTATCAAACTGGGGGGGGGTGGTTCGAACTGCCTTTGTCCACCCCATCCATCTTCCCCCCCCCCCCCCGCGAACGCTACGTGGTATATAATTTTTTTCCCTGGGGAACCCTAGGAAGAAACACGTAAAAAGTACATTTTTGGCAGCGTACACCCCCCCTCTCTTGTACTTTTTTAGGGGGTGGGTGATTGCATTATTATATCAAACTACAGTCACCGACAGAATTATGGAAAAAAAAACGTTTCAATTTACAGGCGCCGCCTGTCTATGATAGAAAAGTTACGAACCTTTTTTTTTCCATAATTAATGTTTCCATAATTATTTTTTTCCATAATTCTGTTGGTGACTGTATGTCCATCGATTCGCAATTTGAATGCATTTTAAGGGGGAATATTGAATTATAGAAAATTTGTGTCTAAAGATCTGGTATATGCCCCTAAGTCTTCCATTGATATACATAATATCATGTGATGTTCGCAATTTGAATGCATTTTAAGGGTGAATATTGAATTATAGAAAATATGTGTCTAAAGATCTGGTATATGCCCCTAAAGCCTGCCATTGATATACATAATATCATGTGATGTTCGCAATTTGAATGCATTTTAAGGGGGAATATTGAATTATAGAAAATATGTGTCTAAAGATCTGGTATATGCCCCTAAAGCCAGAATTATGGAAAAAATAATTATGGAAAAGGAAAAATCAATTATGGAAATAATGGCCACCTCCAAGAATTATGGAAAAAAAAAGTTCGGATCACTTCCGGGATATTTTGAACCCTTATGGGGAAAAATGCAATTATGGAAAAATCGGACGCAGGCGCCGCCTGTCTAAGTTGAACGTTTTTTTTTCCATAATTTAATTAAACCAGTCTTTTTGCGTGCTAGGTTCGGGGGAAGTGATTAGTAGCACCCATCTTTGCAACTGGGGAATCGCGATCGACAAGTCACGGGGAGGATTTTGTGGGTCCACATAGATGTCCACAGCTGCAGTGACTGTGGCCACTGCTCCTTAGTTGCAGGCTGTAAATTTCCACCAAATTTGGCTGCGCTATGATTTGGACTTGCCATGACTGACCCGGTCAGTATGGTTACTGTAATTAGTGAAGTTGATTGCAATAAATTAGATGCTATCCCTTCAATGAACCCAGACCCTTAGAATTTAGAATTATCAAATGGAAAGTAGTCTTCCAACTCCTTATTTGGGAGGGCTTATGTTGGTTGGAGGGTGGTAAAAAAAAGAACACGCAATCTAGAATGCGTGGCGTGGTGGTTGATCTGAATACATCTCGTGGCCAAAAACATAGCCCACGGGAATATCATCTCACGTGCTGTATGCCTGCTGGCAAAATACAAAAACATTTAACATCAGATTTGTTCCCCCAAACGTCTTTTCCGCGCGTCCACCCGATTTAAAACAAATCTACATGTATCCGACCGAAGAACATGAAAAACAATCAGGATCGTCATCACATGTTGAAGGATGAGCAATGATGAGAACTATCCAACTTTGAAACCACTATCCACAACATCTTGCTATATGTTGATAGCTCGCAATGTTTTACAAGAATGCTGGTGTTTCTACACAATTATCGTAACAACAACATCAAGATGGTGGTGTTTCTTCTACACAGATCTTTATAACTACACAACTATTCTGTTTCGTTTCTACAATGTTTTACATGCCGTTCGTAGTTTCGATTAACCCGCTTCCTCATGTAGTTCACCTGAAGACAAGCATCTGCACGGTGGCAGCAGGTAACGGCTGCGTTGTGGCAAATCGCGCCTCAGCAACCATGGTAAACTGGAACGATATTGGTGCTTGCAATGGCAGAAACTGGATATCAATTGCATTCTATATATATATAATTATTTAATTCTATGTATATATATATATAAATAAGTCATTCATGGTCATTCTGTTCAAGCCCAAGAACTCAGGTCCTAGTTCTTCTCATATAAATCTGCGCCCAGCAACTTGGTCTAAAACTTGCTCCAACGATCTCCTGCCGGCGTGGTGTCCACCAGAGCTGGGAGATAATTAATGGATAACAACGAGGACCGCAAGGACAATTTTTATGAAGCTTGTATATATATATATATTCTTTATATGTATATCACACACACACACATATATATATATATACATATGCGTGCGTGTACATGTTTTTATATTTATTCATAATGTACGTGTATATATATATAGGTGCATAAATAGATAGCTAGCTAGCTCGATAGATTGATAAACACATGTGACACAAATAAAACAAGTATAAATCAACAAATAGATACACATAATTAATAGAATTAATGTTGATACTGCTTGTGTCGTTTCAAAACTTACGACAGCACAGACCCCAGCAAGAGGGATTGGTGGGCAGCATCCAAGCGGCACCCTCCAGCAAGGGGCAACAGCAACCAAGCTCCAAAATGCAAACAGGCAACTCTCTTATACTTGAAGTAAGAACTCCAACAGCTTAGTTATCTGGAGAACAATGTTCAAGCATGTTCTAGCTGATTCTAGCTGGGTGTCGGCTACTCTCACTCTTCGGTGTAGCTCCCCTAAGAAGTCGACACGGTTTTATGACAACGTCGTTGGTATAGTGGTGAACATGTGCAAGTCCCAATCCATAGGTTTGAGTCAATTATAGCCGAGCCCAAGTGTCTCAACTCTCTCTCTCTCTCTGTGTCTCCATCGTTGTCAGGTCACCCTGCCTTAGCTGTGCTAGGAAGCCAGAAACGAATACAGCAACCAACTGCATAGTTGAAATCACAATTGACTGCTGCTGGCATCTGTTCGATCATGGAAGGAAGCATATACTGCATTGAAGGTGGCGGTTTCGCCACTGGCAGAATACAAATGAAAGAAGGGACACCTGCTCTGTATTGCAGATGAGAGATCATGCAATTTGGGGAGCATTGGAAAATGTCTATCAATTGTATGAATCAACTATATGTATTAATTGTATAACCGCTACAACATCAAGCCCCACGGTTGTAGGTTGGTTTATAACACCCTTGAACAAGAGATACAATATATCCGGCAAAAAATGGAGTTGGCATAGGTTTCTCAACCAACAACCTATCGTTTGAGGTGGTTCGCGAAGTATGGATGCCCCTTTATACCTCACTGCAGTTCGCACCTCCAAGAAGTGCAAAGCTCTTTGCCAGCGCGAGCCCGGAGCACCTGGTGCTGTTTTGTTTTCCCAATGGGTACAACCCCAAAACCATCTAAAATCAATTCTGGACAACTATAGAAACTCCACATTCAAACGCCCTGAACTCAGTTGAATGTCAGCATCAGTTCTGTGTTTCGCCTGTTTTGCCCAGCTACATGCGCTGATGCCTGCCACGTAGTTCATAATGTCCAAAGTCACGCCAGAGGCGTGGATGTCGCCCAAGAACTGAAGCCCCATGTGCCACTGCGAGTTTCGCTCCTGGGAAAGCATGGAGAGCCAAGAGGGGGGGATACAACCAAAATCAATCAACCCAATTGGTGTTATAAGAGGTATAATATGGTATAATGGTTGGTTGAGGTATATAAGAGGTATAATAATGGTTGGTTAATATAATATGGTATAATGTTTTAAAAGGATTTAAAAGGTGTTTATACATGCTAGTACATGTTAGTGGTAAACTACCACTCATTAAAATGCTTTAACCCAATGAATCCGAAAAAACGAACCCACGCAGCTACACCTGACAAATAAAAAACTGGCAATAAACATGGCAATGGAAAATCCTATTTATACATGATTTCCCAGTTTTCAACATGAGTGGGATTTCCCCAGTTTTCCGGTGGATACCACTTGAACGTTGCAGTCTTTTGGTGCTTGGATCCTGAAACGCCGTGAGGGCTGAGGTCACCAGGATGGCATTGGGCTGCACGGAGGCCTCCCCAAGTCATCATGTGGGTTATACACTGTATACACCATTCATGTACATTATTCTTTGGAACATATTTTTTTTGCACATGCATATTTACATACATACCATACCATACCATATCATACCATAACACAACATGAATTCATACATACTTACACACACACACACATATATATATAATTTGTACATCGGATTTGTTTTGGCTTGATGAACTTTTCGTTGATTTTGATATATATATATGTATATATATATATCCTTGAAGGTTTTGGGGCTCAGGAAGGGTTGTAGTGCCCCCTGACGTGCTCATATCCTTAGCGGGTACGTCTGCCATACCCGCGGGTCACTTTTGCCTTTCTTGTGACCTTTGCATTGGTGGCTGAACTGACACTTCGTGCTCTGGCCATCCTTTGCAGTGCTCTGCCGGTATTATCTGGCATCACCTTGGCAGTGCTGAGCTCCCAGGCTCGTTAAACCTCCTGGGTATCCTTTTTGGCTGACTTCGTGGCCGTCCCGGTTTATGTTTTGGGCATTTCGGTTCTTCTTACTCCACATTTTGATTCTGGACAAGGAGATTGTCACTTGCTTTTTTGCGTTTTTGGGCTCCTACGTGGACACCAAGGTCTCGGCTGCTGAGATCCTCACCCACTTCCCTGTGGAGGACTACGGCGACCAATTCCCAGCGCAGAAATCAACGTCGACTCCGAGCCAGAGCGAGGCTCAATTGGCATTTGTTTTCCAAAGGCATCATCAGCCTGCATCACAACCAATTGAAGCGACTCCTGGCCACGCTCAATTCGCATCACTCAAGAGATTTGCAGTTGATTCGACGTATAGAAGCCACAATGGCGACCTCTCACAATGCACCTTGGAGATGCTCGGGATGCAGACAGCTTCGGAAGCATACAGCCATGCATTGCGTGACTTGCAATCTTCCCTGGCATATGGTTATCGATCGGACATATGTGCATGGAGCCAAAAGTCAGCAGACAGATTCAAATGCCTATTCTTCTTGGCAGGGCACCCAACAATGGCCCACACAATGGGAACAGCATGGGGGACGTCCGAAGACGCCGAGGCAGAAATCCAGGCCGCGCACTCCGAAGGGACAGCGCACTCCTCGTGGTGGACATGGTGGACAAGGAGGACATCCGCATCAGCAGCAACAGATGATGCCGGGAGCCCCCATGCCAGGTGCGGCCATGGCACCTCTGGCACCTATGAATCCCATGATGGGATGGGGCATGCAACCTATGAGCATGCTGCCTGCACCATATCCAGCTGGACAATTTGCTCCGCCCTTGCCACCGCCAGAGACTCCGTGGCAGCCACCGGCCCAGGGTCCGCATTCAGCCTTGCCAGTGAACCCTCCCCTGACACCTGCCATGGGAGCAGGGCTCACCATGCCGGCAATGCCCAAGATGCCTTCGGTGCCACCGCCCCCGGAACATGTGGACTCCGAATTGATGGCGATGCTCCGGCAAGACGTGGCAGAATTGCCGCCACATATCCAGAAGGCGGTCAAGAACTCTGCGATGAAAGACGGAGTCAAAGACGGGGCCAAAGCCACCAGAAATTTGCATGCTGCTGCTACACATTTAGGGCACATGCGCAAGGCCTACGAGAATGCCATCTTTGCAAGATCACAGCTTCACAGCAACTGGAAGAAGTTTCTGTCAGATGCGGTAAAGCTATGGCAAGACTACGCCGTTCAATTTGCGGCCCAGGAGAAGAAGCTGTCAGAGCAAGTTTCCTTGACCAAAGCAGCATTCCTGGAAGCGAAAGAGGCATCAGCAAAAGCACATGCCACCGCAGGAGAAGTTCACGAAATCTCGGACGAAGAGCTGGGAGAAGTGACCTCCACGACTGCGGGCACGGCTGCCAAGATCACAGAGTCCATGGAAGATCTCTCCAAGTCTCTGGAGAGTCTACACCAACAGGCCGAGGCCATTGTCTCGGAAGAAGAGGTCCATCTCGCCAAGCGACCAAGGCGGAAGCATCCCACAGAAGAGGATACAGCCATGGAAGCCACCGACAAAGAAGAGCTGGGCAATTCTTCCAAGCCTTTTGGTTAGGCTGGTTGCGAGTGACAACATTGTACTCCAACCGGGAGCCATATGAGGTTTGTGATCATCTATCACCTGCCTTTTTGGTGGAGAAATGGTCCCATCCTATCACTTCAGATCCAGCATTTTTGACAGAATGGGGAGCTCTGGAAAATGCGAGAGTTTTGTCGTTCGATCTTGGCACGTACACTGGGATCCGTGTTGAACCTGGGGCACAAGTTTGTAGGCCTCACAGACTTCCTGCAGACCGTCAAGAAGGGGTACGTTTTCTTGATGATGTTGAAGTTTTTGTAGGTCTGGACGATGATATCAACATGCTATGTGCCACAGTTCCCAGCCGCGCTCTTTCAGGTGTCCGTTTTGAAGGTGACCCCTTGGACATCATTGATGAATTGCATTTCTATGCCAGCAGGACTGTAGCAGTTCCGCCGACCCTTTTTGAAGCCACACCAGCCATCAGGACGCACAGACTCACTGATAGCTGGCACCAACCGATTCCAAATGAGATGATGCCGGACCAAGCTGAACAAGAAGCTGATCCAGATGTCATCCCAGAACCAACTCAAGCTCCTCCCATTGTCCATGAACTTTTTCGAGTCGCTGAGCAACAAGCTGCCTTTTCAGATCTTGACAGCGATGGAGTCATGTACATCAGGACTTGGTATGTGCACCATGTGAATCTACAACGTTCCTCAACCTCCAAGATCTTGGAATTTCATGAAGACTGGAGGCGCTGGGTGCCTGACTTGCTCAGCTCATGGAGGGAGCATTATCAACCTCTTGAAGCGGTAGACTTCACAGTCGTCACACCAGACCCGTACAGGGGTTACCTCACGCAGATTGTCCACGCAGACCTCATTGTTTCGCAAGGAAATTGGGCCAGGAGACAACCTGGTCTTGTCACGACGCATTACCAAGGGAGATTTGCACCACCGCACACTTTTGCTATGGCGGCATCCTTCGAGAACTCCATCAGTGGTGTCCACATTGCCACAGCAGGAGATGCACTGGATTGGTGTCTTTCTCCACAACACAGATGCAGCATCACATTTGGTTGGACTCACATTCCATTCAATCATGATTTGCTTCATCGAATGCAGGCGGGCCATGGTTTCGCTTTGGTAGTTCACAATGCATTGACCTCGGCAAGTTCATCCACTGACATGGAACAGCATGGGGCAATTTATGCAGCTGCCTCTGACCAGCATGTTGCCCCGGGAGGGCAGAGCCCGGAGGCCTCCCCTGAAGAGCCCAATGATCCTGGCGAAAATGAACGAGACTTTGATCCACCACAAGATCCACCTTCTGATGGACCTGACCGAGAGGATAGTGATGTCAGCATACACAGTGCAGACCTTGGAGTACTTGTCTACAGGCTCAATGCTCCGGATGCTCACTGTTTTGCTACATGGACAACATATGCCTCTATTTTGGCTGACATTGTTCACAGCCTCCGATTACCTCGAGATCAAGTTCGCTGTTTTCATCGGATTGCCGCCACCCCAGTTGGATTGCGGCTACCGTCTGAAGAGGCCGTCATCCTGCAATGTACTGATGATGTCGCACCAGGCTCTGATGAGCAATTGATCCTTGTTGACCTGGTCGTCCACTACCATCCCCTGGCCTCAGGTCTGGTTGTACCACCTGCAGCCCGGAGACAAGTCCTGAAGGTCAACGCTCATCTTCACAGGGATCAGGTTCTTCATCTATTACGTCTGCATCCTTACTGCAGGAGCCAAGGTGACAGATGCCTCATTCACAAAAACCATGTCTTATGGGCAGCTGCTGATCGTACAGTTCATCGCATTCTGCATGGGGACTATGTCAGAGTACAAGTACCACCACCGCAGAGTTCTACACTTGACACCGACCAAGCTATTGCGCTCAGTTTGGAACAAACAATCCTTGAAGAGTTGCCCTGCTCGGAGGCTGCTGGGCCTTCACATCTTGCACTGATGCAACAAGCTGCAATTTTGTTTCAAACGTATCAAGTTCCAGACTTTGCCCAGTGCAAAACCGACCCAACTGAACCCGATGCAGTACATTTCCCGCCCGAGCGTTTGGAGCGAGCTGGAGCAACTCCTTGGAGGCAATTTAACTATGCCAACTTTGTTCCTGGACATCTTCAACAGCTTGCACGACTTGTTGACAGTGCCGACCTCACTGAAGTGGAAGAGGAGGGCAAGATCGCCTATATTACGACATGGTACCTGCATCATCTGACTCGCAAGGTCTGTCGTGAATCACGCCCTGTGAGGCTTGTGGATCGACCGGACACATGGCGGGATTTGATAGCTGAAGTTTGGCAAGACGTCATTCAACCTCTTGAACTCGTCCGCCTTCGACTTGTCTCTCCACAACCTCCCTGTGGCATTTTTGAATGCAACCAAGCTCATGTTCTTGTTGAACAAGGCCAACGTGATGACCACATTTCATTTTTGATCACTAGCGTTGACCTTGCCTCTTCGGATCAGCGCAGACCAACAGTCACGCATTCCGCTCATTCTGACGAACCCCTTCAGACTGCACTGAGCATCATCCACAAAGCGAATCCACAGCACACCGGCCCTCTCGGCAGATGTCAAGTTTTCTGGCGTGACAGACAGTTTGCTTGGCTGGAGCCTGACATCCTGGACGAGGGCACCAACGTGATTGTCAAAATCACATCGGATGCACCCCCTGAAGAGAGTGATGGGCATGCACTCATGCAGAGGACCTCAATGACATCTCAGCGTTCATCTGCAGCTTCCTCTTCTTCGGGTGCTACTACCAGGGCCTTCTGCTTCAATCCTAGGGCTGCTGAATTTCATCCGCAGGGAGCCAACATCCACCTCTATGATGAGTTCATGCAGGACCTGTACGATGTCTGGGCCCATGCTTCCTTTTCGTGGGAAAATGAAGAGTCTACGATGAACGTTGCGGTTTGGTTTGTAGACCACAATTGGCATCAGCCTCATGGCTTCCATTGTCGTACAGTACGACTCTGGGCCGATCACACCACCTGGGTGAAGACCATTGAGTCGGCGTGGACCGACCACAGAGTACCTGGAGCGTCACTTGAGCATCATGTTGTAGCTCCGAACCCCCAGAGTGATGATCGACAAATTGGAGCGCACATCATCTCGATTCAGAACCCAAATGAGGCATGGGTCACATCTTTGATGACAGTGTATGAGGAGTTCGACTTGCACACACCTTGGAAGCAGGTGGCGGTGACAACTCATGAACATATTTTGCTCGAAAACATTTTCAGGGCCATTGACATTTTTCATGTTTGTTTGGGGAGGACACCCACATTCATTTGTACGGCTTGGTACCAGCAAGTGCTCCTTCGACCTGGGGTTCCTCTCATGGGTCGCAGTGGCTATGGGATCACAGGACGCTTGCACCGTATTGCCAATGCCGCACAAGATGAGAATGCCAATGACCAAGATGCCCTTCTCCAAATCTCAGCGACACCAGGGGCGCGCCTAACACGTGGTGCGGTGGCTCAAGCCCACGGGCCCCCTGGCGACTCAATCCAGACATCTGCCGTCACCCTTATTCATGGCACTGCAGATGATGTACCCTTGCCCAACATTGTTGAGGTACTCAACCCCAATCCTACTTCCATTCAATCTGAACTGCAGTGCTGGGGCGTGGAAGCACAAGTCACCTTTTTTGAACAATGCGATGTGGCTGTTTGCTTCACGCGTGGGGCTCGACTTCCTGATGCACATGTAGGAGTTGTCTTCTCCGTGGCTGCGAATGGTATTGTTGGCCCTTACCACTTCGAGCGCACAACCAAGCCAGATGAAGTTGAGCTCATGAAATTTCTTCATCGCCAAGGACACCCCAAGGCTGTCATCCTCGATGTGCGTGACCTTGCTGAAGGACAACAAGCTATATTTTTTCAAGAACCCACCACGACAGTTTCAGATGTGAACTTCAAGGTCAAACCGCCTCCAAGTTGGCCACCCCCACAGCCGCGAGGGAGTCACGACCCATTCTTCATAGCAGGTGATCACACAGATGCTCAACCTGAATGCTTTTTGAAGTTGGGCGCCACTCAAGAGGATCTCGCGAGACTCTTTGATAGTGCGAGGGACACATTACACACGAACTTTGAGAACCTGAATTTGGATGATGACCTCTATGCCCTGCTGTCCAACCTCCCGCTTTTGGGAGATGACATGCCAGACCGCTACATCATCTACGTTGACGGCACTTCCCAGGGGCAACAGTGTCATCGATCCACAGCTTGGGTTGAAGAATGTGGGGTCTCTGATGCTTGGGCCATGCTGGTTCTTGCGGAAATTTACGCCACTGAGCGAGCTGCCCCACAGTTGTTTTTAGTTGGATGGACTGCACAACAGGTCAGATACTCACCAGAGAGTCAGTACCATCTTGGCGCAACCATTGTCGGATCGCTCACTGCGGAGAGAGAGGGCCTGACCTGGGCACTTCTGTGGCGCCTCGGGCTCAATTCGAGAACCCCGACCCTGTTTCGGAGCGATTCTCTTTTGACCATTCTGCAAGCACAAGGTGCCATTGGAACCTCTTCTGTTGATGACTCGTTCCAGTGCCTGCGAGGAGCATACCAAGCACTTGACCTTGCGCTTCCTGAAGAGCACCTGAGGATTCAACATGTTTTTGGCCACAATCAGGAACCGTTTAATGACTTTACGGACATTGCGGCCAAACTTGAAGCGCACAGCAGCTTCTTCATCCGCAGACCAGACATTGACATGACCACATGGAGAACGAGATTACCGTTCCTTTGGATGATTTTTGGCGAGCAGATTGGAGGACCTGGATTGTGTTCAGATGGCTTTGATGTTGCGGCACCACGCCTTCCTCTTTTGTCTGTGCCGGAGTCGCTGACGCCCTCAATTCCAGGGGCAGAGACGAATGTTGCCGTGACCATGCAGTTGAGCTTTTGCACGGCAAATGTATTGTCGATGTATACACTCCCTGATGGCTTTGCCGGCAAGCTTGGATATTTGGTTGAGCAATTTCAAGCTCACGCATTGCTCATTGGTGGATTGCAAGAAGCTCGCACACCCAAAGGAATGAGTACCTGCCAGCAAATCCTGAGGCTGTCATCCGGAGCAAACAAAGGGCAAGGTGGTGTTGAACTATGGATCAATCTACAACAGCCCTACTGCTATGTGGATGAACAGCCGGCTTTCTTAAAGGCTTCCTTCTTTCAAGTCCTTTGCGCTGAACCTCGATACTTGCTTGTTCGTGTTCGAGCACCGCATTGGAATGCCCTGCTGCTGGTAGCTCATGCCCCCCATTCGGGACGACCACAACAAGAATGCAAAGAATGGTGGGCTCGTCTCACTGATCTTATCCAGCAACAACAAGGTGAACTGCCTCTTTTTGTCATGGTTGACGCCAATGCGGAACCAGGCGCATCAGATGGAACTTGCGTCCTAGGGAGCCATCACAAGACGAGCAAGTCTACACCGATTTGGAGGGAATTTTTGCACACTTTTCACCTGGCCCTGCCACAGACCAGTGATCAGCACACTGGAGGACAGGACACCTGGGTCAGTCCTGATGGTTTCACCAGCCATTGTCTGGACTATGTGGCCATTCCGCACGGGCTTCTCCAATGCTGTACTCATTCGCAGCTCTTGGAGCACTTTGACCTCGGCAATGAGCAAAGAGATCATACTCCAATCGCGGTTGAGCTGCAATGGTCGCATTTTGATCGAGCTGGTCATGACCGCAAAGTCAAGAAGACATGCTTTGACAGATCCAGCATACGTAAATCAGACCTCACTGGTTTTCTACAGCATTTCCAGGGCGCTGCCTGGCAGACTGATGTTGAGACACAGATCCACCAGTTCAATGATGCAGTGCTCACGGACCTTGCAAAAATGTGCCCTCCAACCCGAAGGGGACCGAAGAAATCATTCATCACAGACGACATCTGGACCCTTAGAAAGTCCAAATTGCATCAACGACAGAAGCTTCACCATGGTCGCAAACGACAGTCCCTTGAAGCTCTCTGGCTTTGCTTCAAAGCTTGGCGACAACATGATGCATCATTCTCGCCGGTCGCGGCGTTTAACTATGGCACCACGCTACATTGTGGCATTCTACGGGCTTTTGTTGCCTTCCGGCATTATGCCAAACGACTCAAGACTGCCTTGCGATTGGCGAAGTACAAAGGCATTGTGGAACGCATTGATGAGCTTGGAGCTGGAGCACCCGCCTCAACCATTCTCCAAACGCTCAGACCATTCATTGGTAGCAGCAATGCCAAGGCGAGGGGCCGACATCCCCTCCCACACCTTACCACGGAGGATGGCCAAATTTGCCCTGACCCGCAGGTAGCACTGGACAGATGGATCTCCTTCTTCAACACCATGGAGGGGGGCGAGCGCATGTCAGCCACAACTCAGCGCAGTCTTTGGTGGCATAACCTCCAAGACCTTCGCGCTGATGGATTTTCCTTGGATGTAGATCAGCTGCCGACATTGACTGACCTTGAGGCCGCTTATCGCCAAGTCAAGTCTGGCAAAGCGACTGGCCCTGATGAGATCCCGAGTGAGATCTGCAACACGCAGCCAGCACGCATGGCCAAGTTCACTTACCCGCTCCTCCTGAAGATTCTTTTGCATGGGCAAGAACCTTTGGAACACAAAGGAGGCAGACTTATTCCATTGTGGAAGGGCAAGTTGAATCAAGGTCTTTGCGAAGCTTACAGGTCCATTTTGATCTCTTCGCATGTAGGCAAATGTCTGCACAGAGCCATTCGAATGAAGCAAGCCTCGGTCTACGAAGCGTACCTCCAACATCAACAAATTGGAGGCCAGAGGAAAGCTCCAGTAGTCTTGGGGGTGCATGCAGCCAGGGCCTTTCTTCGACATCATCATGTTGGTAAACGTCCATGTGCTCTTTTGTTCCTCGACCTTTCGGAGGCTTTTTACAGAGTCCTGAGACCGTTAGCGTTGGAAGGGATTTGCCAAGACAAGGTCCTTGCGGCCATTGCTCAGCGGTTAAACCTGGGACCACATATTTTGGCTGACCTCCACAAGCATTTGCAGGAGCCTTGCGCTACAGCCCGCGCAGGCCTTCCCCCACATCTCAGTCGAGCTCTTCGTGCACTGCACCTTGATACACATTGGCACATCAGGGACCAGACCGACATTTGTAGAACAACCATTGGCACGAGGCCTGGTGATGCCTTTGCTGACGTGGTCTTTGGCTATTTGTGGTCCCGGGTCCTTGACTCCTTCATCCAAGCTGTCAAAGTTGATGAGGTCTTTGATACATTTCCAGCAGATCAGGGCCCGTGTCTCTACAACTCCGAAGTCGAGAAGGGCATGTTGCCGAAGCCTTTCATCGGGCCTTGTTGGATGGATGATCTATGTATAGCGCTCAGTGCTGACTGTGGGAGCACGCTGATCAAGAAGGTTCACAAGGTCACTGGAGAGCTGCTTGATCAATGCCTTGCACATGCAATGACGCCGAACTTGTCGGCAGGCAAGACGGAGCTCTTGTTCTCGCTTCGAGGCAATGGTGCCCGTCAGCTGCGAGTTCAACTTTATGGACCTTCGGCTCCGCGACAGCTCTCCATTGTTGGCGAGTACCACACGCACTTTGTGCGCTTGGTTCAACAATACACCCACCTTGGTGGGGTACTTCATCACAGTGGAGACCTTCGCTCCGAAATCAGACGACGCTTAGGTGTTGCGCATGCGGCTTTTACACAGCACCGCAAGTTGCTCTTTGCCAACAAGCAGTTTAGTCTGAAGCGCCGTGTTGAACTTTTCCAGAGTTTAGTGCTCAGCAAACTCACGTATGGCACAGAGTCTTGGACATTCCCTGACATCAAGATCAAAGAATACCTCCATTCCGCAGTCATTCGCCTCTACAGACGCTTGTTGTGCGTTGCAGGGGACCAACATCACACAGATGATCAGATACTGGCGGCAACGGGCTTGCCATCACCGTCTGAATTGTTTCGCATTCAGAGATTGCGCTATCTCGGCACACTCTATGGTTGCCGGCATTTGGTCGACTGGGGGCTTTTGAATGCTGACCATGCATGGGTCACTTTGGTTGAAGACGACTTGCGTTGGTTGGGCTTTCAGCTTTTGGATGCCACGCATTTACGTCCTCCTGAACAACATGTACAAGAATGGCTCGACATAGCCCACCATCATCCACGATATTGGAAGAGACTCATTCGCCGTGGAGTTCAGCACTCTGTCAAACAAAGACACAGAGAGCAGCAGCTTATCCAGTTTCATCAAGGTATCTGTAGGTTTATGCGGGCTCAGGGACTTCTTCCACCACAAGGGCCTGCTGACCCTCCTGATGCTGACCGTTGCTCAGACCAAGCCTTTGGTTGCATGTTTTGTGGCTGCAGTCAAAGGACGAAAGGAGGCGAAGGGGCCCACCAAAACAGAGTTCATGGCTGGGTGAACCCTGTGCGGCATCTATATGAGAGCACGCAGTGTCACAGCTGCATGAAGGAATACCACACGGCCACCAAATTGAAGGCCCATTTGCTGCATTCTACGAACTGCCGCCAAGTGCTTTTCGGTTCAGGGGTTCGTTACCAACCCATGCCTGGCAGTGGGTCGACACGGGAGGGTGACATCGAGAAGCTCCATGATCGACTTCTTCCACCCCTCCAAGTCTTTGGACCTCAACAGCAGTATTTGGCTCTGCGTGATTTTGATGGCATCGATTGGAACCTTCATGATGACTGCTGCCTGCTTTTTCTTGATGCTGCCACAGTAGAGGATGCGATCCTTGGTGTGCGACACCGTGTTCAACAACATCCCATTTCATGGACTATGTGCCGGAGGACGCTCTTACAGTTGGCGGCTACAATTGCTGAGCATGCCCATGAAGATGCCCTTCAGCATCTCAATAGTCAGCTTTTGGGAGCAAAGTTGCTGCACTTGTCCACGCCTGACAGCTGGTCGTTTTTGTCTGGACACAAGATTGCTTCTGAAGACCCTGTTGGCCTTGGACAACTGGAGACGGAACTCCTGGGGTGCCTGACACCACCAGAGTGGCCAGCGCCGAGAGCCTTTGGGCGCCACAGAGTCATTTTGCATGCCTTTTCCGGAAGAAGGCGATTAGGAGACTTCCAATACTATCTTGATGCTTTTTTGGCGGAGCACAGTGATGGTTTGGTGATCCATACAGTTTCCTTGGATGTCGTTGTGGACGCAGAGAGAGGTGACATTTCCAGAATTGAAGTTAGAAATTTTTGGCTTCATGGAATTGACCAAGGGTGGATTCTGGCATTTTTAGCAGGTCCTCCCTGCGAGACATGGTCCAGGGCCCGTGCGGTGAAGTGCGCTTCCGATGCACGCCAAGGACCACGCGTGATCCGCACGGCTGATGACCTCTGGGGCCTAGCGCATCTTCGACTTCGAGAACTTGAGCAGATTGATGTCGGCAATCTATTGCTTTGCTTCTCCGCCGAAGCGTTTTTGCGATTGGCGAGTACCGGAGGTTTTGCGGTTATTGAGCATCCTCGCGAACCAGAAGAACCACATTTCGCTTCCATTTGGAAACTCCCGATCTTCCAGATGCTCCGTTTGCTACCTGGGGTTGAGTTGCACTCCCTTAGCCAAGGATTCCTTGGGGCGCCTTCATGCAAGCCCACTAGCTTGCTGTGCTTAAACCTTCCGCACATTTGCCAGGCCATCGTGAAGAATCAGATTACTGCTACAAGGCCTCAAGGCGCTGCGATTGGCAAAACAGCATCAGGACACTGGGCCACCAGTGCCCTTAAGGAATACCCCCCTGCGCTGAACAGAGCGTTGGCGGGCCAATTCTTTCAGGCGATCACTTCTTTGCCATGTGACGCCAGCATTTTGATTGACAACTCATTCCTCCAAGTCTGCAGAGATCTGACGGTGACGAAGTTCACCAATGTACTTGGTCAGGATTATGCGGGTTGATCAGTCCTTTGAATTCAAAGTTCCGAGCCGCGACGCAAGTCACAAAAGGCCGAATGAGAAAAAAAATATATCCTTGAGTATATTTGATGATTATCGTTGGGTTGATTGTTTGATTGAATTTTTGATTTATTTGTTGGACATGAGGTGTTTTATCGGGGAAACTATGGTTCAATGGATCAACATGGACAAATGGGTATTTGAGGGGTGTCATTGATCCATGGACGTCTGTGGGCATCCAATGGACGTCCATAGACATCCATTGGACATACATTGGACATCATGGTCCATTGGTCCATTTGGCATCTATAGACATGAAAACCATGCATACATGAGCTGCCTGCTGGATGGATGGTTATTATAATATATGGGTATGACTGTTCCATGGCAAATCATGGGTAAGCATGGGAAAGCATTATACAAGAAACCTGAAATCTGACTGGTTATCTTATAAACCTCATTGTGAACTCCATTGTGGTGAAATTATCGCTTCCCATCTGGACGTGCATCCATCTAACTGAGGATGCTTGGGTATAACCTAACTACAACTGGGGCTATGATTGTGAACAATTTCCTGCCTGGCAGTATGGGCAGTGCGCGCTCTCATGTACAATGGGAAAGGTATATTGGCATATATGCAATGGAAATAAAACATAGAAGAGACAACAAGGGTATAATGAGGGTACAGTGGAACATTGACCATTGATTGGATTAGCATGTGATGAATGATCAAGGCTGATCAAGGCTCATCTTAGATACGCTGCAAGAAACTGCCGGTTAGTATTCACCATTTTTAGGAATATTGTATAAGCCACTCCCGATCCGGCTCACCGGTTGGCTGAACCCATTCATGCAACCACCATCATGACTGGCTTATACCCCGGTCAATAATGGTGTAAGCTATGTCCGCAAGCAATCTGCCCATAAAATCCAATTTCCCGACTAACCAGGGTTCATGTCCCATATATCAACCGTTAACTATTGCTTGATTTCAACATATGTATTAGTGAAATCAGGTCAAATCCACCATTCATAATCGATATATCATAATATACCGCATCCCATAAATAGCGAAGACATTGCTTCACCAGTGGGTTCATAGCGCACCTCATCCCCATATTTTGATGTTGTTGCTTACATCCGATGATGGGTATCATGGTATCATAGCTTAAATCCACCATAATCCCCAAATTTTGTGCCTATGGGATTATGGTGGATAAAATTTGGGGATTAAATCCACCATAATCCACCATTTTGGCTGGCAAACTCTTCCATGTTTGGGAACCCCTGGTCATCGTCAGGCCTGTCGCATAGCTTGCAGCAGTGATGGCAGCTGTGTTGTCAGGCTGGCGTGAATTGTAGAGGTGACGACAGTCTCAGGAGTGGGGAAGTCATCGGGGATGCTTCGGCTCCAGCTTGGGAGGGTATTATTTGATATGTCGTCATGTATTTCATCATATTTACATATTTCCCATATATATATATATATACATGTATATAATATGTATCACAAGTATATATATATATGTGTGTATGTATATATATATATATACATATACATGCATACATATATACACTGATATACACTGTCACGGTACATTATGTGTGTGTGTAACATCTGGATAGATGTAAAACTTCCTTCTTTTTCTTTTTTCTTGCCTCTTCTCCCTTCTTAAATAATGCAGGGGGCACAGGTGTGACTCTGATTCCTGTGCCAGCGAAAACGGCCAGAAGTCACAGTGACATCGAAGGGAGACGTCCCTTTGACGTACCTGCAGTGTTTCGACCGTTTGTGGCAAGAGGCTAAGCCAAGGACCTCACCCAACACATTTAAGGTTTTTCCGTTGATTTCATTGTTTTTTGGTTCTTGATCCACGGTCTTTTCTCATCTAATTTGCATGTTACAGGATTCAGTTCCTGCCGGATCACTACAATGATCCATTCTTATCTAGTGTGATTCCTATGGTGACTCCGACATGGTGAACAGGTGGCCTTGCGGTTTACCAGCCTTTTAGGGTTGTCCCGCTGCTCTTGTGGTCCCAGGGTTCCTCGCCGAAATGCTTGTCTATCGGAGTGAAGCCGTTCCGAACTGCCAGAAACTTCTTTTTTCGTACCTGCAGCTTCAGCTTTTGACATGATACATGGCACGAGGAAATGAAGGCAACAGGCATGTCCTTTTCCTGCAGGTGTGGTCTCTTTGGTATCTGGTGAGGTGAAACATGTTGTGCACCTAATTCGCTGGAACTTGAAAGCCGTTTATGCCAATTGGGGCAAGACTTGACCACGGTCCCGGCAAGGGAATACCGCACGACCTTTAGGTTTTTTAGGAACTGAGTCCTGTTTGACTTTTTTGTTGTTTCCTTTTTTCCCGAGAGCGCCTGCGAAGGGTTCTTCGTAAAAAAGCAGCCGTTATACTAGATCTTCACACCTTCACACCTGCAGATCTAGATCTTCACACCCTCACATCTGCAGATCTACATCTTCACACCCTCACACCTGCAGATCTACATCTTCACACCCTCACATCTGCAGATCTAGATCTTCACACCCTCACATCTGCTGATCTACATCTTCACACCTTCACACCTGCAGATCTAGATCTTCACACCTTCACACCGGCAGATCTAGATCTTCACACCTTCACACCTGCAGATCTAGATCTTCACACCCTCACACCTGCAGATCTAGATCTTCACACCCTCACATCTGCAGATCTAGATCTTCACACCCTCACATCTGCAGATCTACATCTTCACACCCTCACATCTGCTGATCTACATCTTCACCCCTCACGCCTGCAGATCTAGATCTTCACACCCTCACACCTGCAGATCTAGATCTTCACACCCTCACACCTGCAGATCTAGATCTTCACACCCTCACATCTGCAGATCTAGATCTTCACACCCTCACATCTGCAGATCTACATCTTCACACCCTCACACCTGCAGATCTAGATCTGCACATCCTCACACCTGCAGATCTAGATCTTCACACCCTCACATCTGCAGATCTACATCATCACACCCTCACACCTGCAGATCTAGATCTTCACACCTTCACATCTGCAGATCTCCTCTCGCTCTTCTTCTATTCTCTCTTAAGGCGGGGGCGGTGCCGCCGGAGCGCCACGAAACGCAACCCTTTCGCACGAAATGGACGTTGGACGTCCAAAACCTAGGTAAAATTGCGATTTTGAAGCGTCCCGCGCAACCCTTTCGCACGAAATGGACGTTGGACGTCAAAAACTGAGGAAAAATTGCCACTTTGAGGTGTCCCGCGCAACCCTTACGCACGAAATGGACGTTGGACGTCAAAAACTGAGGGAAAAATTGCGACTTTGAAGCGTCCCGCGCAGCCCTTTGGCACGAAATGGACGTTGGACGTCAAAAACTGAGGAAAAATTGCCACTTTGAGGTGTCCCGCGCAACCCTTACGCACGAAATGGACGTTGGACGTCAAAAACTGAGGAAAAATTGCGACTTTGAGTTGTCAATCGCAACCCTTACGCACGAAATGGACGTTGGACGTCAAAAACTGAGAAAAATTGCGACTTTGAGTTGTCAATCGCAACCCTTACGCACGAAATGGACGTTGGACGTCAAAAACTGAGGGAAAAATTGCGATTTTACTTGGTCAATCGTAACCCTTTCGCACGAAATGGACGTTGGACGTCAAAAACTGAGGAAAAATTGCGATGGACGCTTTCGTTTCTGTACAAGTGTCTGTGTGTAAAAGCGTCTGTGTGTAAAAGCGTTTGTGTGTGAAAGCGTGTGTGCGTGTGTAAAAAGCATCTGCGTGTAAAAGCGTCTGTGTGTAAAAGCGTTTGTGTGTCAACGCGTCTGTGTGTAAAAGCGTTTGTGTGTGAAAGCGTCTGTGCGTGTGTAAAACGTATCTGCGTGTAGAAGCGTCTGTGTGTAAAACCGTCTGTGTGTAAAAGCTTGTGTGTGTAAAAGCGTCTGTGTGTAAAAGCGTCTGTGTGTAAAAGCGTTGCGTCTGTGTGTAAAAGCGTCTGTGTGTAAAAGCGTTTCTGTGTAAAGGCTTTTGTGTGTCAAAGCGTCTGTGTGTCAAAGTGTGTTTGTGTAAAAGCACCATGTGTAAAAGCGTTTGTGTGTAAAAGATTTTGTGTGTACTTTGACCGCACGACATGGAACTGTTAGAGATTGAGGGTGACAATGCTTGCTAGTGTATCTGTGCTAGGACGTGCGGAGCTTGGTTCGTTTGGTGTGGTAATCTGTGTGGGAATTGATACGTTCATAGTGAGCTTCACTGTTCAGTTTGCATGTCTATGCGACAATGATTTTTGCTTGTCAAACGCAGGAGTCGTGGTCTCAGGCTTCGAACAACACATTCTTTGCATTGAATTGTGCGAGTGTGTAGCAGGTTAGTGCATGAAGTTGTAGAAGTTACCAAGTACCTCTTTCCTGGGCTCAGACGTGGACGTAGAGACAAGATGCATTGTGCACAGAGTGAACATCCATATTCTTATATGTACGCTGAATGTTCGTGAAACAAGTGACGATTGGCCAACAGGTATCTTTAACATTTCTTGCACTTCTCGAGGTTTCGTGTAAAAGCATCATGATACCGACCTTTGCTTGGAAGCAGCTTGTGGGAGCTGGAAGGCTTGCGTACCGAGTGGCACATGGAACTGAGTGCAACTGGCGCAAATTAATCTGTAGCAGTGTTCGTCTGGAGAGACTGTTCGTGACGAACATGCAAAACCAGTAGCCAACTGTTGTTTGTCTGTAAAGATTTTTTTTTTCCATCCTGTAGGGACATCGGAGAAATGCAGTGAAACAGGTGTCATCCTTGCCATCATGATATCGAACTTGCTATTGTGGAATCATTTGCAGCATTCTTGCACGGACTTCTAGATTCTCTTGGATGCCATGGTACGGAGCCTTTGTTTGTGTACTTTTGCATTTTTTAGCGTTTCCATTGCGACTATGTTTGCCCACCTGTGTTGGCAACTGAGGTCATCCACGGCATCATGGTGCCGAGCTTATTTTGTATCTCAAAGAGCGGATGCCTTGCATTGGATTGTGCGTTGATCATGGTACTGAGCCTGGTCTTGTGCACTTTTGCGATTTTTTAGCATTTCCATTGCAACTATGTTTGCGCACCTTTGTTTGCAACTGAGGTCACCCAGTGGTGCCGCGCTTTGTGAGCGTCTCTGTGTAAAAGTCTCTGTGGAAGCGTCTGTGTGTAAAAGTGTTTGTGTGTAAAAGCGCTGTGTGTAAAAGGGTCTGTGTGGAAAAGCGTCTGTGTGTAAAAGTGTCTGTATGTAAAAGTGTTTGCGTGTAAAAGCGTCCGTGTGTAAAAGCGTATGTGTGTAAAAGTGTTTGTGTGTAAAAGCGTATGTGTGTAAAAGCGTATGTGTGTAAAAGCGTCTGTGTCTGTGTGCAAAAGCGTCTGTGTGTAAAAGTGTTTGTGTGTGAAAGTGTGTGTGCGTCTGTAAAAAGGCATCTGCATGTAAAAGCGTATGTGTGTAAAAGAGTCTGTGTATAAAAGCGTCTGTGTGTTAAAGTGTTTTCGTGTAAAAGTCTCTGTGGAAATGCGTCTGTGTGTGTGTGCATGAAAAACGTCTCTGTGTGAAAGCGTCTGTGTGTAAAAGTGTTTATGTGTAAAAGATTCTGTGTGTAAAAGCGTCTCTGTATAAAAGCGTCGCGTTTCTTCGCGTTCACGGAATGATGGTGCCGCGCCTTTTTCCGCAATGTGTGTGGGAATTACCATAATAAAATGAGATAGCACATGTCATTCGCAGACTCATGGCACTGAGCCTCCTGTGCACTTTTGTTGCTCACATTACATTTCTCCATGTTTTCTTTCTACCCCACCCCTTTCATTCTCTCTCTCTCTCTTGCTTTCTCTTTCTCTCTCTCTCTCTCTTTATCTCTGCCCCCTCTTTCTCTCTCTCTGGTTGCAAGACACATGTCATCTGATGCCCTTTACCAAATATTCTCTTCTTGATCAATCTTACTTTTTCACATCATATCTTTCCATAGCTCATATAAAATTCATCAACTATTCACCGACTATCTTTTACGACTACCATCCTCAGAGCTGCTTAAAAAACATCTTTTTCGCTCTCGGGCCAACCGTCGTCTAGTTTCACCAACTAGTCCCCATTGGTCCCTAATAACCCTCCTGCTGGCTTCTCCGTAGTGTGTCGTTGGGTTTAGGTGTGTGCTCTGTTTTTGTCAGGTCCGTTTCGCCGTGTAGGTTGGTTCCGGAGGTCCGTCTGTTCCCCTCCCCCCCTGCGCTGTTTTTGGCCGTCGGCCCGTCGTGTGTCCGCTTTTTTCTTCCTCTTGCCTTTCAGGGTTTTCCCCGGCTCTGCCGGGGGTGTGTGTGTGTGTAACATCTGGATAGATGTAAAACTTCCTTCTTTTTCTTTTTTCTTGCCTCTTCTCCCTTCTTAAATAATGCAGGGGGCACAGGTGTGACTCTGCTTCCTGTGCCAACGAAAACGGCCAGAAGTCACAGTGACATCGAAGGGAGACGTCCCTTTGACGTACCTGCAGTGTTTCGACCGTTTGTGGCAAGAGGCTAAGCCTTAGCCAAGGACCTCACCCAACACATTTAAGGTTTTTCCGTTGATTTCATTGTTTTTGGTTCTTGATCCACGGTCTTTTCTCATCTAATTTGCATGTTACAGGATTCAGTTCCTGCCGGATCACTACAATGATCCATTCTTATCTAGTGTGTGCGTGCATCCACATGTTGCTTTTCTTGAACATAAGAGTTTAAGAGATGTTTCAGTTTGCTGAAAGGATCACTGGATTGTTGGAAGATACAGCAATGTAGGGAACCTTTGGGAACTGACTCTAAACCTTGGGATTTTTCTTTGATCCAAGGCTGGGAAAAAAGGTTCAGTTCCAAGCTTCCATTGAAATATGAATGTCTTTTGCGATCATCCCATTTTCGGGGCTGAAGAAAACCCATATAGCTGGCAGCAAGGACCAGCCAGGTGTAACACCTCTCCACGGATTATCAGTTTGGCTCAAGGTACAGTGTAAGTGATGACATCAGGTGCAACTTCAAGGTTGCACATGTCCTGCAGGAAGTGCAAACATAGCCGCCATTGTGAGGCTTCTTCGCAAGCATGGAGCACCTGATCAACAGTGGGCACCTGTCAAAGGGTTGTGAAGATTCACGTGCGGTCAGCTTGGAGTGGCTCATACAATCAGAGCCCACCCCATGCAAGCACAAGAAGTCCAACAACAACTTGAACAGCCGATGCTATTTGTGCTCAAACTTTCCCGGAAAAAGAACAAGATGAACAAGTAAATCAAGTTGCTGTCCCAAAAAAAACCAACCGGAAGCTTTCAAACTTCTCTGGGTGGCTTCCCAGGCATCCCAGCTTCCGCTTTTGATCCAGCAACTGAGTTGTAGTTGATGACGTCAGGTTTGACTTCTGCATCAAACATCTTTTCCAACAAATGCCTCGCAAGATTCGTTGCGGTGATCCAACAGAAAGGAGACCACAAAGTCCATAAGCAAATCATACTTTTCCCACAGTTTCCCTATGAACATCGACATAATTTGCTGGTATACCAACCATTTTCAGAGATATCCATTCTAAATGAGTTGTCAAATAGCCAACTGCCAGCACATGGGTTTTGACTGGGTTCTGCACGGGAGGGAGCATGCTACAGTGACAAGCCCTGAAACTCAAAATCACGGCATACAGTCATGCATCAAAATCTCAGCGTCTGTGCCTGTAAAATCAAACATCAGCTATATATATATATAACATTATATATATATAGCATTGTAGTTATATCTCTGCCGAAAAAGCATTGTAGTTCAGCACCACGTTTGTTAATGTTTCTCGCATTTTGTCGCTAGGTCTGGAGATTCCCTTCACAACTTTTGAGAATGCCCAGTGGGGATACTATGGGACCATGGGATATGTTTCTCCAACTCGCAAACTCTAAATGGAACATGATGCAGCACCTAGCGGCGAGTTTGTGGTCCCTCAGTTTTATGAGTTGCCAAGTGGGTGAAATTAGATTTACATCAAAAAAATGTAGTACATACGTTGAGAATTTCGACGAGAAGGTAGGAAATCAAAAGCGGTCAACCTGCACATGGTATTGCGCATGCACATGATATGTAACTAACCACGGGACTGTACATACACATGTTCATATTATCGTTAAACAACTGAACATACGCACGCACACGCACACACACACACACACGCACACATAGGCGGTGCTTTTGTGGTACATAAGCATAATCATTTGTTGCCTACGCACCACCTGGTAGGAGAAAAGCCACGGATCCATGGGGATCGTGATAGGGATTTTCACACCGTTTAGCCCTACAATTCGTACTGGTATTCTTACATATCACATCCCCCTTTGAATTAAGTGAGAGTGTTGGTGTTGACAATTCTATAGAGCTCAAAGGCTCCAAGTGTTCACTGTCAACCTCTTCGATTTTATACAAGGATGATCAAGGATGATGAAAGAATTGTTGTGGGAAATTGGTTCTGCCAATACTTCTCTATAGAATTGAAGAACATGACATACATCCAAAGAGAACATATCCCACTATAGAATCGCAGTCCCTAAGACTCTCTGCTGACTAGTACTCAGTGCTGTATTCAACATGAAATCTCTATAGAATCAGAGGCCCCAAGGCCCTCTATAATATTGAAAGCGTTGACACTGGGTAGGTACCCCTAAACAAAGCAGGGGGTTAAAACGCACCATTTTCCAGGACCCAACGTTCTTGATTCTGTAGAGGAAATTCCAAGGGGGATCATATCACTTATTTTATTCTGATCCATGTTATAAATTTAGATGTAGGTAATTTTATGTACTATCCGTTATCTCATTGCTGAAGAAACAACAATTTCCGTTTTGGGCTCAAGAACCAATCATGAAACATGTATGGCAGAAGACAAATCCATTTGGGGCTATGCATTCCCCATGTAGTAAACCCCGGATTTTCATGGCTTACACCTGCCATCGCCTGAACAATGTTAATGGGCTTAAGAACTGGATTAGTAGCTCAACAAATTAGGTTTGATCATTTGACATGATTTGTTTACCCCATAAATGGTGATTAAATCCCCAAAGATATTCATCCCCTAGGCCCTGATTGTTAAATCCATTTAAGTCCCCTAGGCCCTGATGGTTTAGCGACACCAAGTGGCAGCAGAAGGCACCAGGGCATCGTGCTGTTGAAGGCGGCCGTATAGTGGACCACATCCAGGGGAATCGTGGCAAGCTCCATGGCCACCTATGCTGACCACCACGCTATCTCTAGGCAATGATGGATGAGAATGACAGAATATAGGATTATTTATACAAGTATATATGCATATACCATGTTTATATAATAAAAATATACATATACATTTCTCTACATAAAATGTTAATTAGTTTTATATGTATAATTATTAGTATATGTATTTTACATGTGTAAATATCTGTGTTAATACCTGCCGATACATCCACAGATTCTTTGGTATCATGTCCATGTTGTCATTTGCAAGTAGTGGTCAAAGATTTGTGCAACAGTGGTCCTAAGTATTGTCCAATCTTCTTCCTGTGACGTGGCCCAAGCTACGGACAAATGGAAAGGATCAGTTATCCAGAATCAAAAATGGGTTTCATTGATCCCGCTACAATTTGCTTCTAACGACTGCATTCCCGGGTGCTCGTAGTGGGATGAAATTTCGCTGCCAACTGCAGGTTTCGACCCATCCTAAGAATATGCTCGTCAAGTTGGATCATTACATTTCTATGGTCGAAAATACTTACAGAAATCATTAAAACAACATCTCCCGTCCTGTCCGTGCCCCAGTCATTTAACCCAGGAGCAAGGAGATTCAGCACCTGTGGCCACGTGTTGGCGCTGCCAACTGCATTGCTGGCGCAAGTGTAGCTGATGATATCAGGCAGCAACCTGCCATCAAAACCCAACGTCATTGAATGACATATTGATTCGTCAATAGGGATTCCCGTGCGTAGTGGATTCTGATATTTTATGATAGTCGCCACTATGTAGGGTAATGGATGGAGGGTAGTATAATCCCCTAAAATTATCTACCAAAAGGGGTTTGACACTTCTCAAGTGCTTAAATGGATTATTGATTTCAGTAACAAAAACAGCAGGAAACCAGGAACTAGATGGAACTAGGAGGTAAAGAGCATCAACAAAAACCATGATGAACAATTTCTCCTCTCTCTCTCTCTAATTAGTTGGGGTTCGCCTTATACTTATTCCTGCAAGAATCATTGGCTTGGTTTAATGGAAAAAATGGAAGAACCACCGATTTTCTCAGGAATTTCCTGCCATTTCTTGTTTGAAATACAGCTCTCAAGTTGAATGATAACCAGACCCTTTTCTGGAACACTTTGAAACATGCCCTCCGCCACCCCAAAAAAAACATAAAAACACATTGTTCAATGACACTGCAACCCTCGTCATCTCCCGACCTCGTAGGATTCATCTGCTGCAAGACCTCCAAAGAGCGCTGCCACTGGGACTTCTGGAGCTCCAGTGTAGCGTTGCAACCTGGGAAATTTGGAGTTTTTTTCAGGAAAAATGATGAAACATGTGGGGAGAATCATCAAAACATGGACAAATCACAGGAAAATCATCAACTTCTATTTCAAAATTTCTGATGTGTAGCTAGATTTTTCCTTGATTATTTTTTACTGAAAATTATGAGGAACACAACTTCAAACATGAGGATATTTCAGGGCCTCGTTTTGTTTGCCACTTCACATGGCGTATATAGTAACCCCCAAGAAGATAGAAGAGCTTTATATAATGATCACTATTTTAGTAAGATTTTACTTTTGTATTTTTGGGGGATTACTATACCCTCTGGCAATTTAATTGTCACCGTCTAGCTGTGCAAAGCCACCATTTTGATTCGGGAAATCACGATGTACTGTATCATGTATGAATGGGACATGTTCCATGGCAAACTGTTACACTACCACAAGGTAACTTTAAATGAATAAAAACTGTTTACATTAAATCGTATTATATTACATGTGTGCTGCATGAGGCATATGTATTGCGCTGCTCCGGGCCACTGAAGACATCTGGGTGGATCATCCGTCGCGACGTGCTGCGGTGAAAACTGAGGGCCAACTGCCAGGGACGGAAGGAACGAAGAACCGTGTGGCCTTCAGAGGGACGAGCCGAAAACTTTGGTCTGTCTATAGAAAACATCCAACACTTGATGGTAAATCATCATTTTCCCTTCGAAATGGCTATGATTGGGGGATACACCCCATGTTCAAACAGACCCATTTCATCCTGTTTCAACCTTTTGGAGTTCCTGTACCGGAAATGACCCAACCCCTTGGTCCCTTGGTCAAACCCAACAACCGAAGCCGGATGGAATTATCGTTCTCCCAATCAAATGGCAATTGGTGGTAAATACGCCAATTTAAGCAAACCTAAATATCATATCATATCGAAGTTAGTTCCAATAGGTTATGTAAGTGTCTGATTCTATCGCCATTGTTGTCCCATCAATATCATTAATGCTGGTCAAGTTACCCTCTGGCAATCAAACATGGTTTGCAGGAAAACCACCCACTTAGTTGGATGATTTTCCCGCTTAACTGCCCATTCAGTTCCGGGATTTCCCAGCTTGTTTGATTACCAAGAGGGTAAGCCTAATTGTTGCTTATATACTATTATACCCCATTGAGGGTAAGCCTAATTGTTGCTTATATACTATTATACCCCATTATATCCCAGGAATATCCCACAATATCCTCTATCCACGTTATATTCCCATTATATCCCATTATACCAGTAGTACCGCGCAAGACGGTGGCGCAAGCTTCAAAGATAGGAAGCCGATCCAAGACAGTCAGTTTTCAACACTTTTGACTTGCAAATGTGCTTCGCACCACAGCCAGGTGCACTTTTTCGACATCTGAACATCCAAAAGTGGTCCGAGACCGCCAGTTTTTTCTGCTTTTCACTTCGACATGTGCTTCGCACCACACCGGCGCGCACTTTTTGAACATCTCAACTTCCAAAAGTGCTCCGAGCTTCAGGTGCTTTTAACATTTTGACTTGGAAATGTGCTTGGCGCCGCAGCAGCGTGCACTTTTTTCATCTCTCATCTCCCCAAATGGCTCCGCATGCACCCGCCGTTTTAGCGAGCCTACTCTTCGACCGTCCGGAGCCACAAAGCATTGGACAAAACATAGCTCCGCGACTTCTTCTCTTGTCTTCTCTTCTCTTCTCTCACTCTTCCCACCTCTGCTGAACATCTGTCAACATTGTCGGAAGTTTGACTTCTAAACTTCTTTCGGTTAACCATATTAGTTGACCCAACTGCATGATTCTCCCAATCCGAGATCCCCACCCCTTGGTTATGTCCCCCACTTGCTGGCCCCTTGGCCAAGTCACAACACATGGAATCCGCCCGGATCTGGCGGCTCAACATGTGCTCGAACAGCTTCAGAACCTCCAGCTGTGGCAGCTGTGGCCCTTTGCAGATCTTTGGGGTGGAAATGGGCGACATCAATTTTTATGATCTTTTATGGATCATTTTCCTATAATGATATACACAATGCAAACGTATAGGCAAAGCATATCAAACCATGACAATGCATACTACCAGTGTGATATAGAGGGATGTTCAATTGCCATGTTGGCAACGCTTGCCACGTTTCTTAAGTAAAGTGTAGTCTTGCGAGGACCGGGCCATAATGATTGTCTTGACCCATCCCCATTTGGCCATTTGGATGTCTCTGAAAATGCAAAGTTATGGCCATTTATGGATCCATATGGGAAAATCATGGTTGATGATTAACTAGTGAATTTCTGTGACCGACCCTTTTCCGACAAACTCATATTTTGTTTTGCACCACGGCTTCTTCGACTGAGCCGGCCACATCCTCGGCGCCAAGAAGCGTTGATCCACTGCGACATCTTCCCCTCCGACTTCATGAGCATGGTATATTGGAATATATCCTTGGTTCATCTGGGAGAAACCATTTATTTGATGGTCTGAGAGTCTGAAATCAGGTTTGAGATTACCACTGGGAAAATCCCTACTAGGTCGGTTGCATCGTCGGAGCAACCCAAGTCTCCTCCACATCCACTGTGATCTTCAATCCCTGTTTCCCGGGGTCCTCCCATTGAGAAGTGATTTGGAACGATGGTCATTCAACAATACGCAAGACAAATCTGAGTTCCGAGTTCCGAGTGGCTATATTATTAATATCTAAAAACTGTTGTGGGCGAAGACTGTTGGAAGTGCAAGAGCTCGTGACTGTTGCAAGTCCACGAAAGGTAGCTGGTTTCATCCCCAATTCTAAGCACTGAATTACAAGTAGACACTCAAAGGTGAACCACCAACTATAACCAAACACCGGCAGGGTAACCTGAAGATGACCATTTCCCTAGATAATTGTTCCATCAAGCACGTGCATTTGGCCAAAAACTGTGGATACTCCGATTCATGGCAATGCTAATGAGAATTCATACAGGTGTCAACCCTGGAATTCGTGTGGGTTTTACAAAATAAATATTCGAACAATTCCATGACCCTCTGGTCATCTAACAGTTTGCCATGGAAACTTTGTAATTATTTATATTATTTGTAGATAATCAAACAAAGAAATTCCATGAAAATGCCCCATTCACATAGATGACTTGCATGTTATTTCCATGGCCATTTTCCATGGCAAACTCTTCGATTTGCTGAGGCCAATCAGGCCACCAAGTTGCCGGAGATCCCCGTGCTCCCGGCGACAAGGAAACGCCTGGGGGCCCGGTGGGTTTTCCGTTTCAAGATGGGCATTCTCCGGGTTCCAGCCTGGGGCAACAAAAAGAACAATCTATTATGAGCAATGGGAGTAAGCAGGAAATGTCTGGATCTTGGATTATCCCAATCTAAATGGTGTTTATCCCAATCTATCAAGTCTGGATTTAGATTATGAGCAATGGGAGTGTGAAGGAATGAAGTGGGTAAAGAAATCTGTATCCATGGATTGGCTCAAGCAAGAATCTGCAGAAGCATTACATTGATTGTCTGCATATCAAAAGATTTTCTGAATTACAATGTTGGCTCAGCTATCACGCACAAGGTTCCTGTAAACTATCCAAGACTGGGTTGAAAGCGCAATTTTCAGGAAATGTTCATGCTATTTTGGGTAACAAAAACCCGGTCTCCGACATGTTTTAAGCGTAACCTGTATGGTGGCCATTGTGGTAACCCCCGGAAAATAGACACATCATTTCAACATATATTTCAACTATAATATGTATGCATTTATTTATTTACTTACTTATCTATTTGTTTATCTTATCAATAGCTTCGTAAGATTGTATGGTTCTAGCTATCTTGGGGTTGCTATAACTCCATTGATATCCACGTGGGCTGGTCCCACAGGACCCGAGTTTTGTCCACCAAGCTGCCGCTGGATCGCGTGGGCGACGGGAGTCTTCGCGCGGCCATGGCAAGCGAAGGGCGTCATGACGCTGGGTGAGAAATTGCCACCTGGCACTTAGGGAAATCATCGATTTTCATGGGAAACATGAAGGTTTTAATGGGTTTGTAGCTGGGACGGTTCCATGTTTTTTTCCGGGATATCTGGGATTCCATGGGAAAGTCTTGAATCGTTCTTTGCTCCGAATTGAAATGCGGAATAATATGGATACAGTACCCATAGCGCACAGCTCCTTTGCTCCCTCCGAACCACCAAGTAGTACAATGTAATATGTACCAGGTATATATATATATATATATATATCATATCTGGGCTGGAGTCTGGTCAATCAGGTGGGTCTGTTTTGCCCGGTGAAGGGCGGGATATCAATATGTATACAGACAGGCTTTGATAAGCATGTTCACCACCGTCCGAGCACGACCAATGGAATAGTAACATTCACTGGTTTGTCACAGGGAAAACCAACGAGAAAACATTGACATGCATTTCTTATCCCAATAAAATATTTTCTTGCAACACATGCGTTAAAAAAACTCAGGTATAAAGTCGGGATCTAATCCAGGAACGATAGGGGGCATTTCACCCTGAGAATTTGAGACAGCAAAAATGCAAGGCGGGACCCCCTAAATAGCTAAGTTGGTTTATAACTTGGCTAACTACGTATATAGGGTTTTTGGGGGTTGTATCTATAGTTAATTGGTATCATAAAGCAACTTAAACCTGGAAGTACCACCCTGTCGGGGCATTGCTGGACAGCAACATGAGGATGCCTACCAACCAGAAACTATAGCAATGTTATGTTCAGCACAGATTCCATGCCAACCGAAAGGCATGTGAATGTTATCCTTTCAGAATCACCCTTTATAACTGCAATATCCATAACTGGAAATACAGCCCCAGGATCATCAAGGGGCCTGGGATCTATCTCAAAAAACAGGGGGCCCTACTTCCAATAATCTGCAATGATTCTTGAATCTGTCCATCATTCCCTGTGCCCTGACATTGAGCACCACCCAAAACACCTTGAGTAGAGGATTTACACATACTTGGAACTATTTAGGGTGTGTTTAATATCAGGGACATGGGATTCCATCCGTACCCAAGTGTCTGCACCTCACCACTTCCATGGCTGCTTGGCGCAACGCAGAGATGCTGCAGCATGGAGGCCGCCCACGGGCCATGCTAAGCGGGCGTGCTATAAGCGAAGCGTTTACTTCTTTAAACTCCGTTGCGAAGTGACTGTGTGAAATGGTGAAGGGGATATACGGGGATTGTGCTGATCATTGCAACTCCAGGATGCTGATCAGAAGCGTTTCGTTTTGCAAAAACATGTCCTTTTGCAAACCATCTCTGTCCCAAATCAATCTACGGGAGCTTCCCAAATTCTATCCTAGGAAGGCAAAGCCCTGAATGGCACCCGGAAGCGATGGGCAACAAGCGTCCAAGTGCAAAGAGAACCCCAGTTGGCTGGGCAGGAATGTGGGTATGCCTCTAATTTACGTCAATTTCACCAGAACATGATGATTAATCAGTAGCTTTTGGGGTCCCCAAACCCATATGGCATGCTTGTTAGCAAATCCCACTGTTAAATTCTCTGATATACGCCCATCTTATTTGGCTTGTCTGAAAATAACATCAGGAAAAACATCAGGAAACCACTGACTTTCCCTTAAATATAGGAGCTTTCCTGTAGCTTGTTCCCTGTAGCCAGGTTGCGATGAAAATCCCCAACGCCCAGTCGCCTGGCATTCCAGCCACGCCAAATAGGGGGTTTCCTAAGCCATGGGGCTACCCCAATAGTAATAGCTGGATGATTTTTTGATGGACAATCCGAAAGCAAAATCTTCACTATACTATACTGTAGTCAATACACGGGGATGCACATCGGAAAAAACAACTTGACCAAGCATCTTTTTTTTTCTCTCTCTCTCTCTCTCTTCGATCAAATTCAGCTGAAATGGTATTTTTGTTCAGTTGAACTACGTCGCGCAGTCTTGCAAGATCTTGTGATCTGATTTTGGCTAGAACTTTATCTGCAGTCAAACTTGGGATACCCAAAAATAATGGCTAGTGAGTCTGTAAATGACAAGTGGGTAATTATATACTATTGATTAAATCTAGTCTGTCGGATCCAGTGGACCAATGACGGTTTATGATGCTGAACAAACATATCTGTGGTCCTCTGGGTCTTAAATCTTGATCCATCCAGAATTCCCAAGCCTTACATCCAAGGGCCCAAAACACAGGTGATGACTATGACTGGCTGTATCTACCATTATTTACCCATATGAGTATGAATATTGATCGTATTGGCATTAGTAACATCCTGCCGAGTTTGCTACATTCGTACGTTGGTTCTGGATCCATTCGACTCTGTATACACCCAGAATTTTAAGTCTCTACGCCAAATTTTAGGCCCCTTTAGCCTACATGTTCGCGTGGCACGGGATGGTTCAGTTCCGAGAAAAACATGACAAACTTTTGTAGCCCCTAGGTTTGAAATCTTGATCCATGCCCGTGAAATGGGGATCCGCAATGCAAGAGACATGCAGCATTTGTGGTTTATGAAACTGTGTATGTTCTAATAGCTCTCCTTCATGGCAATAATTGGGGTCGGCTGGTGACCAAATACGCTTGGCAGAATATGATGATTCAATGTGTCCACCGAACAGAATGTGTTAAATACCCACTTGTTGGTTGTGATATGAATCCGTATGTGTGGTTCAATTATTGGATCCACAAATAAAGTGGCTCCCCCAGATTGCCCTGAGTTTGCCATGGTGGAAGTATATGATGCACCTTAAGAAATTGCAATGTTCCATGGCTATGTTGAATTACCACAGGTATCCCATTGAAATTATTAAGGTCATACGAGTCATACGAGTTTCCATTATGTAATTAATGGGTCAGAGGAGGATAGAATTTACCCTCTGTACCAAAGCAAACTGTTAACTTACCAGAGGGTAGGTGTAAACATCTTTGGAATATCTTGAAATCACAATGATGTCCCATGAATATCCCACTAAGCCTTTAAATCTCATTAATATCCTAAGTTTGCTGCTTAAACCACCGTTAATCAATTAACCACCATCAAGTTTCATTGACTCCCATTAAAATCCAATAACGTCACATAAACTGCCCATGAATCGCCCTTGAAAACATGGTTTAAGTCCCCTGACCCCTATGTCACACACCTCTACATGCGCCGATGCAGGCGCTGAGAACCGCAGTCGACGGCCTACGACGTCAGAAAACGCAAAACCAAAGGAGTGGAGGACCGCTCATGAGGTTAACCATTGGAAATTATGATTGATATATCCACTGCATATAGTTAGTGTATGTTAGTGTTGTGTTGTGTTGCGCAAATACGCACACACATATATATATATAATAAATGCATACATTCATGTGGAAAAAACACAGCCCAGAGAAAAATAAGTTTGTTGCGGAAATTCCGGTTTCTATAGCCTCCAGCAGACAAACAACACAATAAGTACATCATGTGTAAGTGTATATAGATCATTCAATGTCCCAGGGAAACCATGGCTTTTCCATTGCACCCAGGTGATATTGGAGGATATCTCCCCCAGCTTTGTTTAGCCACCAGAAACAAAAACCGGATGGGACGATAGTGACGATAGTGATGATTTGGTGGGTGAATGGCCGGCAAACAGATAAGACAAATCATGGGACTCGATTGGCATATTACTACTAGAATACTAGTATGATTTACTGGCATGTAGCTCAGTAATATAGTAATAATGTTGGCAAAAAAATAAGGGTGAATGGTAATCATGAACTTCATCTCTCTCCCAGAACTGGCTCCCAGGACATCCTTTTTTTTTGCTGCCACGATGTGCCACGAGGAACCGTGGTTGGCTGCACCTCGGAGACCACTACTGTGTACGACAACTGCAGCTGATAATGGAAGGATGTTATAGATGATGTTTCCTCCATATGTGCGAGGTTTCCGACTTTTTGTATATTTATGAATGTGCAATAAATATATATATATATATATAATTATATATACACATATATATATATACAAATATATATATATCTCTCTCTCTCTCTCTCCATCGGCGTAAAATTATCCATGGCTGAGGGATGCTATATACCGTATATACCCTCTGGCCGACTTAGCTGGAAGCCAAGAATCCACAGCAAGTATAACTTGACAAGCTGTGACTAGACACCATGGGCCGTCTAAGCAGGGTATCATTAAGGGGTTCTCCCACCGATACTTTTTTTTTTGCTAATGGTGCCTCAAATTCCTGAATCTGAATCTTCGTTGATGGCATTTTCATTGTCAAATTATCTTGATACAGTCTCATTCCTTCCTGTAACAACCGTGGAAGTGGAAAATAGCACCCCTGAAAGCAATTCTCCAGCTGGCTCCACTTCCATCATGCGTCAAACAGAGCCCACACTGGGACCCATAAGCTGAGAATTGGTGAGGGTTGTTTCCCGACCAAACGCAGCAAATGCAGCTGCTGTACATTGCCAGAAGATTGTGCGTCTGCACTTTCAATGATTTCAAGGAAATGTCCCAACTCAAACGCAATCTGGAGAGTGAAAGCAATGGTTTTTCCATTTTCAAGATCATCTAGTCACTCAGGTAGTGACAATGTGGTTGATTTGAATTTGCCTGGGTATCATCACACATGGTCAACCACCCAAGGCTCACAGCAACTCCGCACCCAAACGCGGAAAATGACACTGCCTTTTTGAACCGCAAAGAACAATGCAAGTGTCGCGACGATCCCTCAAGTTTGTAAAGGCTGGGGCATATACCCTTCATTGATCCAATTCCAACATCGCTGATCTCATTATGCTTGCTGATCATATCTGATTATAGTCCAACCTATAGCAACCATTTACTTAAGGGTCATCCACTGCCAGTGGCCAACACGGGCCAACATCAGACCGGCGCTATGTCAAGCCGAGCGGTGCTGATGGTCTTGTCGCCCTCCGAAGGACAAGAGTTTGGCACCAAAAGGAACACTTTTGTGACATCAAATTCCCAAAGTTCAGATTCTGGTTGATTGATCAAAATTCACAAATTTGAATACTTTTCCCTACTCTAACTCTAACATCGCTAAAGTTAACGTATAGCTGGCTTTGCTATAATTCACCCCACCAGGTATTTTGTGGCAATAAATTCTCGAAATGGAAATCGATCGCCAAAATCATGCGTGGGAACGATTTTGATCCTTTTTGCGACAAGTCACTTTGCCAAGTCAAAACTATTCACCCCTCTTTCTTGACTAACCACCACAACAAATAAAATATTCGCAAAAGAACACAAAAACATAAAAGTCACCCCATCCGATCCCTCCTATAGTTCTTCATCCAGTCCTTGGTGTAAACCGAGCCACAGAAAGGGCGGCGCCATAACGGCATCAAAGACTGGAGAAAGGCAGAACTTCGAAGGCCTCCAAAGAAAGGGGGGGCCACCACGATTTACCAAATGAAGAGGATTTACTGTAATCTCATTGAATAAAACAGTATAAATGGAGGTGATTTTCTTATCTATGCATGTGCTATATAAATATGCGTGTGTATGTATTTCCTTCTCTCTCTCTCTCTCACACTGTTCATGCGCATATATATATATATATATATACACATTTACATATGCATACAGCATGCAAATATATGCATATATGATCATATATATGCACAATAGGGACTTCACGAGTTCACGAGCCGTCACGCAAGGTCATCCACGTGCCCGTGGCGCTTTCCACAGCCCGATCTTCGTTAAGTTTTTTTTATTAATGGACAATGACAAAAATAGCACTCCTGTAACGTAGCCAGGGAAATTCCGAACCTCTACTGAGAAAATGGCAGAAAATCACCGAATTACAAAGGGGCATGTTCCATTGCCAGGATAGATTGCCAGAGGGCAAAAATGATTGCCAAACCCATCAACAACCCATATCTGTGCATGATATATAAACATAAATACATGTATATATATATATATAATTATAGAAACATACATAGGTATGTATATATATATATATATACATACGTATGTATGTATGTATGTATGTATGACAAGGTCAACTTGGGATATCTCGACCTAACCTTTGTATACCTTTGTGCCAGACTCATGCTCCAGCCTCTTGAAACGCAGTGCGTTCCTTCAACCGCTCAAAGTATGCCTGTTGCTCAGTGCTCAGGGCCAAAGGTGGCTTGTATTTGGAAAGGCCGGCTGGGACTTCTATACTAACAAATTGAAATAGAGAACATCTATGATTAGGTCACTGTAAAAATTATCACCTACCCTTTATTGGCGTGGCCAGTGGGCATTTTGGAATGTTGCTCATTCTGCGACCAACCCTATGTTGTTCCACTGGGAATTCATTTTTCTACAGTCATGCCAGCCACAAACAAGCATTCTGGAAGATGGGAACATATTAAGAGCGCTTTAATCAGCAACCAAAGGCCCTGCGAAAAGCTGGTCAGGTGGCTGACCATCCATGGCCGGTCCCCCAGCTGTTGAAATCAGAAGTTCTACAGGACCTGAACATGTCAAAAGATCAAAACGCGCACGCAGACACACACACACACAGATATATATATATATATAATATATGCACACGCAAACGCACACAGATATATGGTCTCGTGTTCCGTGTTCCTACCCCCCAATGGTATGGGTTCCCAGGTAGCACCCCCTTCCCTCCTATTTGAAAGCTATTGGCAGAATTTCTGAGGTCCAGCCTCGAATTTGCTAGGTCTTTGCAGCATTTCTGACTACCAGCCTCGCATTTACTAGGTACATGCTATCTTTTAGACGACCTACGTAGCACACATACTCCCTCAAAGTACCTACGTGCTACCTATAGTCATATATACATGTGCTATGTATATACTTCCTATTTACTACCAGTGTACTCTCACAACACTACATGTATTTAACATATACCGTACCTACCATACATTCCAATGATTCCAATGATTCCAATGATACCATACATACCATACATACTTTAACCATGCATACCATACCTATCAGATATCATACCTGTCATACATAATTACCACACATACCACACATACGAAACATAATTACCACACCTACCATACATACAATACCAAACATACATGCCATATATACCATACCTACCTTACATAGCAAACATTCCATACCCATCATAGTAACCATAAATACCACACAGACCATACATACTGTCATATCAAACATACCATACCCAACAGACTTACATACCATACCTACCATACCTACCATCCATACAATACCAACCATTCATGCCATACATACCATACATATCAAACATACCATACTCACCATAACCACCATGCCATATATATTGTACTATGGCTGACCCATGACCATGGCCGCGGGGGGAGGGGGGTTGGAGCGCTGGACCATATATACATGTATGTATGTATGTATGTATGTATTTATGCATGTATGTATGCATGCATGCATGTATGTATATATGTATGTATATATATATGTTATTGATTTGTTGTGGGGGGCCATAGAGAACCTTGAAGAGTGATACCTATATGTATATATAGGATATATATATATACATGCATAATAGTCATAATATATGAAAACATGTATATATATATAAATATATATAATTGCACATACATGCATATATATATATATAACCCCGGATGAATGCACCATGATTTATTGATCAAAGATTGATAATATTATACTTAATTCGTACTTCCCCAATTAAACAGCCTAGGGGGGTAGCGCCTCTAAGACTGGGAAGTCGTGCCAACTTCTCCTTGGCGTACGGCAGGGAGTTCACCATTTGAACATGTGCAAAACTGGTTGGTAGTTCAGCCACCCGAGCACCAAACATATGATATTATTGTTGGTTATATAACCTGTATCGCCTATATCTATATCAATATCTACATGTATATATATATAATTATATACTCCCCCTCCTTTTACCGTAGTGCAAAAAAAAATCTTCCACGTTAACTAAAGTGACAATTCGGAGGTTTACTTCCATGTTAGTTGCAATGGGGGGGGGTAAACTGCAAATTTGTGTTCTTTGGATCTGAGCCCTTTTTTTTTTGGCTAGTTCTTTTTGCCACGAGTTCCCCGGGAATCCTGGGCATTTGTTGATTAACGTAGAAATTTTGAATTTTTCAAGATAAAGCTGGGAATGCCTCCGTTTTTTAACAACCAACGATGTCTCAGTTTTGACACTTCCATGATGAATATGTTACTGACATATCTGATGAGCTACTTCCATGTAAGAGATTCACGGTCAGTTTTTCTGCATTTGCTGGCCCGGTAGCCCAGTTTCACTTTTTCCCCAGGAATTGGACGTAAACGACTTCCATGTAAACCGACAGGTTTTTCCATCCTGACTTCCACGGTGAAAGGACCCGGTGTATATGATGGTTTGCCAAAATGTTTTTTCCTGGTTTTGTTGATAAATCGCAATTCCTTGCGTCCGGCTTCTTATTATGACTTTAAAACCATGACTGATCTAAATAGTCTGGAACCCTGCATTTTATCTATCATGTTTGAAGCCGTAGCTAAAACCTGCAGTAAATGCTAACGTGCGTCTATATGGAGTGGGTGCCGCTGCTAGTTGCCTTTGCTGTCACTGTTGCTTTGTCAAACAGACAGGATAAACTACAAGTTCTTTGATGTCGACTGGGTGACGGGTCAACCAAAGCCGTTTTTTGAAACTTTTGCTAGCACATTGCTAGCGGGGATCTAGCGGGCACGTACAAATTCGCAAAGTTGAGCCGCAACCTCAAAAATATATTATACAAATAGAGAGAGAAAGAGAAGTGATCCTAGGAAGGATGGGAAATCAAAATCCACCAGCCAGGAAAACCATGAGGCATAGAGACACTTGAACATTTATTGTACTTTTGAGGTGCCAAGAGCACGGCAAACATTTGCAGCACTCAGCATGCGCATGGTGAGGATGCTGGTTTCAGCTGTTGTTTCCGATGTTTTCAGGGTGCACATCTTGGATGGAGATGGAAAAGTGGGGATGCAACCAACACCCCCATTTGGGGGAACCACCCCAATAATGGATGGATCATGGGACCTCAGTGCTCCTTAGTGGCTAGTAATTAAGCCCGTTATAAGATTTAATACATCCGTATCACTCATGAAAATGGAAATGGAATTGGCTGCCATGTTTTTGGCCGAGCATCTTCCGGTGGATATAATGCATGTTGACGCCGACGATCACATCGACTGCGGTAAAGCTGTCCTGGGTCGCCGCGGTTTCCTGGAACATTTGCCATTTGGCGTTCGACAATTACACACATAAATACATAAATTCACAACACGTATAATTATAAATGCAAAGATATGCATACGTATATATATGTATACGTTTAAAGAAATTTATGTGAACCCATCCACGTCTAGATCTATATCACTGTTCTACTCACGTCTAAATCAATATCCAAGCGCATGCGTATACCCTGGGGGAAAATCACAATACATAGAACAAACATTAACAAACCAAACAAACATGAAACTATTCCCACTCTCTATGCATCTTCATGTTTGCTTATGTCGTTGTAAGGTCGTCACGCTCCAGTTTCCTGTTGAAACTGCATGGGGATTCAATTCCATGAAAGGCTGTTTTTCCGTGCTGAGAAATTTGATAAAGCTTCTAGTACCCCCCCAAAAAAAATAGAAAAACAGAAACCTCACTATTTCAGTAGGGTCGTATTTTTAATCTTTTCTATATGGGGATTTCCATAAGTGGGGGTACCCCAAAATAGATGGTTTATCATGGAAAATCCCAAACAAAAATGGATGATTTGGGGGTACCCGCATGACTTAGGACACTTCTATATCCGTTTGGGGGTGGCGGCCCGTTGCGGTTTAGCCCAAGGAGTTGGGCCAAGCGTCTCCGGCAATGTATTTGGAGCTTCCAAGGTTTGACACCAGCAATGGCCCACATTGTTCGATCCATGCCTGGGAGCAAACACATCCCAAGCCCCAAAGAGCAAATATACACCTAAAAACACCTAAAAATAGGTGTGTATATATACATATATACGTATGTTACTATATATCTATAGCACACACACACATATATATATATATATAGCATATACATAGTATTCCATCAGAGCATTTTTTATTAGTTAAAATCCATGTGCCATCTATAGTTTGCAGGATTTTTGTGTGCATTCGGGCAGTTTTTTTTTTTGTGATAGATGGTGTTTTTTCAGCTTTTTCTATGTGCCATCTTACCGTGGCCGGGTATATATATATAAATTGCTATATATATATTTATCACATGTAAAATATTGTATTATTGTTAAGTATGTATATTACCCATGTGGTCTTCACTTTTGACTACGGGACTGAAACTAAAGATATAATGAAACACCGAGTACCCGCAAAAAACTTCGCTGCTGGATGCAAAGAGTAGCTTTGGATTTGTTTGTGGCGTGCTGTAGGTGTCATTGTTCCTTTTATTTTGTGGTGGGCGTCTGCAAGGGTGGAAGAAAACAAACATTGGTTGGCATTTGATCTCCCACATGGCACATGACATGTGTGTCTCAGAGTTGGGCACCCCTTGGCCCCTTTGTGATTTACCTTAAGTTTCCCCTTTGCAAAATTGCAACATTAATAATCGCACTTTCTCCCATTGAAATCGCAAATCCATGATGTCATAGTAATTTTTTGGGCAAATCCATCCCAATCCCCAACCCGCAAAGTCCGAGCTGCACGATGGTTCACCTCTAGGACCTTCTCATCATCACCAGGGTTTTTCACACTCATCTCAGTGGGAGCTATGGACAATCTCTGATTTATAGATTATTTATATATTCGATATCTATTAAACATGGTGACTTTCCAGTTCGCTATGTTAAATAACCAGAGAGTATATTGGGTTCCGGTCCTGTATGAACTGAAGGGGACAATGTTTGGGGGATATTAAATATAGTTGTACAATGTGGTACACATTTTTTCTTATGTGTATATAAATATAAACATACAGATCAGATAAAGAAATAATATCGGTAGGGAGTTCGGGGCTAGATGGGGTTGGGATTCATGTCTTTCTGTCCGCCTGCCTGCTTTTAAAGATCCGTCATCTATTGGTCGATTTACTTTTGTCCCTATGTATCTTTTGCCATCTCCCCCGACGACAATAATGTATATGAGTCATCCGCTGGTCTTGGCAAAAACCTCGGGCCGCAACTCGGAGCATTCTTTGTCAGAAGAATTTCCTCTTGGACATGCTAAATCGCCCGAAGTTCTCTATTTGACTCCAGGGTTCAAGCATCACTGCATCTATCAAAGCTTTGCAACATGTCCTAGAATCAGGACTACTATAGTACTAATTGTAGCACACACGTCTCCTATCAATTCTTGTGGCTGGAAGGTAATTCTTTCTACCCCAACTTGGCCTATTCATTTGGACCCGACATATTCCTGGGATATCCAGAGATATCCCGATGAGTCGCTGGATTGGTTGGCGGCTGGCGGGAAAATGCAAGAAACCATGGGTTTCACCAAATATATCGGGATTTCCTGCAAATTGTCCTGTAAACCACATATAAGATGTTTTGTCTGGCAAATACCCCCCACATCCCCCCACAAAATACACATATATCTATAGATAAATAGATAGATAGACAGATAGATAGATAGCTAGCTAGGTAGGTAGATAGATCGATCGATCGATAGATAATTAGGATTAATTAGGTGTATATATATATATAATTATATAAACAATCTCTTCCCAGCTAATGGCCCCACAGTAGGTCAGTCCATATTCCAACATCCTCACTGTGTCTCCATTTCCTGACGATTGATGGTTAATGCTCCCCCGATATCCCCATGGCATATCCTAAATCATTTTCCGAGGGTTTCCCCATGGCTTTGCCGCATCCATGTGAATTTTCCCTAGGGCAAGGTACTACCGGCTGGATGGGTGATGAGGTGGCAGTGAGGTTGTCCACTGTGCCTGAGCCTCAAACACCGGCACTGCAAAGTTTGGGATTTTACAAGATTATTCAGCGAAGATAATGTCTTAGCAAAAAAACATGCGGATTTTACCTGATTTTACCTATGTCATGTTCATTTTGATCCAAGCAGTGAATTTAAAGGAATTCAAGCTGCTCAAAGGTGTGTTTTTGTCTTCAGAAAATTGAGTCCTCGAACTTGGGATTGATTGTTGGTACCTGGGTTATAGATGGTTGATGGTTATAGATCCTTGTCTTGGCAAACAACACTGGTTTCATCATGTCAGGGCGGTGGGTTGGAAACTGGGACATCATAAAACTAACAAACATGCGGGTTGCACCAAGCAACATTGGCAAGTTTACCACTAATCATGAGGATTCAATTCGCACAAACGAGGATTTGACTAGGGCCAACTGGAAATTTGCAATCAAATGTTGCCAGCAACAAGAAATGCTGAGCAATTAGCATTTTACAAAGCAAACTGGGGCTACTACCAAACATGCAGCTGTTACTTTATAATTTCAAGCCACCCCATATAGAGTCTTCACAAAGAGAAAGGTCGAGTACACACGCTAGACGCCCCCTTGACAAGCAGCAGTAGAATGCTAACTGATATAGAAGCGCTGCAAAATCAGGCTGGTTCATCGGTGCCAGTTTACCTGCCAAATCTGTGCAGAAAAATGGTGCAGGGTAGCCCTAAAATAGTGACTAGAGATAAATAGAAGTCTTTTTTAAAACCTTAAGTTAACATCATTTCACATCTTTCAGCTAGAATTGTGACCCATCATCAGTCTGTGGACAGTACTGGCCTTCTTTGTCGAACATTTGGAGCAAATAGAGGCAAATTGCACTACCTCAAGTCATTCAAGTCGATGGCACCTTCTGCAACTGAGGCACCCGCAACTTCCTGGAACCTAACCCCGTTTCTTATGACACTGGGGACATGGGTAGTTCAATGTCATGCACATAAAAGGAATCGCCCTTGAGGTGGGTTCAACTCATCCTAGCACGCAAAATGAGATGTTTGGATCGACCATTCGCTAGGATCTATCACTCAATACACACACACACACTATTTCTATGTGCAGAGAACACTGTAACAACAATAACCAATGCGCAGCTACCAGTGTCGTTTTACGGAAGGATCCTGGAGCCGCGGCCATAGTTTCTGTCATCTGACGGTTTCCATGCATGGGGGATTCCTAAAAACGCTGGTTGGGGCAAATACGATGATTTAGGGGTAGCAACATAATTTAGGAAACCTCCATGTAGCTTCCTCTTCCAGCCCAAATCATCTCATGTTTTTTTTCTCCCGTTTAGAAGTTCAAGGTTCTGCTCATGATCATCCACCATGACTAGTTAAGTCATAGTGGGTGTCAAGATCAGTTCTCCGGGTTTATCTGCAGTGGCTGAACTCATCCACCTCATGCCGCCCTGGAGGCAGTCAAACATAGTCCACATGACCCTTGGTGTATGGCAGGTCTGGAAACATTTCCTGATCTGGTGGGTTCAATTATTAAATATAGCATGACAGTAGGATGTTTACCTTCTATCTTACAGCCTTACAGGTATCTGGAGTCATGATTCCAAGTCTTATATGTATGTTTTGTTTTTTTTTCCTCTGCTAAATTGACAACAAAACAACAAGTACCAACCGGCTTCGATGAAAAAGTATGTGGCCATGAACCTAGCGACAAAGTGAGCAGCAGCATTCGCGAGCTTATTCACGTAGATTCACGCTCTCTCATACCATATTTTCTCGGACACATACATGCATCCACTACAGCATATATTGGCAAAGCAAATTGAGTACCAACAAAAATGTACTGTATTGTCATCACCACTCTATTGATCATTTTTTTGCATTGAGAGCTCCAATGCCAAAATGTCCAAAATAGCCTGTCAGAGGTTGGGTGGATATACGTCACAGCATAATATCATCTTGCAAAGGAAGGATGCGTCCAAAAACTGATCCACCCTGGGGATGTCTAAGAAAGCCCCTCTCAGCACCTGAACATATGCTCAGCCCAAGGAGCAAACCAATGGGCTTCACAAGCGAACGACGGACTCTTTGGAGCACAAAGGTGACCACAACGACAACCATCATTAGGAGTCGCCCAAGTGGGCGGGTTGGCAGAATATTCTGGAAACAAATTCAACTTGGGTCAACCCAGTTGGGAGTTTCACGATTATATAATCATTAGACTTGGGATTGAACCAAAAACATTGCGCAAGCACTAAAGGATGGTATTTTAATAGGGCAGCGATGTTCAATGTATTACCAAGAAAAACATACCCTGGTTGTTCTTACCTTTCTAACCTGCTTACAAGGGCATAGATGATTGCACATGCCAAATCACAAGGCCGATGCCAACCTATTCACAACTATAGGTCAGGTTATGTCTAAGATTTACATGAACATACAGTATGCGAATGTCAACCCTTCTAAAACACATGTATATACATATATACATCTCAAAGTGCCATATGAAACACCATACCAGTCACGCTCCCGCAGCTTCCTTTTTCCAGAGCTAAGCCTAAGTTTGGTCAATGTCACCTGCAATCTTCAGGTTTGCTTTGGGTTGTCACAAAGTGACACGTACATAGCCTCAGACCAGTCTCACCACTGGTCAGCTACCTGGGTCTCCAGGTTGGAACCTGCCTTGCAGGAAAAAGCAATGAATGCTATTTTGGTTCAAGTTTACTTGAGCCAAAATGATAGCATTCATTGAAGCACTTAAAGATGATACATGCACACCCAAGCCTGCCAAACTCAATGCATGGGTATATATATATATGTTTATATGTAATTATATATGGTTATATAAATACACATATCTGGATACAGTATATTTAAAATATGCAGTATATGAGAGATCTGGAAAGAATTCTCAGTATTTAGCTGGCCCCAAAGACTCTCTCTCCAGAGTTGCCGTTTGGGCTTGCGAAAGAACTATCAGACCTACACACAGAAGGCACATGGAAGAGTTGGGAGTTGAACAATCCCAACTGTGCTCTGTGATTTCTGACCATCCCGGTCCGACAGGAAAATTTGCTCCCTGGGATTCATTGGATCTGGGCAGATTATGAACTTCCGCCAACTTCCGCACTGAAAAGCGATGAAATGTCAGCCATTTTGGGATGATTCTTGTCACCAGTTGCCACATGTTGCCACCCCCCTGCACCAATCATCTGGTGATGTGTGAGGTTGCCATAATCTGCCCAGATGTAATTCTTCCGTTACTGAGAAAGATTGAGAAAGCAGAACCGAACGAGGGTTCCAATTGCATTTCAGGGGCTCTCAAGGCCTGGTTGTGCCAGTCATCTGCCAATATCTGCCAGCCTGAACTTGCGGTTAGATCATGTTACATCGCAGAAACCTTCGCACCAAGTGGCTTGACATGGATTGACTTTGACTTTGGCCAAAGTCAAAGGGTCGAACTTCTGGCACAGCCGCCTCCGGAAAATGTGCTGAGCATTCAAACGTTTTTTTTTGCCAACACGGCGGGTTTCAATACCCTGCAAGGAGTCCCCGACTGTGACTCCCAACGTGGCAGTTTTGCAATGCTTGGAAACACGTCGGGACAACAACTAGAGGAGCCAGTCAGCTGATGGATTTGGAAAGGTTCACCAACCTGACGTATCCTGATATCTATGGGCCCGCTTCGGGGTGGTTACCATTGCATACAACCATGGATTTGTCGAACAATATCAATAACATGAACCAAATTGAAGCGTTGTCCAATCATGTTGTCCATCAACTTTGCCATCTGGGCCCCTTAGATACCCCATATCCTAGCAAAGGTGAGCTACTGGTGTTGTATTTATGTTTGTTTTCTTCCGAATTGATCTGCTGCAATTTTGTTGGTTAACTCCAAATTGATTCTGGGTTTTACCACATGATTTCTAGCGTCATGTCAATGATGCCCACCGTATACTAGGGACATCTACGGAGCGCGATGATTGCGACTTCTGCGAGGCCTCATGTCAGAAACAAAATGGCAGTGTCTGAAAATGGGGTGTAGCCCAAAACTTAATAGATATTAATGGTGGTTAATGGTAATTAATGATAATGGCTATTAGAATAGTTATAATGGTTGTTAAAAGGGTAATAACATTTTTTGTAATGTTTATTAATTGTTGTTGCTATAGTTGAACAATTGATATTATTGTGGTGATGATAATGGTTATGGTCATGGCTATCATAAAGGTTATCATAAAGGTTGTCGAAATGGCTAAAAAAATGTTTTTTTAGTGGCTATACATGGTTTTGAGTGAGTTTATACATACATATATATATATATATGGAAATTATCGGCAATAATTGGGATTACACCATTGGAAACTAACATAAAACTTGATAATTTGGCAGGGTGTATGGTAGTTGGGGAAACAGTTCTTTGTTCTCAGTACGGAAACAAATGATCAAACAGTTAAATTTGGTAGTCATCCCTATTTTCAGACAACCAAATCTGGTTTGGCTCCATTTTTTCAAACCCAGAATCACTTGGCGGGGTCCCACATGCCCAACCCTGACAACCAGAGAAGCAACAGGTTCCAATCATCCAAGGTAGCGATAATTGAAAATGGCGGGGCTTCAAATTACTTTCTACATTGTTGAACCTATACTCTGGAAGGAAAAAAACGCCAATCTGACATATAGTGGGAAACCCAACGCCATAAACCTATCATTTGGGGATGATTTATACACGCTATTTATGGTGATTTTGAGGGTGGTTTATGGCATTGGCTTTACCACATTATTTCTATCCAGTGATTATTAACCATTAACCATTAGATATGACATAATATGGCTATTAACCGTCATTAGCCATTATTAAGTATGATTAACCATTATTAACCCATATGTTATATATCAACCATCAACCAATATTAGCCATTGAGGCCATTTGGGATGATCCGTCCTAATGGGAATCTTTCTGGTGACTTCCTGTCGTCAGGAGGTCAATCACTCCGCAATGGAAGGTACCGGTAGTACCAGAAGTGTCTGCATCTAAACAAGCATGTGTATTTCATGTATGTGTAAAAATATACATATACATATACGTGTATATTATATTTGTATATGCATATACACTTATATGCCTCTATATATATATGATATGCAGGTATATGTATATACTGCATATACGACTATGTGCATGTACACCTGGTACTGCACATGGGAAACATGATTATGAGAGATCGCGACATACAAATGATTCGTTAAAACAAAAGCAAAACAATCCAATATGATCAAACGTTGTAGTCATGCAATGCGCGGGTGTCTTGAAATGAGGATACAGTATGCCCTCAAATCGTCCAAAAGTTGACAATGTTAGTATTGAAACCAATGGTTTTCGCGATCCCTCCCAGTTTGTGAGATACTGCACATCATCCCTCCCAGGGCCTCAAAAGGCGACACGCCTCATGGCGCTGGCGTCGCTGAGTAGCAGTAGAATTTCCACATGCGAACGGTTCTGGTTCCTTGCCGGTGCCCCAAACTCGCCGGGAAATGGAAACGCAAACAAACATTGAAGCCATTGAGAAACAAATAAATGCATGTATGCACGGATGCATGGATGCATGGATGCATGGATGCATGTATGCATGGATACACGGATGCATGGATGCACGGATGCATGGATGCATGGATGCATGTGTGCATGGATGCATGCATGCATGGATGCACGGATGCATGGATGCATGTATGCATGGATGCATGGATGCATGTGTGCATGGATGCATGTAATGCACGGATGCACGGATGCATGGATGCATGTATGCATGGATGCATGGATGCATGTGTGCATGGATGCATGTAATGCACGGATGCATGGATGCATGTATGCATGTATGCACGGATGCATGGATGCATGGATGCATGTGTGCATGGATGCATGGATGCATGGATGCATGTATGCATGGATGCATGGATGCATGTATGCATGTATGCACGGATGCATGGATGCATGTATGCATGTATGCACGGATGCATGGATGCATGGATGCATGTGTGCATGGATGCATGGATGCACGGATGCATGGATGCATGGATGCATGGATGCATGGATGCATGTATGCATGTATGCATGGATGCATGGATGCATGTATGCATGGATGCATGGGTGCATGTATGCATGTATGCACGGATGCATGTATGCATGGATGCATGTATGCATGTGTGCATGGATGCATGGATACACGGATGCATGGATGCACGGATGCATGGATGCATGTGTGCATGGATGCATGCATGCATGGATGCACGGATGCATGGATGCATGTATGCATGGATGCATGGATGCATGGATGCATGTGTGCATGGATGCACGGATGCATGGATGCATGCATGCATGGATGCATGGATGCATGCATGCATGGATGCACGGATGCATGGATGCATGTATGCATGGATGCATGGATGCATGGATGCACGTGTGCATGGATGCATGTAATGCACGGATGCACGGATGCATGGATGCATGTATGCATGGATGCATGGGTGCATGTGTGCATGGATGCATGGATGCATGGATGCATGTATGCATGGATGCATGGATGCATGTATGCACGGATGCATGGATGCATGTATGCATGTATGCACGGATGCATGGATGCATGGATGCATGTGTGCACGGATGCATGGATGCACGGATGCACGGATGCACGGATGCACGGAGGCATGGATGCATGTATGCATGGATGCATGGATGCATGGATGCATGTATGCATGGATGCATGGGTGCATGTATGCATGTATGCACGGATGCATGTATGCATGTGTGCATGGATGCATGTGTGCATGGATGCATGTAACTCACGGATGCACGGATGCATGGATGCATGTATGCATGTGTGCATGTGTGCATGGATGCATGTATGCATGTATGCATGGATGCATGGATGCATGTATGCATGGATGCATGGATGCATGGATGCATGGATGCATGGATGCATGGATGCATGGATGCATGTATGCACGGATGCATGGATGCATGGATGCATGTATGCATGTATGCACGGATGCATGGATGCATGGATGCATGTGTGCACGGATGCATGGATGCATGGATGCATGTGTGCATGGATGCATGGATGCATGTGTTCATGGATGCATGTAATGCACGTATGCACGGATGCATGGATGCATGTATGCATGTATGCATGGATGCATGTGTGCATGTAATGCACGGATGCACGGATGCATGGATGCATGGATGCATGTATGCATGTATGCACGGATGCATGGATGCATGTATGCATGTATGCACGGATGCATGGATGCATGGATGCATGTGTGCATGGATGCATGGATGCATGGATGCATGTGTGCATGGATGCATGTAATGCACGGATGCACGGATGCATGGATGCAAGGATGCATGTATGCATGTATGCACGGATGCATGGATGCATGTATGCATGTATGCACGGATGCATGGATGCATGGATGCATGTGTGCATGGATGCATGGATGCATGGATGCATGTGTGCATGGGTGCATGTAATGCACGGATGCACGGATGCATGGATGCATGGATGCATGGATGCATGTATGCATGGATGCATGGATGCATGTATGCATGTATGCACGGATGCATGGATGCATGTATGCATGTATGCACGGATGCATGGATGCATGGATGCATGTGTGCATGGATGCATGTAATGCACGGATGCACGGATGCATGTATGCATGAATGCATGGATGCATGTATGCATGGATGCATGGATGCATGTATGCATGTATGCACGGATGCATGGATGCATGTATGCATGAATGCACGGATGCATGGATGCATGGATGCATGTGTGCATGGATGCATGTAATGCACGGATGCACGGATGCATGGATGCATGGATGCATGGATGCATGTGTGCATGGATGCATGTAATGCACGGATGCACGGATGCATGGATGCATGGATGCATGTATGCATGTATGCACGGATGCATGCATGCATGTATGCATGTATGCACGGATGCATGGATGCATGGATGCATGTGTGCATGGATGCATGGATGCATGTGTGCATGGATGCATGTAATGCACGGATGCACGGATGCATGGATGCATGTAACGCACGGATGCACGGATGCATGTGTGCATGGATGCATGTAATGCAACGATGCACGGATGCATGGATGCATGTAATGCAACGATGCACGGATGCATGGATGCATGTATGCATGTGTGCATGGATGCATGTAATGCACGGATGCACGGATGCATGGATGCATGGATGCATGTATGCATGGATGCATGGATGCATGGATGCATGTATGCATGTATGCACGGATGCATGGATGCATGTATGCATGTATGCACGGATGCATGGATGCATGTATGCATGGATGCATGGATGCATGTATGCATGTATGCATGGATGCATGGATGCATGTATGCATGTATGCACGGATGCATGGATGCATGTATGCATGTATGCACGGATGCATGGATGCATGGATGCATGTGTGCACGGATGCAAGGATGCATGGATGCATGTGTGCATGGATGCAAGGATGCATGTGTGCATGGATGCATGTAATGCACGGATGCACGGATGCATGGATGCATGGATGCATGGATGCATGTATGCATGGATGCATGTAATGCACGGATGCACGGATGCATGGATGCATGTATGCATGGATGCATGGATGCATGTGTGCATGGATGCATGTAATGCACGGATGCACGGAGGCATGGATGCATGGATGCATGTATGCATGTATGCACGGATGCATGGATGCATGTATGCATGTGTGCATGGATGCATGTAATGCACGGATGCATGTGTGCATGGATGCATGGATGCATGGATGCATGGATGCATGGATGCATGTGTGCATGTATGCATGTAACGCACGGATGCACGGATGCATGGATGCATGGATGCATGGATGCATGGATGCATGTATGCATGGATGCATGGATGCGTGGATGCATGTATGCATGGATGCATGGGTGCATGTATGCATGTATGCACGGATGCACGGATGCATGGATGCATGGATGCATGTATGCACGGATGATGGATGCATGGATGCATGTATGCATGTATGCACGGATGCATGGATGCATGTGTGCATGGATGCATGGATGCATGTATGCATGTATGCACGGATGCTCGGATGCATGGATGCATGGATGCATGTATGCATGTGTGCATGGATGCATGTAATGCACGGATGCATGTGTGCATGGATGCATGGATTCATGGATGCATGGATATATGGATGCATGGATGCGTGGATGTATGTATGCTTGTTTGTTTGTATGAATGAAAGAACGAGTGAATGAATGTAAGTGTATGTAAGTGTATGTAAGTGTATGTATGTGTATGGATGTGTATGCATGTGTATGTATGTGTATGTATGTGTATGTATGTGTGTGTATGTGTGTATGTGTGTGTATGTGTATGTATGGGTATGTATGTGTATGTGTATGTATGTGTGTATGTATGTGTATGTATGTGAATGTATGTGTATGTACGTACGTACGGACGTACGCACGTACGCACGTACGTACGTACGTACGTATGTATGTATGTGTGTATGTATGTATGTGTGTATGTTTGTGTGTATGTTTGTGTGTATGTATGTGTATGTATGTGTATGTATGTGTATGTACGTACGTACGGACGTACGCACGTACGCACGTACGTACGTATGTATGTGTGTATGTATGTATGTGTGTATGTTTGTGTGTATGTTTGTGTGTATGTATGTATGTATGTATGTATGTATGTATGTATGTATGTATGTATGTATGTATGTATGTGTGTGTGTATGTGTGTATGTTTGTGTGTATGTTTGTGTGTATGTTTGTGTGTATGTTTGTGTGTATGTGTGTATGTGTGTATGTATTTATGTATTTATGTATGTATGTCTGTCTGTCTGTCTGTATGTAAATATGTATGTATGTATGTACGTCATGTATGTATGTATCTGTGTATGTATGTATGTATGTATGTATGTATGTATGTGTGTGTATGTATGTATGCATGCATGCATGCATGTATGTATGTATGCCTGTATGCCTGTATGTATGTATATATGCATGCATGCAAATATATATATATATACATGTATATCTGTGTGTGAGAATTACAGTTTTTATATACATAATGAATATAAGTAATACAAGTAATATAAGTATATTTATACTATATTATATACGGTATATAGTTCGAGGAAATGTCCTGGTTATCATGTTTATTTCTTCTATACATCCAGCATCCAGCATCATCGGCCTACTTTTGCCAAGGAAGAGTCCTGAAACCCGGGAATCTCGCCGGGGTTGATTGCTTGGAGCATGAGTTGGCACCATGACATGTGAAACCATGCACGGATTCAGCGGACTAAGTTCTGGGATGTTCTAGGACTCTCTCCTCGAGACATCTGATGTTCAATCCAAGTTTTTGGAGCGATGCAACCAGGGTCAATTCACCTTGGGATCTTGATCTTACTAAATCAAATAGACAGAAATAATCATATGTGTGTGGGTGGAATCCCAAAAGCTCACAGGCACACAGGAGTTTCTTAGTTGTTTGGACCCATCCCAAACTGCGGTTAGCTATTTTCTCTCTGGGCAGAATATGAATAAATATAGTAAGTACACAGATCACGAAATCGCATTTGTATTCGCCACAGCGAAACGGCTTTCACTATGATGCAAGAAGCTTGATGTTCAAACGGCGTGTTTCCAGTTTGCTTGAGTGTTTGGGACGTTCTTGTGTTCCGGAATGACGATTTTTTCGATAGGTCATCAAGTTGCAAGGTTGCAGCTGCAGTTTTTGTCAATGACTCTTTTTTAAACGATCATGTCAGCTGCTTTGTTTACAGACTGGCGGTTCACGTACTTGTCGGGTCACAACGTCAAAGACACCAGCGGAATGGTGACATCTCATGTGTATGTAACATCAGCAATGTAGGGCTACATCTTGTTGCGTGACATCTCATGTGTATTTAAGTATTTAAAATGATGTAACCTGCTATCCCATCTGTATACGGCCTGATGTCAACGTATGTAAACGTCATATAACGAGATAAAACCTGTGTATGCAAGTTGATGTGAACATGTTTGCTCCCTCCAACCCACGGTCTCACCCCATGCGTACCACAATACATGAATGCGGTGAACAACCAAGCCAGCGCGAGTTTCCCTCTGCTAGCACAAATCATCATTTGCCTGTGTAGTTAGAAATAAACATAGGTTCCGATACATGTTTGTGTGGATTTACGTTGCTATATTGGATATGAGAAAAAAGGTTTAATATGGTATAATATGTTTTAACGCCATACACCTCTGGCGAAATCACGATTGGAATCGGAGAAGCAAAAAAAACACCCGTACGGGTGTTGTTCACCTCATCCTTCTCATTTCGATCATGTGTGTTTTTGAGATATATGCTGTTGCTCTATCCATCTTCTTGCGCTTTAACCCAATAACACATGGGAAACTTGGAGCTGGTGTGTTTTACCTGTTTTTTCTGCAAGGAAACAACTGAAACATATCTATCTCTGTCTAAGCAACCAACAATAAATCGCCCTTTCAGCAAGTGTCTGAAGTCTTCAAGGCAGGCAATCTATCACCCGGAGTTCTCCATCATTTTGCAGCTTTTAGTGGGCCGGTGAGGTACTAACATCACCCAATCGTATAGTCGTCATGTCAAATAGTCACCCCCCGTAAGGTTCTGGGTCCAAATTGGTACCCCCATCTGGTCTACCGTTGCCATACTTCCAATGGTGGATCATCAAAGCCCAAGTTTCCCCATGAAAAATGCCGTAACTTGGAAGCCCATACCTCAAACCAAAATCCTCAAAATAAAACATAAATCAAAACAAATGGATGTTTGTGTGTATGTGCATCATACATAAACATACATACATTACATTACAATACATTACATTACAGTACAGTACATTGCAATACATTATATACATGACATTACATTATATTACATACATACATACACACACACACATATATACATACGCATGTGTAAATACATATGTGTATATATAAATGATATATGCATATATACAGTATCCAAGAACAATATATAGATATTTATGAAACTTCATGCCTGGAATAAAATTCTCCACAGCTACTAGCTGCTGCAGCTGAGGGTCAGTTCCTCCGCCAGATCCATGGGAGTGCGCCCACGGACGTCTCGCTGCTCCGGAGGCCTTAGTGCTTTTTATTTTATGGCTGCCCCTCAGCCTACCGGTAAGTTGTTCAATGTGGAAGAATTGCCCATGTCGTAAAAATCAAATTTTATCTATTCAAAATTGCGATTTTCCAGCTATGTTAGAGGTTGTAGTCATGTTTTTTGGCATATAAACCAACCGCCGATGGGTTCTTAGTGGTGGCATGTTGGGATATATGTAGATAACTCTGGACTTTCAGTAAGGCTGATGGTTGATGAATATTTGTTTCTAGCCTTTGGTTGCTGAGAAATCACTACAACATGTTTTCTTGCATTGGCCGGTCAATATGGTTTCTGGTCCATGGTTGAATGTGGTTGACCTCGCACACTGAAAAAACATGAAAGCATACATGGCCTATTCTCTCTCTCCATCCTAGAAGGCCTATTCTATAGGGATTCGCATGTTATGTTCAGAATGTAGCTAAATCCACCAACCAGAATACATAATGGGTCAGTGTATTATTTGACCACTTCCAGTAATCTAGGCAAGCAATATTCCCCACTACCCTCTGTAATTTAACGTAGCGAAATGGAAAATAACAAATTTTTGGTAAATGATCATGTCGTATCATGTCTATCTATCATCTATACATGGGCCAATTTTGAAATAGTTATGTCAAATAACCAAAGGGCAGATACGAGGGTAACTGCCCATTGTCTGATTTGATTGCAAGACTGGCGATCCATGTCCCTTGTTCAGCATCATCCGTTGCTGCAGAATCCCTAGGCCGGTTGGGCAATGATTGGTTTGCTGTCCCAATCTCCATCATTATGGATGGGCCTGGTCTGGCTGGTCATATCCTATCCACGCGTCACTTGATTTTACTTGATGATATCATCTGATATCATTTGTTTTATATCCGATTATCCCCACAATGTTTGTTCTCCATAAGGATCATGATCATCTTGGGTGGCAGCTCCCCCATCATCTCCCAATGTTCGGCCCCCTGGCTGATTGATTCAGGGTCATCAAGGTCAAGGTCATCCACCAAATACTAACATGATATACAGTGAGCATTTTAGCTCCCGTTAAAACCAAGGAGAACACCAAGAGTTACCTTCAATTGAACAATTGAAGGGTCATCATTATTCCGGTTTTTGGTGGCAAATATACATACAGTTGTATATACACACTTACAGTCGTATATACAGTATTTCAATTTTTTTTTGCCGGGGCTTCTCAGAGGGTTTGCCCCAACAGCCAGCCCAGCACGTTCGCTCTGGGCAATAGCTGCAAAGGTTGCATGATGTTAAAATGGTTGTCTATATAGTATCCAAAATTATGTCACGTATGTGAGACAATGTCGGAGACTACGGTGTTGGCGCTCACTCGCTGTCAGCGGAAACAATTGGTACCACGATGCATGGTTGGATTGTTGCAATGTCTGCTGCATTGGAGTTGCGTGGTTTTGTATGGCTCTCTGGCTCTCCACACTGCGGCATTTGGTACAGCGATTTGCAGGAGGAAAGGCCCACCAAGCATATTCAAATGGTAGCATAACCCTCGGAAGCCTCTGGTAATATTGGCTTCATATCCTTGCAGTGGTTCACTGTCTGCCCTAACTGAAAACCCGGCAACTGTATCCAGCCATACCACAGTGAAAACCCCAGCCGGTATACCAACGAACACCAAGTGAATCCAAGCAACGGGTATGCGGAGGAGGCGTTTTGGCTTGTCCCACGGGTTTTGCTCAAGCATTTCTACATTGTTTTGGGTCCTTGTAAACCCATGCCATTGTAAAAAACTTTCAGATAAAGACTTCCAAACATCACGATCAGTAGCAACATGGATGTAGTCCCCCTCGAGTTCCATGGCATACCAAAACTTCCTTACCAGACTGTGAGGTATGTTCCAAGGACCTGGGCGATTTAGCTTGTGTGAATGTTGTGCAATGAGATGATGCAACATCACTTTGGCTGGGCGATTGCTCTGAAACTCTTGTCGGCAAATGTGCCCCAGAAAGGACCAATATCGGCGGATATATTGTATCTCCCAACTTCCTGAGGGTGCCATTTGCAGAATCCATCTCTTCACAAGATGTCGGCGAAGGCGCAGAAGGTTGTGAAGAGCCTCGTCATCTGTCAGGACCGGGACGTAGAGATTTAGGGCTTCAATCATCAGCGTGGTCTGTACTCTGCTCACTTTGGTTCGAAAGATCTGGTGCGGGTACAGGACAGGGGACAACCAGAGAAAGGCATTCCCAACATACTGGTCAAGCATCTTGCAAGTTGTTGCAGGATGTCGCCAGTGGCATCGCTTGAGAACTGGCCGGAGTCTGCCCCATGCCGCATGAATCAGCTGGATGGCTTGATGGGGCAAAGCGTCAGGGTCCAGGTTGTATCCGAAGGGTTTGCGTAGGTAGGTTGTGTGTTCCACCCATGGAAATTGGTGCAAGATGCCTAGCTGGTGACGTGGCGGGGAAGAAGCTCTCAGACCCGGGCTCACAACCAGGCAGCTTTTGGCGGGATTGATGTGCAAGCCAAGTTGAGCAAGACAGTCCACAAAGGAAGGCAATAGCCGGAGTGCTTGCGTCCAACTGCTGAAGCACATGAGGATGTCGTCCACAAAGAGGAGCAACCAGAGTGGGGGAAACAGAGGCACATGACCCTGAGCTTCCCATTGTTGCAGCAAGTTTCCGATGGCGTGGTCGAGTGTGCGGGCAAAAAGCCCAGCGGAATGGCTTCCTCCTTGCGGTGCGCCGTTGGAGCTGTGCGTTTCCCAATGAGCATCAAGGAAAGAAAATTGGATTGTCTGATCCAGGAGGAGCTGCATCAGGCGCATGGCTTCATGCGATACTTGGGGTGGGAGGGTGGCCAAGAAGTTAGCTACACTTGCATGCCGAAGATTGTCGAAAGCGCCCTTGATGTCGAGCTTGAGGAAAAGAGGGGTCTTGTCCGTGACATTGGCCAAGGCAATCATGTGATGGGCGGCGAACAGAGCCTCAATGGGTTGGCCACCTGAAACCGCCCCAACTTGGACATGGAGGGGTGGCCAGTGGGAATGGATACGTCGCATCAGAATGCTCGCGAAAAGCTTCTGCAAAACTTCAAGGAGAAGGATGGGACGAATCTGGGATGCAGCGGTGGCACCCGGAGTCTTTGGCAGCAAGCACGCAATGCCTGTGAGAAGGGGAGGCGGGATGTCACCATCGATGAGCATTGCATTCAACAAGTTGAGAAGCATGCTGTGCCCTGTGGCGGTGCTTCCCATTGCCAGGAGGAACTCATTTGACATGCCACTTGCCCCGGATGTCTTCCCAAGCTTCAGGTTTGCAAGGGCAAGGCTAAGTTCTTCAGGTTGGAGGGGTGTTGGCTCGGTTTGGTCCATGTGTGCTTGTAGGGCTTCGATGTGATGGGAGCAGTCGGCTGTCCGGGTGGGAATGGGGGTGTTGCTGAAGACTTCTTGGAAGTGGTTTTTTACGTTGTGTATTGCTCCCTGTAGGCTGCCGGAATGTGCTATGAGGTGGCTCCAATTGGCGGTTGGCTGGTGCTTCGCCTTGAGGAAAGCGATTGCCGAGGTATCACCTGAGGAGGCTGAGGTGTGCAGCTCAGAGAGCCATTGAGCCCGTTCAGCACGTCGAGTCGCAATGATGTGGCGCGACAGGGATGCACGTTGAAGAGCATTGGCAGTGGCGTTGCGGGCACGGCACAATTCCTTAAGAGCTGGAGAATCTTGGAATTTCCGACTGGGGAGACGATATTGACACTGGGGGGGAAGGCGGCAGAGTTGTGGCCAGTCAGGTGTGGCGGATTGGTGCTCAAGGCTGCGTTGGAGGCGCTGCAGGTCAACTTGCCAGCGGCCAGTGTGCTGCTTGTGACGGTAGCCTTGCCGTTGGGGAGGTTGGAAGAAAGTGGTTTCCCAGGTGATCAGTTTGTGGTCAGAAGGTAGGAGGCTGTCCATGCCTTCGACAATAAGGGGGGAGGTTGGCAGGCAGGAAGGAGCAATGCAGCGCTCGAAGGCGGGGGTGAAGCCGACGAAGTCGTACACTCTGTGTTTCCAGGTGGGCTGCTCAGGAAGGCGAAACATGAGCTGTGCTTCGGCTTCGAGACAGGCGAGTGCGAGGGCCTGCTCATCCATGGGTTCCCGGTGAGGAGTGGCATTCCAATCGCCACTACTAAGGTTGGAAGGTGCTGGGTTCGCTGGAGCAACTGCCGCAATTCAGTGGTGGCAGCACTGTAGTCGGATAGTGGTTGGTGGTGGTGTGGCAAGTGGCCGGAGAGCACCCAAAGTCTAAGCCCGCTTTTGTGGAGAATTTGGACGCCGAAGAACCTCGTCCCCTTAAGGGTGTGGAGCACGGCAGTGGCAAAAGTTTTGTCCACCAGAATGGCTTGGCCATGGTGGCTGCTGAGTTGGTCAGTGGCTACAATCCAGTAGTCGCGCAACTCGTCGTGCAGCTGCACATTGGGGTCATCGGCAGCCAAGAAGCCATCGGTGGTAAGCTTTCCTTGGGAGAGGCCACCGACTTCTTGCAGAGCGATTATGTCAAAGTGAATTCCCTGGTCTGACAACACATCAGCAATTTGAAACAAGGATTTCCCCCAGACATTCCACGAGGCAAGCTGTAGGATTTGCACAGGCCGAACCGCTGAAGGACATCGCTGGTGTTGTGCTGCAGGAGCATGCTGGTGGCCAGGTGGGCTGGCGAGTCACTCAGGTTTGGGGTCGCCCAAGGCGCGCTGGAGCGCAGGAATTTCTTTGCCGGTGAGTTTGGACAACCTGGTGAGGTCTACAAAGAATGGCAGTTCATCTTGACTGCGGGGGTCGACGTACTGGGCTTCATGCACAGGTCTGCCAGAGCCAGATGGAAGGAGGAGATCAGATTTGCTGAAGGCGATGACTCGCATGTCCCGATACCAAAGGATTTGCTTGTTCCAGTCTATGTCAAGGTGTTCAAGGCTGGTGGGGTCGAGGATGGGTTGAAGGAGGTTGGCTGCATACTTGGTGGCACGGTTCTTCAGCCGTTTTTGGGCGGTCTTGTGTGGGGTCATCCAAGCAGCCTTGCCAGAACTGGGTATTGTGTGTTGGTCCTTGTGTTGTGTCTGCCATGCGATCATGCGGCGTTTTGCTTCTGTTGCTGGCTGGGGGGTCAGGATCAGATGGCAAGCAGAGGCCCTGCGGCCATACACGATCACATCTGTGACTGACTCGTGGATGCCAAGCTTCTTGATGAGGTCCCGGGCTTCGGCCTCAACCTTTTCCCGTCTGGTGTCGAGGTGCCATCCACCAATGATTAGTCTGTTCCAATCCACCTCCAAGTCCATGGCCATCTGTGGGGAAATGGTGCCGGCTCGTGAGCGGTGTGGAGACAAGGTGGCCGCCCTGGGCGCTTCACTGCGATTGGGTGGGTTTATGATTGGTGGTGGTGCTGATGGTGTGCGCTGACGCGTGATGTCTTGGACCTGCTGGGCGAGGCTGGTAACTTCAAGCTGGAGCTTGGTGATCTGGGATGGCTCGGCGCCTGATGAGGCATTATGGGTACTCTCAAGGGCTTGCAGGCGGGACTGAATTGACGTGAGTTCCAATGAGTTGGTGGCTAACTGGGCAGAGTGGGAGTCAACTGTGTCCGAGATGGTCTTCTGTTGTGCCTGGATCAGGTCGAGCTTTTGAACCAGGTTGTGCTCCATCTTCTGCATGAGAGCATGGGTCATTTGAACAAGGTGGTGGGTGTTTGTCTCATCTGGGCTTGTGCGGGTGTCTGCTAGTGCTTCAAAAGGGTTGCTTATTTCCAATTCACCGCCTCGGTACTTCTTCTGTGGAGGGGACCCCAGTTGCATTGTCGGGCTTTGTTGTTGTCTCTCTTCTTCTTCAGCGTCAATATCGATGGGGGAGCTCATGGGAGAAACTGGATATATTTTATCTACCCTCCTGAAATTGTGGCTCGAGCCCAGGCCTTGAGCCGTAGCCATTTATTTCAATACGAAATGAAATTCTCACATGCCGTAACCAGACTGGAATATCGACATCTCATTAAGTCAGGTTTACCATGATATACGGCCTATCCATTTCGGGAATGAACTTGTTGCTGAGACCGCTAATTTGTCCAGGTTCAACCCCAAAAATGTTTGATAATAATATGGCTGTTGGTTCTGTACCGAGCGCCTTGGGATTTAGTCGCTCCCCCCTAATATCAAAAAAACAATCCTAAAGCCTTGGTTTACTACCACACCTATTCATTTGAGATCATCTGAGTGTCTGTCAAGCCACAATTATATAACCCATTTTTTGCCATGATAATTTTCTGGGATCCCAATATTAATATAATTAATGGGTTATATACTGGGATCAAGCCACAATTTGCCATTAGATTTCATATATATATATATATATCGCATTATTAGGCGCCCAATTATAAATGGTTCATAAATCAGGCACTCTCCACCGAGGGACGCACCAGCTTCCAGCAGCATCTTCACAATCGCTGCGTCGCACTGCTGGACGGCCACATGAAGGGGGTGAAGCTCCTGCCGGGAGGCTGGAGATCGTGCCGACAAAAAACTGATTTGTCGATGTAAAATTGCTCATCTATACACTGGTTGGTGGTTTTAACCATCTTGAAAAATATGAAAGTCAATGGGAAGGATTATCCCATATATATTATGAAAAATTAAAAATGTTTGAAACCACCAACCAGATACAGAACATACATGAGAAAATGTCTTTGGATATATCTCAATCTGTTTGTCGGACCACTTGAAAAAACCCTCTACATTACCCTTTTTGTGCTTATCCCAAGTGTTTGTTTGGAACATGTCATCCGCAAGTATTGCGTTTCAAGACTGCAATAGGATCGACTATGGTGCTGAGATCGGATGCTGACTCTTGCTTTTCCAGAAAAGTACCTGTGAACCAAGCTGAGAGCTCACCAAACTATTCCTGCTTTTTGATTTCCATGGTTTTGTTGCTAACCGCTGATTTTGCAGGAAGTTTTGCTCTGACAAGCTCCCTATCGAAAATGAACTTCCATCGTCCGTTGCATTGCCTTGAAGCGCCCCCGCAATATCAGCAAGTTTCAAAGTGGGGGAGACCATACGGTACCCCAAACTATGGCCCACTTCAATGGTCAAAATGACGGTAAACGGTAAACCATTTGTCTGGTGTTGGCCCAGTTTCGACAGGATCCCTTTTGGGAGGAATGCAACTTATGTTGGTTGCACACCATTTTCGTAGGCTTGGCAAATCGATGCTAATCTATCAATTGATATGCGCGCATTGCCCCATGTATGACAACATATGACAACATGTCAAAAAATGTATAAACATATTTGTTTCAGCAAAAATTAGTTGGATGATTGCAGCATCTGCTAACCCATCTTCTACCCCCGTCCCCATCCCAAAATCCCTGAGACCGTCCTCGTCCGAGCCTTCGGCACGTTGAGTGGCGTAGACATTCCGAAAGCCATGATCCGCCAGAAACTTCTCGAGGTAATGCTGCTTGAACCCGCCTCAACTGAAGCCCAAAGGTTGGGAATTGGATTCAAACCTTCAGAAAATTTTAAGGAAATAAAGGAAAACAAACAATATTTTTAAAAACAGGGAGAAGCAACACCTGCTTCAACCCAGCCTTGGGGCGTGTTATTAATTCTGGAGCTCCATTTGTTTAAATTTCTTAGCCAGCAGTAAGCACCATAAAAGGGCAAACATTGAAACATATTTGGTTGTTGGGCTGTGCCACCGGGGTGGGGGAAATCTCCAAGAACCTTGGGAAAGTTATGAAGCATCTTGCTGAGGAGCCTCCCTAAACAAATGGGCCGCTAAGGACATTGAAGCGAAGTAAAAAGGAATAAACACAGAATACAGAAACGCAATGTCACTTGCAAATTGCCTTTGCAGTTTGCCTACAATGTGGTACAATGCCATAGACCTTCCATTCTGGAAGGTCTATATTATACTGTTTATACAATCACTTCAAGCCAGTGGTTGGGGTTGGTTTACTGATTAATTGCTAAGTTTGCGACATGACATTATATCAATAATGGATATAGCACTCAGAAGGATGGCACAACCAGTTTCAATGGGATACTGAAAGTATAGATATACCCTCCGGTATTCAGACATGACATGACGTGCTCAAAATTCCTGCATTTTGTTCCATGATTTTTCTACAAAAACTCCCATGTATATAGAAGATTTTCCAGCTTGCCACCTTCAACTACCCGAGGGGTACTGTAGTTATTGTTGAAATCCAATACATGCATTATCCCATGATACCTATAGTATCATTAGCTCATATTATATATATTTATAATAATTATACTATATAATTGTATAGCTCCCCATGGTTTGGGACTAAACTAGCAAAACAGGTGTTCCCAGCACTTTCCACTGAGCTACTGATGCTGATGCTCATGCTTCTGCCTCAGTAGCCATTCGCGGCAAAGCTACATTAAAGATCGTGATTTTGGATGGTTATGTTAAAAAACCAAAAGTACATACATACACTTGTTGTATCCATCACTAACTTTTATATTTATATAAATAACTGAAACGTTTGGGCATTGGACGCTGTGTGGATATTTGCATGTGCGGGTGGACGCCTGGCTTGTCCTGATATATTTGTATGTCAAGTATGTCAATATCCCTATCTCCATTTCTACAGTATGTAACTGCATAATTTCGAAGAGGTCGGCCAAAACGCCAAGTTGTGTAATTCACATTTCAAATGCGACGAGATAAAGATACAGGACTATGCAAATGATTAGATAAACAGTTTTGGTTCTGTTTTAAAATGATACAATAAACTGAACTACAGTAAATATAATATACATACAGTCAATGTATGTAAATCCTTGGACATGTATGTAAATGATGTAAATGCACGTCTCTGCTCGTTCCCCGTGTCCAAAATGGTTTACAATATATTCCAAACAAATGATCTAGCCATTTTGGCAGCAAATTTGCAAGCCAGAATTTTCACACTGA